TTGTTTCAGTGGTAAAGTGGTCATTATGTGGGGAGAGTAAAGCACCGCCAGATGTTTCAATATGAAAATGAACAGATTAGTTACTGTTTATGGAGTCTGGCTTGTATTACAGGACAGGACTGTGCGTGAAATCGAGAAAATGTCAACAGATATCTGCATACATGAGGGGATAAAGAAATACCTCAACAAATATGACAGCTATTTAAAAAGGTCTATTTACATGAAAGAAATAACAACATGTTTGTAACACAGTCGACTTCACTGAGACTTTATCTAACATTTGGTCCTCTCTGATTCTGCAAATGTGTCTGGAGATTTTAGCAGAAATGACTTCACATGCACGAAGAAACACGGCGTGATGAGTAGTTCCTGCTGTTCACAGGAAGTGTGATCTCTCAGTGTGTGTGTAGTGTGTAAAGTACCGTATTTTCACACTATAAGGCACATCTGATTATAAGGAGCGCCATCAATGAACACGTCTATTTTCTTACATAAGGCGCACCGGATTATAAAGCGCGTTAAGCCAAACAAAACAGTCGATAACTTCGCGAGGCTACAGTAGCTGCAGAGCTCCGACAAGCCACAAGGATTTTACGTGTGCCTTATAGTGCGAAGAATACGGTATTAGAACCTTTTCACACCTGAAGGTCCGAACCAAGGTCCCTGTTTTTATTTCATTGTCAACATTTGGTTCGGTCCTTTTAGGTTTCACACTGTCATTATTGCAAACAGACTAACATGACGGATCATGTGATATCGTCATCGACTACGTGTTTTCTGTGTCTCTGTAGTTTACACTGATGTGTCATTTGGCTGGCGGCGTCTGATGTCAACACGTTGAAAAGCGCGCGTCTTCAATGCTGTAAACATGGATGAAATCGTCATTCCCACTTTGTACTATTTTTGATTTTCTACGACCAACAGCGACAACTTGAAGAGCTGAACATGAGGCTGGACCAAGGAAGTCTCATGAATTTGATCATTGGACGAAAACTTTATCGACATCGACAGGAAAGGAGAAGAAAGAATACAATCTGTGAGTTACTGCAACTCTGGAGAAAAGAAAGTCTGTGTAGTAAAACTCTTTAAAAGATAATCTGTCAATAATGAGGTGTAACTTTATCTATGATATTATAAAATTTCCTGTTATTGGACAATCTCCGTTCAACACAATAACAGACACTCCTACTCCTTGCGTCATTTCCTGTCTTTGATACGAAGGTCCAAACCTTTCAAAATAATGTCTTCACACCGGGCATGAACCAGAACGTGCTTCAGTTTGGTCCAGACCGAGACCACCTACTTTTGGTCGGACCAAGATCCGGCTGTTTGGTCCAGACAAGGTCCTGGGGAAGTTTCACATCATTTTGATTCAGACTAAACAGAAAAGTTTTAAAGTCCAGACCAAACGACGTAGGTTTGAAAGAGTGTTTTATCATGCTGAACTTCATAGATGCTACAGGTGGGTTTATAAATGAGTTTGTCTCTAGAGAAACACTGACAGCTGAGGATCTGAATCCGAGTTATTGTCTGATTTTGTTTGTTTTCTTGCAAAACTGCCTCACTCTGTCTTTGCTAAACACTTCTCACTTTCAGTCCAAACTTCACCTCGGCTTAAATATTAGGAAGACAACCACACAGTTCAACTGGTTCTTCTTCTCTCTTAAGTCAGATATTGTCTGATTTCTTCAGTTTTTCTGTCTGCAGCTCAGCAGATGTGCTTCACGCAGATGACAGATCAATTCTGAGAACGAGACGTCTCAGTTTCCTTAAACCCTCCACATCTGCTCAGATTAAAGACAGCAGCATCACGTGAGTACAGTCCTGTTCGCCGAGACGATTTATACTCTGCACTCAGGCATCCATAATGAGACATATGTTGTGTATGTGTTCAGACAAACACACAATTTTTCTGCATTTGCAGCTCGGACAGACAGGTACATCTGCTCCATGAGGAAGACATACGGCACTGATTGGCTGAGTCAGCACAACATGACAGATGCATGGATAGCTGTCCGACAGTCATTACACACACACGTGCACACACGTGCAGACAAAGCTGTGTGATTCATGCACCTGTGCAGACTGCATGCACATTTCTGATTATGCATGCACATGCAGAATCGCGCACACACATGAACACGCACCGTGGCGCTGGATGGTAGATGGATACTCATCTCTCTCAGCTGCATCAAAGGTCAGGGAGGAGTAATGAAGTAAGAAGTTCAAGGAGAAAGACATCGAGAGGCAGAGAATAAGAGAGGAGAGATGTATTGTTATGTGAAGAGCAGAGAGGGGAGCTTGTCACCGCAGATGGACAGATACGTGTCAGGATGCAGAAACGAGTCGGAGAGACATGGAGGAGATCAAGAGCACATGTCAGGAGAGGGTGGGAAAGGCAGAACAAAGAGGAGGACAAAGACGAGCACAGATGGAGAGGATGAACCATCCAAGGTCAGCTGATGTGAAGTAATGCATCAGAAAGGAATCATCTCCTCCGTCCTTCAATCATCCGTCCATCCCTCCATCTTCCCTGGCACTGCCATGCTTTAAAGCCGTCCCTTTGGCACGCACACACACGCATTTTTCAGGCATGATGAGCGTCGTTCATTAGGGGCCGGGGGCTTTCGTATGCAGCGCAGCTACCTTGCAGTCACCTCCTCGGCATCCCAATTACCTCTGGTCTACTTGATGTTAGATTTATTAAAGTTAATGAGCCGACTGGCCATCTGTTGAGCAGCACGAGGGGACGATCGGCAGCGAGGGCAGAAGACGCACGACAAAAAAAGCTGCAAGGGCAGAGTCGGCTCATAAAGGAGGCGAGAAGGCACAGAGGAGAGACAAAGAGACTCCTTTCCTTCTTCCTTTCCTCTCTCCTTTCCTTTCCTTTCTCCCTGCTGCAATCAAAGCCGAGCTCTCACATCACTCCTGTTTTTTCCTCTCTCCCATACGTCTTGCATTCTTTTTATAGTGTTCATATTTCAACTATACGGCTCTATATATGGCGGGGATATATATGGCATATGATTAACGGCCCTCAGTCGACTCTGTATGTCCAATAAATCACAAATATATATATTTTACAGACTTATATACTTCTTGGAGCCGGAGATGAAATTTTAATTTGAGATAGCGGTTCTGCTGCTGCTGGCCAGTGTATATTTTATTCTCTCTCAGGCCTCAGTGGTCGCCTGCTGAGGCTCCTCTTTACCCCCTTTGTTGTGGCTTCATCCTCCGGTGGCTTTTCAAAGGCTCCAGAGACTCCGGAGGGCACGACCCAAACTGTTTGTGTGCGTATATATTTCTTTGTAAGTGTATATTTGTCACATGCATGCATTTCAATAAACACAGCCCTCTCACTTCCTCTCAGGGAGAAGTTTATTGTATTTGTGTGGGGGCATGTGTGTGTGTGTGTGTGTGTGTCGCCCGCAGGAGCAGCCACACGCTTTAGAAACCATTATAAATCCCTGTCAGGTGCAGGAAGGATATGAAAATCTCCATGACAGGTGTGTGTTGCCACAGATTATCCACTTTGTCACATTTATCTCCCAGCCAAATATAGCGCTTTGAGCTCGTCCTCTTTATCTAATCACCAAAAAAAAAGAAAAATACATAAACATCTGGGCTGAGCAGACTGAGCAGTTACAAATTATCTCCTGCAGCACACCGATTCAATATCCTTCAAGTCCCCAAGGTGAGAAAGTTGAATTATTTTAAGTAGTTGAATTTCGTGCAACACTGCGAGCGACTGTGTCATGTCATTTCTGTCTCCCTGCTGTGTATTTATAACTATATTGGACCACATTTGGCTCCACAATCATATTTGGATCCATGAATTTAATAAATAAATCCCCACAGGGAAAATATGAGGAGCTAATGGCCTGGTAAGTAAATATCCTCTCAAGAGTCCAATAATAATTCTCACTGGGTGCCTCTACAGGAGCTGCTTCCAGGGTTTATGTGCACATTAAATACCATTATTTGTTTTTTTATTGGGTTAAATTAAATCGGTGAGTATAGGATTGATATTGAAGATCATCTCTGCAGGCCGAACGCTTTAAACAATCTGTCGGCTCCCAGCATCCTCCGCTCCACGTGTTGGCGGGATTGTTTTCCTACTTGCCTGTAGGGTCGGAAATGAAATGGAGGTAATAAAGGGGCAATTTCAGGTGATTACTGCAGCTGTTTGCTCAAAACTGAATGATGTCTACAGGAATCGAAAGTGAGACTAAACACTCGGTGTGCACCCAGGGTTCGATATGTTCAGGTTAAAGATTAAAAATCCTCTGAGCGGAGACGATAATAAGATGAGGAGCAGGAGCAAATCAACACTGAGTCAGGGTACGAGGGCAGCGCTTACTACTGCTCAGACACAGGAGCGACTCTGAGCCCCGACTTCTTTCTCCGTGTGCAGCTTCGTTTACAAACTTGACGAGCAGACGTGTGTCCACATTGACATCTAAATAAATGTAACGGCTGCTCTCTCTGTCTAAAAGTCTCAGTTTCATTGTGATCATAAGTTAAAAAAGAGGGTGTGTAAAGCTGATTTTTTGTCATTTTGTTTCACTTAAAGGGGGTTAAGCTTATTGATATATAACGGCATCATGATGAAGGTTTGTCAAGAGTTAAAAGCCGAGCTTTGTCAGGTCAGTCCTCAATTGACGTTTTATATAAAACTGACTTTTTTAGTGATTTCTTGAACTTCAGGGGTCTTAAGTTTGATGACGTAACAGCAACATAGAAACTTCTTCAAAGTAAAAAAAGTCAAGATTTGTTAGGTCACTCCTTAATCCTCAGGGGTCCTTGAAAAAAGTTACGTTCAGGTCCTTATGTGGACAAAAATGTCCATCTCCTAAAAGTGCTACAAAAATATTAAACATTCATTTTTTTTTCCACTTTTTTTGCTTAAATCTTTTAATCAACTTCATTCCTGATCAAATCTATCAAATATTAATTCGTTTTCAGATCACATTTTAAAAATTTGGAAAGAAAAAACCCTGAAAAAATTATCCTATTTGCATTGTAGGGGAATGTCTTCACACATTTAGGTTAAGAAATATAGAGTAATTATCTTTTAGTAAGAAGCTACAAATAGTCTAGGTTGGCCTGCTCCTGCTGCCCCACGACCATGAGATTGTAAGCAAGGCTGTCTTGCAGGAGCCCAAACTATCTGTCTGTTGGAACATGTAATCTCTGCCAGGGTCAAGACGAACCTAAACAAAGTGTCGTGGGGCAGACATGTCATCATGAGGGGCCTGCTGGAGAATACACACACACACACACACACACACACACACACACACACACACACACACACACACACACCTAACAGCATAAAAGAGAGAAGAAGAGAAGCTAGAGGAGGCTTCCTTGGGTCTTGGTCGAGACTCTATTTGTCATCTGTACTGATCTCTACATCTGTACAATTAAAGACGCCCCAGGCTGTTCTTCAGATCTCATCATGTCTCCTGTACATTGTTTTACTGAGTTTATGTTGGACGTTCCACAACATAATTGGCGAGCTTTAGCCAGAATTCGTTTCGGGGGACAAGGGACCATGGTTCTGCGAACTTCACATGGGATAAGGACACTCTGTGCGCACAAAAAAGAAAAAGGTAGGATATTTCCTAAAATTTGGTTGAGAGTTCTTCTCCCTGTGAGGTGGTACGGACTACTGTTCTCTGTCCTCTTCGAATCAAAGAACCTAGAATAGAAATAAGAGGAGACAGTGGGAATGAAGACAGTCTGAGAAAACTGCATGCATGCAGTCAGCTGATCAAAGTCTGCTAAATTTGTGAGGAAGCCAATTGAAATTGAATATATATCAGCTGATTTAAGAGAAACTGCAGTTGACTGTGTGAAACTGCCTCACGCTGTTGCATGTGTGAGATGCCATATGTAGAGCTGTAGGCTGCTACATATGAGGGATGCCACATGTAGAGCTATAGGCTGCTGCATATGAGGAATGTCACATGTAGAGCTATAGGCTGCTGCATGTGTGAGATGCCATATGTAGAAGCCATAGGCTGTTCTATGTGTGAGAAGCTATAGGCTGGGTGCAGAAGCACTTCGTCTTCCTAAAGGGTGAGACCGCCTCACGCTGCTATAAGTGTGAGATTGTCACATGTGAAGCTATCGGCTGGGTGCAGAAGCATTTCGTCTCCTTCAGAGTGTGAGACCGCCTCACGCTGCTTTAAGTGTGAGATTGTCATATGTGAAGCTATAGGCTGGGTGCAGAAAAGCACTGGCCAGTAGCTTGGGGAGACAGCCGGGCCCGGGTTGTGATGTGTTTTTTTTTTTTTTTTTTTTTTAGGCTGAATGCCTGGAGATAAAAAGGTTCAGGGTAATTTTTGGGATAACAAGGGGAGGGGCAGACACGAGTGTGTCTGTCCATTGTTGAACTGTGAATTTTAGACCATCTTTCATGAGCTCTGAAAGGTGGCAGCTGATGGACGAGCAGATTCATCTCGTAATACATACGTGGATTTTCTTTCTGGAAAACTCCACTAGAAAGTGGATTTGTCATGCGAAGTTCCGCTGAGGCTTAAGAAAAAGCCAAAAGGAGAACGAAAGTGGCATATTTCCTCCTAAATTCTGATCCAGAACTCTAGAGGGCCGAATAAGTATAATGACGGAATAGTAGATATTTGAAATGAACATATATATATCTCTTTTATATGTCGAAGACCTCACAAAATCAGTGTTATAATTGGACTTAAATTACAGATACAGATTGGCTTGATGAGCAGGAGATAGAAAAAGAGGTCAATAAGGATAGGCTGAAAAACCTATTCAAGGATCCCAATTGAACAAGCACGTCCCATATCTCCTGACCAATTGTAGAAGAATCACACAAATTGAAAAAAAATCACACAAATTGGAAAAATTGAAGAAATCAAAACAAGAATTAAAATAGAAGACTGCTGACTGACTCCAGTGACTGACTTTGACTTCAAACACGTGTGAAAGGGTATACCATTGTGTGATAAAAAAGTGAAGTGTGTGGGTTGATTGGATGTTTGTGTGTGTCTGTTTTGTTCTGTGTCAACTAAGTTCTCTGGCAGTGTTCACAGCCAGACTCTGCATCTGTGTGTGTGTTATGCTAGTCAAAGATTGCTGTGTTTTCCTCACTTGTGTTTATTTCATAGTTGTTTATGTGAATACTGTGCTCATTGCGGTCATGTTATCAGTTGAGACATAGAAGGTTAAATACTCCTGGGAAAGAGGTTCTGTTCCTAGTACCATGATGAACACTCCTGATATGAAGGTTTTAGCTTATGCTTAAATATTATGTTTTTTTTTTTTTTTTTGTTGTGAACACGTCTTATGCTCCGTAACCAATTTTCTGTGTTAAAGCTGCTGAAATAATATTTGTAAAAGTATAAAAGATACAAAAAGGGGAAAAAGAAATGAGGTACCACAAGTGCGAAACTTCTAAAACTTCAAATCTAAGAGTTGCTTCTATACATCTGCTGTTTTTGCCAAAATACTGGGTTTTTTAAATATTATTGAAGCTGTTAATATCAATACTGACTATTGCTATAGAACTGCAGTTAAGGCAAAAGCTTTATACTGTGTATTTTTTGGGAATTTTACAAAACTGCTGGGGATCAAGTTTTGATGTGTGTGCTCATTTGAATAATAAATTTTACAAAAACCATGATCAGAAAGGGAAGATTAGTTTAACTCCAATTGCACTGGTAGGGTGTAAATATCCTGATCACTTAAAAATATCCAAAAACTTACAAAGAAATGGGAACAATGAGTCAAGGGGTTTGAATTTTTATGACCTAGGGGAGGCACATCTGATTTGGCTGTGTGTGAGGATTTGGAGCAGCGAATCTAAGGCCATAAACACAAAGATAAAGTAAAACACGCAAAAACAAGAGATATGGAACTAAAAGTACTGGACATGTTCAAAGATTTGTGTCATTTTCATACTTTATATTATTTGTTTTTTCTTACTCATGCGATGATCTTTTGAACTAATAAATAAGAATAGAATAAAAACTAAAACTTTTCTATCTTAGGTTGCCTTTAAACTTATTATTATTATTATTATTATATATTTTTTTTTTTTTTTTTCTTATTTATCTCTTTTGAATTTCCAAATGATTTATAATCATTGCTATTTTGTCCCATATGTTTTGAAAAGGTAATTGACAGTTTTCGTGAAATTGTGCTGTGGAAAACCACACACCTTGTTGGGTTGATTGCCAGACTACCACAAACTGAACAGGGGGCAGGGAGATGGATACGAGTTTTTGAGGATGAACTGTAAGAAAATGTTGACTACACCAGACATGAAAGCACTCTTGGCTCAACTGCTGGGAACTAAGACGATGGAGGAGTCTCTGCGCAAGGCAAAACAAGGTTGGATGACGTATCCCATGATAGATGGGAGTGAGTTCAATGCATATTGTGATGTGATGTGGAGTACAGACTCAGGCCACGATGGTGGCCACCTCTAAGGAAGACACTGCAAAAGAGACCCAGCGATGCAGACCGTGCAGAGGCTAACTGCGGTAAAACCTGTGACAGTAACCTGTTTAATCACCTGTTGTGAATGTTTATCCTCAGACAGAACCCTGCTCCATAGAGAGGATATATCCCGGCAGGGGGAGAGAGTGGAATTCTGACGGATGTGTGACGTCTATAGACCTGCTGGAGATGTGATCATACCAGACATTTTTGACAACTGCCCAGACCAGGGACGTCTCTGGCTGGAGCTGTGGTGGGGAGCCCCAGCCCAGACAATGTGAAAGTGGTGGCTCACTACAGTGTGATTTTTGTGGATGATGGAAAAAGTTAATTTTTGGTTTTAATTTTAACCCTGTTGACCTTATAGACCAAAGAGCCCTATGTAGAAGTAACATTCAAAGTTGGTGCTCACCGCAAGGTGTGTAAGTAGACAGTTATGGTTTATAGTTTTAAGTAAATATCGTGACATTAGCATTGTAACATTCCTGTTCTGTTAGTTTAATACTGATAAATCTAAATGCAGCTGTGCTGAATCCACATACACTCCTGACAGGTGTGCCATCTAATGTAAAAGTAATAGAAAGCTATCAAAGGCCAGTAAGGCCACAGAAAATGGTTTAGAGTCAAATAACTAGTTTTTGTACCAGGAGTATTAACAAACGAACTTAGGATCTGACTTTCACAGTGATTCACACTGTGCAAGGGGGGAGATGATGAGACAATTAAAACGACATTTTTAGAATATGCTGACAATAGTTGATAAACTTTTGGGTCATTGTGATATGTGTTTTGTTAGATAAATTGAAGAGAACAATAAAACAGTAGTGGGACACTTTCCAGTTCCAGAGAGATGCTTTTAGAAATCTATTCATAGACAATGTGGACATGATTAAAACTGCCAAGGGATATGTTACATGTTTGTAATGATGACGGGTTCAGTCGATGGATAGAAGCAACACCATCAAAAGATCTTGGAGTCAAAATAAATCTTTAATTGTATGAACTGGTACATCATTTTGGGGAAGAAAGTTAATCTCTCAAGTAAATATCTGATCAGAGAATTTGCACTAACACTAACCTATAGGAAGATGCTTTTGCTACTTGCGCTTATGAGCTTTCACAATCAAAAGCACTGAGATAAATCTTTCACTGCATGATTGACTAACTTACAAAGCTATGCTTTACTGCGGCTAAATAATTAAGTTTTTCGCTTGAGCAGCTGAAAATTAGTGAATTAAATATATGAGGCAGCTAACTACGATACAAAGATCTATCGATTAGCAGGAGGAGTGCCAAAATCTGATCCCAGTCAAGAGGGGGAGGCCAGTCGAGCCAGAGCACCAGGTGTACATCACCGTCCTTTGAGGAGGGTGGCACAAAGAACGAGGAGAAGACCTGAACACTTTGGTCCTGGTGAACTCTACTTCAGTGCAAGAAAAGGGCAGTATGGTGTGGCGTCATCTACCGCTGACTGCCCAGAAAAACAAGGGAAGTATGACTTGATAAGAGACACCCCCAGAATGACTGTAGCACTCGTCCTGAAAGTAACTGTTTTCCTGGTGTTGTTGTTGTTGGACAATGTGTGGAGAGAGACCGAGAGAGAGACTGATGACAACAATGAGGGTGAAGGTCAAACTGGTGCCAGTACAGCTGTGAGAAGAAGAAGTGGGAGACATTGTTATCGCGGGTGAGTACGATGCAACCCAAAACACAATCCACACCACTCCAGACAGAGCTAGAACCCATGCCAACATTCACAGATTATTACAGATTTACAATGAGGTTAAATAGATAATAAAATTAAAAAGTATTTTGTGTGTGGTAATGTGAGAATGAGAGAGGATGTGAAGAGAAAAGATGTGTCTTAAAAGGTTGTAGGGGAATGTCTTCACACATTTAGGTTAAGAAATATAGAGTAATTATCTTTTAGTAAGAAGCTACAAATAGTCTAGGTTGGCCTGCTCCTGCTGCCCCACGACCATGAGATTGTAAGCAAGGCTGTCTTGCAGGAGCCCAAACTATCTGTCTGTTGGAACATGTAATCTCTGCCAGGGTCAAGACGAACCTAAACAAAGTGTCGTGGGGCAGACATGTCATCATGAGGGGCCTGCTGGAGAATACACACACACACACACACACACACACACACACACACCTAACAGCATAAAAGAGAGAAGAAGAGAAGCTAGAGGAGGCTTCCTTGGGTCTTGGTCGAGACTCTATTTGTCATCTGTACTGATCTCTACATCTGTACAATTAAAGACGCCCCAGGCTGTTCTTCAGATCTCATCATGTCTCCTGTACATTGTTTTACTGAGTTTATGTTGGACGTTCCACAACAGCATCTGGTCGAGTGTGTCTGGTTGGCTGTGGGTCGCTGTACTCAGAGTGGGACTAACGTTAGCTTTCATGCTAGCTGCATCATGTTTAGCATTTAGGTGATAGCGGAGGCTTGACGTGCTGCGATGATATGCTAATTCTTTTCTGCATAGTTTGCACAAGACTATTTTTGTATCCAGGCTTCCATCTAACTTTTTCTTTTTAAACAAAAATGTCCATCCACGCCGGAGCCAATCAAAGCGCATCCAACCGTGACTTTGTTCATTTCTCCATGTGCTGGAATCACTGCTGCACTCACTCATGTTGGGGTGCGCCGGTATAAGCAGTACACCTGAAACTTGTCCAATTAGAAACGTAACTCGGTGCAAAAATACAGTAGGTGTGATTAATATGTGTTAATATTTTTAAAGAAGTAATATTCCTGTAATTAATTAATCGCAATTAACGCATTAAAGTCCCGGCCCTAACTATTATAAAACACCTCAGCACTATAACCCAACATTGTTTATTCAGAGCTGTAATACGACTCATGAACTTTAGCGGCACTGAAGAGCAGGAGTTTTTAATTGAACTCTTTCAAATCTGCTGTTTTTTTAATCACCTGTCATATTTACAAAAACTTCCTATTTCTTTGTTCTGGAAACTTCAGGACAAAGTGTCTCAAATTCATCCCATGCACCAACAGACGCCTGTTTGTGTGTCTGATGGATTCTGCAGAATCTCATGATGAGCCTTCAGTATATACCGGATCACTCTAAAGCACTCATTGTTGCAGGACAGCGTGTTCACGTGCTGCTGTCACGTGTCTTTGGAGCTGAGATGTGTTGCGGTGTCCTCCACCTCTGAACTGCCTCTGAAGTGAGCTGCATGGCTGCGGTGCCTCGAGGCGGTTAATGCACAGTCTCATATCTGACAGCACACCGTAATTCACTGGATATGAAAAAAACATGGACTGAAACATCCCCGCCAGTCTTTAACCGAGTTCTGAGTGAAGTTCTCCGTTGTCCAGAGTCGTCTCCTTTAACAGCTCCTGACAGAGGCTATCGGTTTGGGAGTTTGGAAGATTGCTTTCTAAATTCAATGGGAGGATTTTGATCCCGTCTTCTCTGACCGCTAACCTCGTATTAGCTCAGGTGTAGCATGTCAGGGCACAAACTTAGCTAACCTTAACTCCACTTCACTCCTCAGAGAAACAGAAACATGCCTCGGCTCAGTGAGCCACCCAGACGCCAGCCTTTATTGTTCACAGAGTTGAGGGGTCAGTGCTTTATGGAGGGCGACACGAGGACTGTCGACTCCAGCTGGGCCTAACTACAACCATGTGAGCACCTGAAAGTCATTATCCTCCTCTGTGACCAGACTGAACCATCCCTCTCTGTCGTCCCACGCTGTAAATTGTGGTCGTCGGTACAAAGACTGAGGAGCAATTTCAGTCGACTCCCTCCCTGATGTGGGACCGGGCCGACGAGGGCGCCACAGGGATGAGGTTTAAGTCTCTTCACCTCTGAACTCGTGTTTGTATAACAAAGGAATAAACGGGAAAATGAAGATGAAGTGAACGGAGAGGTGAGGAGGGAGGGAGAAAATGAGGGTTGAAGAAGAAGAAGGAAAACGAGGATGATTGAAGGAAGTGACAGGAGGATGCTGCAGAGGAGAGAGGTGGAGGAGGTGGAGGAGGAGGAGGAAGAGAGGAGCCGATCAAATTTTATGGTTGACTTATCCCTTTCACAGCCCCTTGAAATAGCCAAACAATTTACAATCATCCAAAGCATTAACCTTTCACGAGCCAGAGGGACTCAGTGTCCGTGATGCTGCAATGAGGCGCTTTGCATGCCTGATGAATCCACGCGGGGAAATAACTCATTCAGCAGGAAAAAAGAAAAGGAAGGCGAAAAAGGAGGAGTGTATTAGCAGAGGAGGAGAGGGAAGAGCGATGCTTCACGGAGTCTTTTGTTCGAGGCGGCAGATTGGCTCGTGCACTACGGTGAAAGATGGCGAGAGAGGTTCATGTGGCTTCCTCGCCCCTCTGTTGTTCATACTTCTCGTTTTTCAGGTGAAGAGGAGAGGACGGGAGGAGGAGGTGAAGCGCCACAGGGAGAGACAGGAGATGAGGGGAAGCGTTAAGAGCAAAAAGAAGAAGGCTTGATTCCCATCTCGTGGCAGGGAGCCAATGTCCACGCTATTTACTGCATGACAGCCTCCCATATCTCCATCAATCCCATAACACGAGCGGGGAAAGAGAGACGGGGGTGGAAGGGCCGAGAGGGACAGAGTGAGAGCGTGCATGAGGAGAAAGGAAAGGAGGGAAGGAGGAGAGCAGGGACTGCAAACAAAGGAACTGGAGAGTGAGAGGAGGTGGTTATTTAAAGGTGGAGCGTGCAAACCTGAGTCAAACATGCAGGAATCTGTCTTCAATCTGAGAAGCACAAATCTGAGAGGAATCAGACGACAGCAAACTGATCCAAGAGAGACCAAACACTCAGAGAGAGAGAGAGAGAGAGAGAGAGAGAGAGAGAGAGAGAGAGAGAGAGAGAGAGAGAGAGAGAGAGAGAGAGAGAGAGAGAGAGAGGTGAAGACAAACAGAGAAGACCTGATGATCTTCACCTTCACTATGAAAGACGCAGACACTGTTTCAGTCCTGCACAATTTTTCTTTGTTCAACATTATGAACAAGAACCAGACACAGATTTTCACACTCAGTCAAGTATTTTTAGGTCAAGAAGTCAGACCCGAACTTTGGTGGAGCATCACCGTCCAAACACAGCAGTGGGTCCTGTGGTTCTGTCAGGTATATATGTAGTAGGTTTACATGCACAGTGAAGTTGAGCCTCAGTTTTAGCTCGATAAGGTGGTTTAACTGGACGACTATCCATGTTCCAGTTTACAAGAACTGAAGTACAGACAGAAGCATGTCCGCCTCCTTCCTGCATGTTCCTACCAGGATGTCAGTCGACCAAAACAATCAAAAGCTGCACCTGTATGCTTGACTCATAGCATGCAACTCAAAGTACTACAGTAAAGAGAACAGACACACTGATGCAAAAGCTGCACTGAGTCAAGGAGAGGACAAAAGTCAAACTCGGCTTGGACTGATAATCACAACACTGTTTGCAAAATAACCTGAACAGTCATTGGTTTGGCTTGTAAATTTGCATTTAAGTGATATTTTAATCCTGTTTTCTGCAAAGTGCATGTAACTTTAGATTGTTGAGCCATCTGTGAGCTTTATAAAGTAAAAAATGCATCATTAAAAATCATCATTATGTCATTAAAGTTCACAACAGACCGGACAGCTGAAGTGCATGTAAACACCTAAGTCTGACCTTAGTCGGAGTTTGAGAACTCTGATTAAAACACCCAGATAATGTGATTGGAATTCGATTTTCTCTACCGTGTAACCAGCGTAGCCGGAGTATGATCGGACAATGCATGTGTGCGTGCGCCACGCATCCGTAACCCCGGAATAAAAACACCAGAGAAGAGGTGGCGCTACCATTTGAAGAACTTACGACTCAGAAACAACTGCAACATGGTTGAAGTACGCAAGAATGTCCACTTTTGGAACGACGAGGAGGAGAGCGCCGTTATGCTTTCCATCCTGACAGAAACGGACATTTTAAAGTATCTGGACGGCTGCAAATCGAGGAACGAAGCGCCGCTGAAAAGACCCATATAGCCCTCTAGTTTTGGACAAAGAGGACATGTTTAGTCAATAATTTGATTTTCTCAGCTGCATGTATACGAGGACAAGAAGAGAAGTCTGATTCAGCGATAAAAATGAAAGATGCAGAAAGATGCAACCATAGATTCATTACGGTGTGCAAAAAGGGAAATAAAATGTGTACATCAGTTCATTTTAATACCTAAAATAAAAATTAAAAATAGCCTTTTACTGCAGTGACTGAAAAAATGTTCTTGTTTTACAGCTCTAGGAGTGTTTAAATGAAAGAGGAGGCGTCGGCGTACATCTGTAAGAGCATTAAGAGGAGGAAATGAAAGTTTCTGAACTCTAATCTGTTAGAGCGAACTGTGAACCTATCACAGACGTGAGCTACGCTAATTATTAGAGCAGATACAATTACAGTCGCAGAGACAAATTGAGACGAGGGTGAGAGGGGGAAAGGATTGATAACGGAGAGAGAGAGAAAGAGACAGAGAGGGAGAGAGAAATACAGAGACAAAGAATCTGCATACAAATGACTCCTTTTAGCTAATTAGCAGCAGCGCTAAGAGCCCTGGGAGAATTAGCCTCGTACTGTACGCCGCCGCCGCCACCACAGCCGCCACTGCTGCTAATGCACCGTGGTCCTATAGGTGGGGAGACCGAGCCCGTGGCCACAGGGGCTCATAAGCAATGTGTGTCATCATCAGCGAATACCATCAGTCATAGAACAAAGGAGGCACACGGGTCAAAGGCAGCGCTACACGGCTGCACACTGCTTCTCTTCCTCCTCTTCTTCCTGTCCTTCACTTAATTTTCCATTAACCCCTTCTTCTTCCTCCTCCTCCTCCTCCTCATCCTCTCTTCCTCATCACCGCTTCCCCCTCCTGCTATCTTTTACCATCTTTCTCAAGCCGTCCCGTTCCTTTGTGTGCGTGAGTCAATTAGCCAGCCCTTTAGTTTTGATTTATAGACCGCGGACCTCCTATGGCCTAATGGATTGCTGTGAATTAATATGCAATACTTAAACGTGTGTGTGTGTGTGTGTGTGTGATAAATTAAAGAGCAGGAGACACAATAGAGGTCACTGAGGTACCACTTTCTGTACCGACGGTCTTTAAATCGGCCCCCGATTTCATCCCTCACTTGAAAGAAATGATCAATTTGTAAGGTGGACGTAATGGATTATGAACAATAATAGAGTGACTGCCGCGCGCTCGTTTGGACCCCCATTTAGTCTGTGGATATCCCTCACCAGGTGGAAATAATTAGGCCCTTCATAAAGATCGGGAAGCGATTGTTATTGTGCGAAACAAAAGGCGTTATTGGACGGCGAGCGCTCCGAGGTGATTCATGGCCTCCTGTTTTTATTTCCCTTTGTGGAGCCCGAACAACAACAAAGGGAGCGGAGGGACAAGTCCTGCCCCGTGGTGCAGGGAGGAGAGAGGTCAGGGGAGGTGCAAGTATACATCACCATCATCCCCCTCATCATCATCATCATCATCATCATCATCATCATCATCGTCGTCGTCTGACTTTTGTAACAAACACTCCATGACTGCGGGCTATTTACACCAATCCAAAGTCAAGGGGCCTGCTGCTGGTGGTTTATAGTTCAGGGGTCGTGAACTCTGTGGTCTATATCAGACAGAGGGCCTGCCCGCACCCCCGACACACACATATACACACTCACGCACACACACACACACACTCAGAGAGGCAGTGCATCATCCGAGGTCCATAAAAACCTTTAATCTCCAGTAGTGTCAACTTTTCAGCATCTGAGGAAAAAACAACCATCTGTTTTAGTTTGGGCGCAGAGATTAGGAGAGGTTATCTGCAGCTCAGCACCATCAGGTCGGCTCTTTCTTCATCTGCTCTGAATTAATAGAGGATTTCTCTCTTGAATTACTCGATTTGATCCTTTAAGTTCAACAGAAATGTTGCGATCAGGTCAAACCTTTCTGCTTTTGTGCCTCAGAGATGTTTTCATCCAACAGAAGAATAACACGCTTTCAAAATGTCTGCAGCAGCATCAGAACATGGTTGGAGTTTTGTGTCTTGGCTCTGATCTCATCACTCCTGCAGTTTCACTTTCACATGCACAAATTATGGGGTGATAAGACGATCTCCTGAACCCCAAAGTCAGAGTCTGCAGGTGGATGCTGGGGCGGTGGTGGGTGCATGGCAGTGGAGGTGATAGCAGCATCAATAGAGCACCAAACTGAGAGTGTCTACCATGTGATCCTGAGAAAGATGCACACCAAGTTTGGAATCAGTGTTCCTCGTCTTATCCTGCCTGAACTAGCTCTCAGGCTTTGCTCCATTTTAGTGGAGGCATCTCAGAGGTTTTGTCTGAGTGTTTCTGTAGCTTGAACTCACTTGTTTCCGTCTGTCTCCTCTCATGACCCCTGAATACGACCCCTCCGTGACCCCTCATAAGGACCTGTACGTCTATCATCTGTCAGAATTCAGCAGCTCAGTTTAACAGTGATTTAACCTTCACAGAGAAAACTCTGATGACTGACAGAGTGACTGATGCAGGTGGAGTATAAACCAGATCTTCTTTGTGCTCGTTGTCTGTCTGGGTACTCTTCACCGCTTAATCTTGACCTTTCCAGATTTGCAGGTCCACGACTTCATGCATATTACCTAACTTACAGTGTAAAACAAATCTGGGTGCAATGCATGAGTTTTACACCCTGATTTCAAATTTCTGCACCCTCAATTAAATGAATGCAATGAAATAATATTTTTGCATTGTATTTTAAAAGGATGATGACAGATGTATGTGACCCACTCCTCACATTGTTTGCATCATGTGTGCAAACATGTCGGCTTTCAACCTCCACTGCTGCAGAATAGGGCTGCACGATTAATCGATTTTAAATCGTAATCGGTTTATTTGATTATGACGATGTTTAAAATATGAAAATCGTCAAATTGATTTCTCTTGTCTATCATGTCTCGCACCTCCAGGCCCCAGTAGGCTCGTCCTTCCTCCCCAGTTTCCACACACACCAGTGTAAACAAACATGGCGTTTGCAAAAGAAGGTGATAATTTCGCGGTTAAATAGGACAAGAGCAAGTCAGTCGTGTTGAATTGGTACGACTTCGCAGTTTCAGACGAAGCGCAAACCACTCCCCGCTGCAAAGTCTGCCTGAAGGCGGTATTAACCCGTCACCACGGAAACAAATTCAGGAGGATACACAAAAGTTTTTTGTCGTATGGGCGTTTCATCCACATGGAAACGGCGTTTCAGGTGACTGTAAACGGTACTTTTCGAAAACGAGTCGGTGAGTGAATAAATCCGTAAACAACAACCATTGTCATGTGACACAAAGCGTAACTCTTTTATGGCGCCTGGACGTATCCGACCAAAAAAACATTTATAAACATGTGATCTGTTCTTCTGTGCAGCGTTACAGCGCCACTTCCTGGCTCCGCATAGGCACTACATCGTTTTCAGTGGTTTCGTTTTGGGAGATGATAGAAAAACGTTATTTTTTAGGTGAAGTTTGATGAAGTTGTCACTGAATCAAAAATCAAAAATCGAGTTTTCAGAGAAAAAAATCGGGATTTTATTTTTGGCCAAAATCGTGCAGCCCTATCTGCAGACATTCCCGCCAATCAGATCACTAACATCACAAGTCCAGCCAAAGATAGTTCCCTAGTTGTCGCACCTACATACAGCTTGCCTAAAGCACCTCAACACTGCCATTGCTCAGCAACCACCCTTAGATTCATTGCAGCAGCTCCTTTCATTTCAGTCATCCAGTTACAGCCCTCGGTCTGAATAAATGTCCTTTTTTTTTTAGGTGTGCGTGCGAACTTCACGCCACCCCTGCCAAAGTCAGCGCCCCCGCTGCGAACACGGACTCGAGTTTGTAAACAAAAGTTTTGAAGCGGATCGAGCGCAGTAAGCAAAAGCCTGATGTTTGTGTGTCATCATCGTCATTAAATAGTTTCTGCTGAGTGATGAGCTAAAGTGATTCTTCATTTCCCTGCATGATAACAATGAGTCACCGAGAGCCCAGAGAGGATTCAGAGAGCTTTTAATGAGCATTAGGGCCATTAAAGCTGCTGAGCACACACACCCCGTGATATTATATCAACCTTAAAATCAAGTTACAGAATGAGTCAGTGCTCACATGGGACTCTGGAGGTATACATGTAATGGCAGCGGCTCGGCAGTGGGAGATGTATAACTGTGGCAGCTGCCCTGGAGGGCCGCTGATAATACTCAATCTAACAGACCTCATTAAGGGACCCTTGTTTTTTACCTTCTCCATCTAACCCCAGATCTCGGCGGCCCGTCACTGCTTTCAACAGAGGTGATGAAAAAGCACCGGTCTAATCATTTCTTTTTCCTCACGCCGCGGCCGCAGAGAGCATGTGTGCGTGCGTGGACGCAGACAGAGATTATTAACGGTTTAATGGCTAACGAAGCCTGACAGGTGCTCCTCTCGCTGAGATTTAAGAGCGCTGGGTTAATGACGGTGTGGGTGAGATTGTCATAACTCACAATAAGGCCATTAAAGTGATATTACTGAGAAAGACTTTGGCTGATATGGGCTCAACTATCCAACAAGGTGGCATTGGGTGGAGGCTTCTGCCATTTTTCAGAGTATTTTTTTTTCTCTGTATTCGCCTGCAGCTCGGTGTAAATGAGCTCTGACTGTGAAAAATCTTTAGGGGAAACAAGTGAGACAAAGGACGGCGCTGTGGGGTCCTGCAGCAGGTGTGCAGAGGCAGTAAATAACTGCAAAAGCATGCAGCAACATCTCTGATTAAACCTTTAGTTTAGCTTTGCTGTCATTCACACAATCGATGGCTTTAAAAAGTGGTTAAACGCACCTCTTGTTAGGTGGAAATGAGAATTAAACTAGAAGAAAACTGGGATTTTTATTCGGCTTTTCACGTCTTTTGTTCCCTCCTCTGTGAACAAAGAAGAGCACATTCCTCCACTCAGAGAAACACTGATCACCAGTTGAAACTGCAGGACAAACAATGAGGAGAGAGAGAGAGAGAGAGAGCAGTGGCACAAGAGTCTGTAGTTCACTTCTCCCCTCTAGTGGTCAGCAGGGGGCACTGCAGAGATCAGGAGCCAGAGGAACAAAGGAAGAAGGGATGAACAATGGAGAGACCACAGCAGAGAGCAACAACAGCCACAGGGCTGAGGTACAGAGGTGGAGACAGTGTCAGTAATATTTAGTTTTTTTAACCATGTTCAGTCAAATCAAATTTAAATGATGTTTTATCTACTTTTGCATTTGTAGTGTTTTTATCTTGCTGTTTAATTGCTTTAATTTCTTCAACTTTAAGACTGAAATGTCATCAATCACTGCAGTTTGTGATTTCAATTCCTTTATATAAAGAAATAAGATTTTCTACGGTGGCCCTGAAGGTCAACGAGACACGCATTTACAGCAAATAATAAAAATCACTGGACTTGCGAAACATTTTATTAATTTTTTAAAAAGGATAAGCATAAATATTTCAAAAAATATAAAATTTATAAAAAAAATAAGCAAAAAAAATCATAAAATGTAAAAAATAATTTGTCCACGTTTTTTCTTATTTCTATTTATTCATTTATGTATCTTTTTATTTGGTTAGTTTGTTGATTTTATTTTGAAAAATTTTTATTTTTTTTCCCCTTAAATATATTTTTTTGCAAATTTTTTTAAGTTCATGAAATATTTTGTGTTTCAGAAATTTTTCTTTGTTTTTTAAGTTTTTTTTTTTTGTTACGTTAAATAATTTCAATGATTAGTGAAACATTTTTGTTTAATCAAATGTTACATAAATTCACCCTTCAGGGCCACCGTACATAGGCTCATACATTTGGAAGTCAGGCTAACAACACTCAGCTCTACCTTATATCCCTATCGTATAAAAATATTATTTGAACATTAAAAATCTGATTTATTAAAACTGTTTCCGCTGTTTTATGCTCTGTTGAATAGTTTTTCATGTATTTGGTTAATGAATTATTAAAGGATGATGCTGTGAGTTCACAAGAGTCCATTATTGTCTAACATGATGGGAAAACTCAGTTCCCTGTCTGACCTAAAACTGGAATCGTCAAACACGAAAAAGTCGAGTTTCTCTCTGTGTGTCACAGTCTGTGAAATCATGGTAGGAAATGTGCAGAATCCCTTTTATTTGCATGTAAATAAACCCTATAAGAGCCGGAAAAAAACAAACCATATCATAAAATTACCTCAGATTTTACAGCACAGTGACTGCATCAGGGTTTGGAAATGAGGAGAGGGAAATGGGTTTGACACATGGCTGAAAACACAGAGGAATCACCATATTCATGCTCTGAAGCTCATTACACACCAGTTAGCATGTTTGCACTCTCACACTTCACAGCACAGCACGCTAACCTTAGCAAATTAGCACCTTATCCTGTTAATGCACTCGTGTTTAGCATTAAACATTGGGTTATTATGCCAACATGCCCACATTCGAACCATCTGCACTCTATAGGAAGAGGAAAATTCCAGAGGATGACTGAGACGTCAAAAGTTTCATGTTTACAGCGTTTCGCATGGCTGCAAAGAGACATCTTAGTTATCATAAGAGGGGAACAAAAGGTTAAAGGGATATTTCAGTGTTTTTAAGGTACATGTCACCACTGAGAGTATTATAGTCACAGTGGTCCTGACCTGTAATGAGAACCAGCAACAGTTGAGCAAACTCAACAGATCGGACACCGAAACTAAGATGAGCGCTTGGGTTAAGGTCTCTCTGCAGAGAACTGAAGCCCAGTTTGCTTAGCGTCCCTCACTAGAGACATGCAGTTCATTAAAAAATACTGAAATATTCCTTTAAGGCAGGGCTGGACACTAACGTTTTTCACATGTGCACATAAGTTGAAAAAGTAAGGAGCACACAAAGAACTTTAGGGGCACAATAAAAACTGATCAAATGAGGTGTGTCTTATTGGTCGACATAAGTACTATTATGTGAAATCAATTTGAGGTCTTTTGGTCACATGACATGGAAGTTATTGAAGGAAAACAGACTTTTCCGAGAACATCAACCGGTAATTTATTGATGGTCCCTTATTCAACACCGACATTGACAGCGAGGATGTAGAGTAGATTTAGCAGTGCTGCTGAGAGTGAGAAGACACAACGGTAGATCCTCAGTGAATGTCCATCAAATATCCAACCTAAAACTAACTTCACCGCCATATTGATATGAGCACATGTGACCCAAAAAACATTTTACAATTCACACACATCTATTTTTAGTGCGAGTGAAACGGTCGCACTGTTGAGCCCTGCTTTAAGGCATCCAAAACTTTTCTTTCACTACGATTTTATTTCACGGAGACAACAAGGAAACCTCGTCCTCGACGCCTCTGAACTTGGCTGGCCCCGGTGTGTCTGTTCTAATTCTATCATCTCTATAATTGTGCATCATCTCACTTTTCAGATCACTCTGCTCTCAGGTCCTCCGGCCTGTTTGTCATTTAAATGTCTGACAGGTCGACAGCAGCATCCTCATATCCCTCTAAAACCGATCCCTCGTTGCCGTGCTGTGAATCCGTGTCAGCGTGTACCTGCAGGGGTCAGAGCTGCCACTCGAGCCTCTCCACCTCTCCACCTGCTGTCACCTGTACCCTCCAGGACCACACCCAGTCCCACCAAAACCACCAGCAGCACTCGCTCCACCAGTAAGCCCGAGGAGAGGCACTCATCAGATTTCTAATCTCCACCGCGGGCTTTTGAACCATCTGGATATTATCCACAAATACTGAACAGTCTTTGAGTCTCGCTGGCACACCTGGAAACACCTGAGTCAGAGCGAAAGGAAACTTTCTGATTCAACGAGGACTATTAAAGCGGTTTAAATCTGCTCTCCTTTGGATCTAAAGAAATATTAGCACATTAAAAGGTAAGATTTGTCTTCTCTCTGCCTTAATGTCTCTGCTAAGCACTTATAAATTTCCCCTCCCCTATAGATCTCCCATTACCAGATATCTTTACTGTTTCTCACAGCTGTGTGTGTTATCATTAAGACTCATTGTCGGCGATGTAATTTTCACAGTAATTTCACCGGGATGTGGGCTGGATGTAATAGCGCAGCGTGCGTTTGGAGATTGGCCACGTAGACTTCGTGATTGTGTGTGTGTATGTGTGTGAGTGAGTGTGTGTTTGTGTGTGTGTGAATGAGAGATATAAGGTCCCGGCTGATGAAAGGAGAAATGCTCTAATTTATCTCCTTTTTATTACAGATTAAAATGGGTTGCTTCACATTCGTCAAATTGATGATGGTCTTGTTCAACTCTCTTATCTTCGTGAGTATGTTTCCTCTTTGATTGGGTGCTGCAGAGGGAGGAGGAGGAGGAGGAGGAGGAGGAGGACGGCTTTAGGAGCGGGTTCATGGATGGTGTGAAATCTCGGCATTAAAAGAAAACAAGCCAAATCTTTCAAAACGGGGCATTTGTGTTTGTACGTTACATAAACATTTCAGATCAGTGAGGCGGAGGATCTAAATGATGCTCCGCTTTCTCCCCACTGTGGCAATTTTCATCTCATTAACTTCCACAGCTGTAATTTTGCCACCTACATCTTCAGCTTAATGTTGATAACTAATGTGGTTTGTGAAATGGAGAGAAACTTTGGCATGGGTAAGCTGAATCTGGAGCCCACCTGGACCCCCGCTGTCACAGATGAAGCTCCCAGCACTTGTCATCATTTTTCCTCACATTTCCTGTTTCTGCCTGATAAATCGGGTGCTGCAGCTCTAACAGTCGCAGCAGCAGCGCTCTGATTATGATGCGCTCCTCCTCTCTGAGATGATAAAACGATTTCAACTTCATCTCTTTGTCAGAGCAACTGCCTCCTGTTTCTGTGTTTGTTACTGTCAATAATAATAATAAAAACTTTATCATGACTGTAGCTTTAAAGACAAATGTTGACAAAGAGTCAAACATTGAGCAGTCAGGCCAGACAGAGAGATGAACGAAAGGCTCTGCATTCAGAATAAAAGAGATGAAACAGATGTCTTTTAACAGCAGGAGAGGACTCAAAAAGACAACATCTAATAGGGCTGGGTGATATGGACTCCAATCAATATCACAATATATTGATCAGTTCACCTCGATAACGATAACTTCGATAACTTAACTTCGTCTACTTCAGCCGCTCCAACTTTCTCTCCGTCCTCCATCTCCTCACCTGTCTTTCCCTCTTTGTTACAGACTGGATGGGGTGGAGTCACGTCTCTGACGTAGGACAGCGTCTTTAAGGGACATGAGACCATAGCCTACCTACACACATCCAAAAACTACTTTGATTTATTGATTTATTTGACACCAAATATACCGATACGAGCAAAATGACGTTTGGTTATTGTCAGAAATTTCGGTATCAATAAATTTTCGATTTATCGCCCAGCCCTAACATCTTATCAGAGAAATAAAAACAGATCAGGTCATTGAGATAATAATATCTATTCATGTGTGATAAAGGCTGTCATTCAATATTAAAACTCAAGATCTCACTTCGTCAAATCTGCTCAGCTCAAAGTAACAATCACAGAAAAAAGAGAAATGACGTAAACAGACATGAAATCATGGGCGGTCATGTTTATGATCTATAAAGGGTTGAGATATTTTAGAGGATCAGTCTTAAAAACAATGTGAGGTCAGTCTTAATTAAGGGTGTCCTAAAACAATATTGATATCGGTCCAATTTCAGCAAAAAAATGAATATCAGATTATATCAGCCTGCATCTAAAATCTCTGCAATCAGCACTCCGATACAAGCAGTCCATTCCAGACTCCACTCCAGCACCTCTAGCAGATCCAGCATGCAGAGTCCAAGTGATCACTACAACAGTGTGTACTAAAGTACTAAGAAAGTACCAAGGAGTAGAAGAGATGTCGGTTGTGTGGCAGTATTTTTCGTTAAAGTCCGAAAAAGACGTTGCAGCTGAGTGCAAAACTTGTCATGCACAATTTTATGCCAATATCGGAACAATATCAGTATCGTATCAGAAGTAAAAAAAGTTGAATCGGGACACCCCTAGCCTAAATATCTCCAGCTCTGTTAAAGTCATGTTGACCTGGTCGTTTCCAGGAAAGCTAAGTCAAATGTTCCCGAAAGTATTAAAGTTCTGTTGTTTTAAAGACAATATTATCACTATGGATGGGACTCGCTCTTATAATACACACACTTGAGAGATGCACAGTTGTAAAACACATCTGTTGTGTTCACAAACACACTCTGAGATGCCCAGGTTGCTCTTCAGACCTCATCCTGTCTTCTGTGCACTGATTTCACTGTATACTTCACGTATTTCCACATTAAAAACAGGAGGAGTAAGGGAGCATTTCGGCCCAGTAGCAGTCTTATTTCTGTACACTGTTGGGATGACAGTGAAAAAGTCTTCATATAAGCATGTTCTTTTGAAATATTGCATGTTTTCCTTCCTGAGCGCATTAATCTGACATCAGGATATGAAGTGAACCCACTCAGGTCAGGAGAGAGAAATTAGACGCTGCACAGTAACTATTCAACCAGGAGATCAAAATTAATGCCGGTTAGCTGTGACGGTTCATCCCCAGTCAACATCTCCAGCATGCTGTCTGCTGTACCTGATCTAAATACGGTGGACATCAGAGGTGTCTCTGTACGGTCCAGTGTCGAGACTTAATCAGACTGTCTGCTCCCGGTAAAATGACCCATGAAGATGGGTTTTACACTCAGCTGATGTCTCTCTCATTCCAGCTCTTTCACAGACAGCCAATTCCATTTCATCGGGGCGGGACAGGTCCATTCTCTCTCCTGCTCCGTCTAAATCTTTCTATCTTTTCTCTCCGTTCACCTCCCCCCTCTCTGGAGGCCATGGCCTCCTATTCTGCAGCCTCTCATTCATCCCTTCTCCTCTGACCCTAATAGGCTATATTCCCCATCTCCATAGATGGGAGCATGCGTCTCCGTCTCCACTCCTTCAGAAACCTGATTACTTCCAGTCCTTTTTGCCATGTGGATGTTAAACTGACAGGGCATCCACCTGCATATGGCACACCATTAAAAGGATTAACTGTCTTAAGAGAAAGAAGACAGCGTGCCAGCTATAATTATACCAGGTGAGGGATGACGGTGGCACACGTGGAGTCGGACGGGGAATATGCTTGTCGCATCACATTTAGCCAACGGTGCAATGATGGCGGCGAGCAGCTTCAAGAGATGAGACGAGAAAGAGAGGGTAAAAAAGAGCGGGGCCGAGGTAGAAAAAAGTGGAGGCAAAGAAAAGAAGGGGGAGATGAAACCATGTGAGAGACATCAGCAGCCACTGACAGGAGATGTAGAGTGTCGGGGGCCTGATGTGGAGCAGAGGGGGCCCCCTGACTGCAGCAAGCCTGATGGAGCCTGACAGACAATATCAGGTTTCAAACATGGTTTCTGCAGCCGAGGAGGGAAGAAGAAATCACTCAGAACGAGGAGAGCAGGGTGAAAGACGCCGAGGAGACGGAGGAGGATAAAAGGGTGGAGGAGAAGGTCAGAGATGAGGAGGGAAAGGAGGGAGATAATGACAGTGAGATCAGGTGGTTTCCAGACTGTAATGTGAAACATGTGACATACTTCTGGGCCTGTTTGTTGGGAGCTGGTTTGACAGGTTCTGAGATGAGACATTTTATATTAATGCACTTTAGTTTCCTGATGGTTTTGTTTGGCCTCAGTGGTCAGAGATCTAACAGCAGGTGGTTATGTCACAGGAAGTCTTTGGATGGTAGTCGTACTCTGAGGACTTTAGGACTGAAATCTCTGGTGAAATATGACAGTCTACAGTTTTTATTCATCATATATTTGCACCAGAGATAATTTATTGTAGGTGTTGCATGGTTTACACTTCAGATTATCCCTGGATTAGACCTGATCTGACCGCCACTAGGATGAAGCCCCTCTTTGCCGCTAAAGTCTTCTGCTATTATTTGACTCATAACTTTGACTTTAATCAAGAAAAATGATAATTAAACTGTTGATTTTTGTTGGACTCACTTTTAGTTACCTCCTCTAACCACTTCATCAGACAAGGGCTATCCCCATATGATATTTATATTGAATATCGGTCCGATTTTAGCCAAAAAAAAAATATCGGATTACATTTGCCTCCATCTAAAATCTCTGAAATTGGCACTCCGATACAAGCAGTCCATTCCAGACTCCACTCTGGCACTTCTAGCTAGCAGCGCCAGATCCAGCATGCAGAGCCCACATAATCACAACAACATTGTGTACTAAGGTACGAACAAAGTAGAGAGGAGGTGGATTGATGTGGACTGTGTGGGAGTATTTTTCATTAAAGTCTGAAAAAGACGTTGCAGCTGAGTGCAAAACTTGTCATGCACAAGTTTGTACCAATATCGGATCAATTTCGGTAGCAGCCAATACTGAGGCTACAATATCAGTATCGCATCAGAAGTAAAAAAGTTGAATCGGGACACCCCTACATCAGACTTCATTAGTTTTCCAGAGACAGAATAAAGTCCAAACTTTACTTTTACGAGCTAAGATGGATCACAGACAACTTGATAAAGAGCATCAAAGTTCTTTGTGGATCTTTACAGATGTAATGTGTGTTTAGATCCTTAGATACTTGTTTTGATACTCCAACAGCTCTACAGAGTTTTTCAGGGTCGGTACAGATTTGATTCTCTCTCTGCTTGTTAATCCAGTTTGTTGGTATTTGCATGTGTGGCCGAAAATGGAGATATCACGTCTCCAGAGAACAGCAGACCATCTCCACTGGATGTCTATGCCATAATCCCACAGCAGATTCCTGTAAACCCCACACTCTAGCTCTATCTTCTGCTTCACGATGATCACTAAACGGATTTATGAGTGTGGAGATAAAGCTATGGCAGAGGGCAGTGATTTCATTCAGAAAGGTAGGATGAGGCCAAGCTGATGCTCCGCAGTGATACATAATGGGAGGCCTGAGGCGGCACCTCTCTCTGTCTCAGGAAAGGAATCCTCTCTGAATGCAGTGAGTGATACCGAGGTGTCAAAGTGTCGCCAGGAGGAAATAGCAAGAGAGGGTTAGTGATGTAAGTTGGCCTCTCATTTCCAAAACCTATTACCTCCTCAAGAGCTGTTGACCCCACCAGCCTGGCTGCCAGGCAAATAAATGATTGACGCTTCCTCACCACTGTTAGCTTTGGATTACACTCCATGGAAAGCTAATTGGTCAATATATACCGGCTCAGTTTGATAAATGGCAAGGGTTTGGGAGTCGACTCTCTGCATTAGCATAAAGTGTATGCTGATCATGTCTCCTGGATTTCCTGCAGCTGGGGGGCCTGACCCTGCTCGCCATGGGGATCTGGGTGAGTGTAGATGGAGGCTCCTTCCTGAAGCTACTCGGGCCGTTTTCAGGCCAAGGCATGCAGTTTGTCAATGTGGGCTTTTTCTGCATCGCCATCGGGGGGGTGCTGATGCTGCTCGGACTCCTGGGATGCTGCGGGGCGCACAAGGAAAGCAAGTGCCTGCTGCTCACGGTAGGTGAAAAACTAACGTTATTTAAGCTCATCTGAAAGGATAACTAGTCAAGTGTCTTCTGATTCAAAGGCTTTTCCAGGTCTTGTTCACCAGTCTACCTCAGTCAGACGATTTCAGTCATGCAGGGCCAAATCCTACTGTGCACATTTGGAAGGTACAGGCCCAAGAGTGGGGATCATTTGTAGGACTCGATAAGGTCCCTGGGGTTTCATTTGAACCCTCATCTTTACACAGGGATCATTTCACAAGACAACAGTCCCAAAGTATCTGCATGGTGGAAATGTGGAGCACAGGGACCCTTAAAGTCCTTGGAAGGGTTCCAGGGTGCACCAAAGCATCCCTGATGGTTTGGGGATCATCAGAGTCCATGTCATGGGTATCTTCCACGTATGTGAAGGCTCCATTAATGCTGAACAATATCTACAGAATTAGGAGCATCAGGACCCTGTAGCTGGAGTCACTGCATGGACTTAATATCACTAGTGTATGAACCGTCCTGAGGTCTGATGAATCAAAATCTAACACTCTTTTGGAAAGGGTAACTGGACTTGGGACATTTCGTCTACGGCGAAACGTCCCAAGGCGCTCAGAGATTGTGGTTTTCTAGATGTCCAGGTTTTGAGCTTCATATTTGAATAGATGATAAAGTTGAGCATTTCATCATCTCCTCATGAAAAATAGTTCAACTCCCTACAGTGTAAAACATAAAAAAGACCCCCTCTCATGTTTGGTTGCTCTACTTCCATCTTTACATCTATTCCCATCAACCTCTGAGCTAATTGAGCTACATCCTCTCCTCCTGCCTCATTCAAAGCTGTATCACCACCAGCCCCCTAACAACATAGTGTTCATTATCATACTCATTAACAGCAGGGCTAACTACCTCTTAGTCCACTGCAGTGAATCTAATGAGGAGCACAGACGGCCTATTTTCTGCCTTTAGAGCCCATATCACGTCCACATCTCCCATTGAGTTGAATGATGACGGTACAGCACACACACTGCAGGATTCAGTGTAGATCTAGTCCTACTAGACTGGACTGACAGAGTGGATGATTCGGCCTCTTTATCGTCCCTCTGTGGGATCAGTGGAGCTTTATCGACAGCCTGTGATTGTTACATTCGACAATCGCCGTTAGACATGATCGTGGATGTCCAGATGTGTTGTTGGATTGGTATCAGCTCCAGTCAGATGATTTGTTTATTCCCCCTTTTTTTGCTTTGTACAAAGAAAAATGTCTCGGCTTCAAATGTGATCAAGAAAAGCAGATCCAAGCCTTTACTTTTCGACGTAGATATCTGACATTAAAATCTAGATGACTCAAAACGATGCAGGGAAGGGGATCTCGAACTTTTTCTCATTTCGTCTGGCTACCAGTTATTGCTCTAATGTCACCAACTTTGGATGCAATAATCAAGCTTTTTCAGTTTGAAGATGAGGCAACCTCCAGGCGTCAAACAAAAAACTGTAGTTCCTCCAGTGTCCACTTGAGGCCAGCTCCCAAAGCACCAAAGGCCACATACACACCCAGTCAAAAAATCTCAGCAGCCTGTTCCTGACTGTATGTGGGCGAAATTCTCTGTGACTCATTCATTTTAAAGCTTGTCGATGGATCTTTTTTCTCTAATTAACTTGAACTTATTTTTCAGCTTTTAAAAAGACTTGCAGTTCATTTCACACAGTTATTGGTTATACGCTGCAGCTCCACACTTTGTCTCAGTCGATAAAAACTCATTTTTATATCCTCAGACTCTTTCTCTCTCTCTCTTTACTCTTGCAGTTCTTCTCCATCATCCTCATCATCTTCATCGCTGAAGTGGCAGCCGGCGTCGTTGCTCTGGCCTACTCTTCATTCGTAAGTTCCCCACTTCACCTCTGCCTCTCTCTTTTCATTCACCGCCTCATCACCCGCCCTCCCCTCTCTCCCTTAGAGCCTCCTCTTCACTCCCTCTTCTTTGTCTCTTAATTCTTATCGTCCCTGGCTGTCTTTTTCTGTCACCCTCTCACCTCCACGTCCCACTCTCTGGATTTTATCTCCATGTAAATTCTCCATTATAGCCGCGGTCATCATTGAATTACTGGCTTTATGTCCGCCTCACTACATTCGGCTACTTAATGACTCTGGGATAGCCCGGGGCCGCGCGGCGTCTCTAACTTTGAGCAATTTATTATTCTGGAATATTGAAGCTAAAGCATTTTATATGCAAAACAGTCTATTTACATATATGTCCCCCCACCTCCCTCCCTACCTCCCTACCTCCCTCCTTCTCTCTCACACACACAGACACACACACACAGACACGTGCCCCATTTCCATTTAGTGGCACGTATAATAATTACAAGGATTTCAAATGAGCAATGTAAAAGGATGTTAGAGAAGACCGGAGTTCTTATAAAGAAAACATAAAGTGGAGTTTTTTTTTATCCAATCAGAGCTTGTGTCTGAGTCTCCAGGAGCGAGAGAGGTAATCTAGGAAACGTACATCTGTGGAGAAGAGAGGACTCTTTCATTTGTCTGTACTGGAATTGTTGCTAAACCAGTTTGAGGAACAGCTGCTCACTGCAAAACAAACAAACAAAAAAAAACACGGACTGCCTCTTTACTTTATAGAGAGCGTAAATTCAGTGACAATAGCCTGATATTTTAGATGATAGGTTTCTCAATAGAGAGGTAACGTCGCGCATCTATAATTCAGGACAGGTGCGTCGGAAAGCCAGGGATCCAGCAATTCAAACAACGGGAAAACACCCGCACACAGTCCAACTTATAGAGAAAGAAACAATTATTGCTGCGACGCTTCGGTACTCGACCTTTCGCCAGACAAACTGGACAAACTCAACTAGGCAGTTTGCCTGATGAAGGTCCAGTACCAAAACGTCGCAGCAATAAATTGTTTCTTTCTCTGCAAGTTGGACAGTGTGCAGATACAAGGTTTCTACTTTGCCTGGTGAAGCTGCAGACCGGTCAGCCACTTTTTCAGGGTAATCCAAAACTGGTCTGGTATCGTCAAACCAATCCAGTACTAGGAATGGGTCTAGATCAGTAAAGTTCATTTCCTGTTTCCAGAGGGTCTTCTTGACCACATGCAGAAGTGCCTCTGGACTCTAATGGACAAACCAACAGCCAGTCAGATTGTGACGTAGCACAGAGTGATAGAAATGTCAACAGGAAAGAAACCAACTCTCTCACCAGTGAACGCTGTATGGGTGTTTTTGCAGTTTCTTGTTTGAAGACATTTCAAACTGCTGCGATGATCGATTCAACAGCAAAGAAGCTGTCATCTTAGTTCATCACAAAAAGGTTGTTCACCTACCGCCTGTTGGACAGCGATTCCTCCTGACGGCAAAAACAAATCTGATCTGGCATCATCAGGTGAGCAGAAACTGTTTAAAGTGGAATATGTCTGAAAATACACGATCTAGATTATTTACAACAGCAGGATGGATGGTCGGCAATGTCAGACTAAAGCAAAGTCCCTTCTAGCTCAGTAAGTCCACACTACACAAACTCAAAACTTCGATACAAAACCCCGGACATTTGAAGGGTTTTATAAACTCCCCCGGACAAGGTAAAAGAGGACATACGGTCACCCTAACGTAGTGGGACATGGACCTGCCTTTCTCATCCATGTTTGAGAAGAGTTGGTTTCTGTGCAGATAGACCGATCTTCTCTTGAAAGTTTGTAGAGGTGATTTTTTGCAGCGTGAAGATCTACCTACAACCTCTCCTCCTCTCTCTCCGTGTCCTAATTAGTCCCAGAGTCTCAGTTCTCACATCTGTTCTGGTTCTGTCCAATCCTAAGTGCGCCTGCTCTCACACAAAGAAGCTCAGTGTGTTTGTGTGTGTGTGTGTGTGTGTGTGTGTGTGTGTGTGTGTGTGTGTCCTTGGAGGCCGAGTTCGGAGCGACGCAATTTTGTGCAGATAAATCTGCCCCATCTCCCCGCTGTCATTTCCTAAAGCTGAGCTTACCAATGCGAGAGATGTTAACGGCATCTGGCGAGAGGGGCATCGACAACAGCCCGCACGCCGATAAAACAAGAGAGAGCGACCGAGGGAGGCGTGAGCTTTTGTCTAAAGCTCAATGAAATGCACGACATAACTCATAGATCTGTCTTTCTTAAGGAGATCATAGATTTGGTTTAGAGTCAATTTAACGCTCTGTTTGTTAGCTTTAGCATCATCTGTTCATTACAAACACAAAGGACATCTTCAGGTCCATCACGGATATGAGTGTGCGAGAGCAGCTGTCCATCTCCTGCTCTAGATAAGACACAGTAAACACAATAGCATCAGAATAATGAATATGGGTAATATACATCTAATATGCATATATATAGCCGCCTGTGTCAATAAGTAAGAGACAGAGACCCGGACAATGAAAGGAGGCCATAAATAAAGCGTTGATCTTTTGTGCTCTACTTATCTGCAGCATAAATCTGCCTTTTGGACACCGAGCCTCCGAGCTCATCTCAGCAAAGAGCCAATAACCTTCAGGTGGTCGGAATAACTGAGATTTAATAAGCAATCCCAGCAGGCATTATGAGAGGCCGTCAGTGGTCATGGTTGTTCTTCCTCCGCCAAGTGATTTGGAAGTGACCAGGGAGGAGATTTATTAGAGGGGGGGTGATACGGTCTTCTCAGAGGATGAATGGCGAAGATGTGATGTGGCGTTTAATGAATCACGGCGACCTCCCCGAACAGTAGAGGAATGTGATTTCCAAAACGTAATCCAATACAGACCGCTGCTGGCCTGAGTGAGTCTTGTAAGATGATTCACTCCAATTACTTTAGCCTTAAAGCTGCACTTCATCAATACCTTTATATTAACCATGAAAAACACGACATGTTTGTGAAACCAACAGATATGATCATCGACTATTCATCTCCACAAACGTCCTCGGAGAAAATTAGCACCTCTCAGCTCGTTGTCTGAACTCAAGCTTCGTTTACGGGATTGTTCTGCAAACCCAAAATAGCCTAGTGACGAGTGGAGTTATCGATACATGCAAACCAAAAGGCCTCTGTAATCGTCGACATTGTTTAAGCAACAGCTGCCTGCACAGTTACCTAGCAGCAAAACATCTACATGTGAAGAAGTACAGGAGCAGCACTGCGTCTTAAAACCGTCTTTCTTTGACGCCTCACAAATCAACGAATCCCCTGGATCTGCAGACTGCGAGCGACAGAAGCGGTGATGTCGAGTTAGTTTTGGGGGTTTTATGCATCAACTTTGGAAGGGAAAGGAAGCAGATCGAGCACGAAACACAGAGAGAAAATTTTCATGAGGATAGCCTCTGTGTTTCAAGGGTATGTCAAAACTATCACCCAGTGGCGCCACAGCTGGTGGTTTAATGGATTTCACTCTGTGTGTGAACAGCCTCTAACGCTCGGCCTGGAGCAGTTGTTAAAATCAACAATGAATAGATCCAAAAAACAGTAACGTGACATGTTTTTAATTTGCAGGTATGGAGGAGTTTGCAGGGCTGCAGGTAAAAGCTGCAGACAGCAAGTGTTAACATCCAATTCATAATTTTGCTGAGTCATAATTATAATTGATGACTCTGCATTATATTCACCACGTCTTAGATTCACTTCGGTCCACTTTGAAATCAAATAAAGTCAGTTTGCCCTCAGACTCTGGGGTTTGTTTTTAATACTGTTGTTGATGGTAACGGTAAGTTATTGTTATTTTGCACTTTTGATGTGTTTATTTTAATATTAAGGTTAAAATGCACAATTTAACAAAGCATAATCAGTGTTAAATATTCATGTACATTATAGAGGGAAGAGTTTTTAGAGAGTTTTCAAACATGTGGGCGCCTTTTTAAAGGATCTGAAAATGACGACTTCTCATGTTTCATTTAGATTTAAACATCCGACAAAGATGAGCTTTTAACAGGGTTCCTACACAGTTAGAATTTCCATACTTTTCCATACCCTACTTTTAGAATTATTTTTGGAAATACCTACTATCCTATTTTTAGAAAACATTATTTTAGAATTGTGCTAATAGTCTAGAAACCTAAATATTTTTACACACTTTATTTTTCATTTAGGATAATTTTTAAGACCTGGAAGTTGATCAAACTATACTTTTCCATACTTGTGTAGGAGCCCTGTTTTAAGACTTCAACAACCTTTTGATGATGGCGGCAGGCGGCATCATCTAGAAACCGTGAAAGATAGCGGGTGCAATATGTGACTAATTAGTGAAGCTGAGTGACACTGAAGAGTTTTAAATGTTCAGTCATGTGGTCAACATGAACGCCGCTACACAGATTTCCTGTTTTTTCACTGTATTTTATTGTATAATCATGAGATTTAGCAGCATTCAGTCGCATAAAAATCATCTTGAAAACCTGCTCTGATCAAGAGACGAGCAGAAGAGTGTTTGAGGGTTTCTGATTTTTCAAAGCAGAGTTTATTTTTTTATCATAATGCTTTAATAAAAGACAAACTGAGTCTTTGTGTGAGCAGATAAAGCCAAAACAGCCTCTTTTTCACATTTTCTATATTTTAAATAAGCACACATACGAGCGGACGGAGAAGTTCTTTGTGAGCGAAGCTGCAAAGCCTCATCTTTCCCCGTAACAAAGAAACACTCAGCTGAGCGCAATAAGGTTTCCATTTATTGCTTTTCCTCTTAACAACAATAACCAATTAGCAGCAGGCGAGTCTCTGCAGTAGGAGATATCGATAATGATTTCAAAAAGAGCAATACGCTGTAGAGCAACAAAGAGATCGATAACATGAAGCTGAAGATTTTTATCATGTGTGTAGAGCGTGTTCACTCTGCTGTATTGATAGATGTGTTATCGTCTCTCCTGCCTCAGTGTGTTTCCACGGGCTTTGTCCTGACTGTCCCTGCGTGTGTGTGTGTGTGTGTGTGTGTGTGTGTGTGTGTGTGTGTGTGTGTGTGTGTGTGTGTTTGCAGGGTCCATATCAGTGTGTAAGCATGCCAGCGTGTGAGTGTGTGTTTAACGGGATGTAGTGAGGCGCGTTGCCGAGTGACAGTGATGAATTAGCCGCCTGGTAATAACCCTCTCTGATCTCAGCCGCTCTCCCTGCTTCTTGGGGGGCACTTTTAATTGTGGCATGTATCCCAGCATCCCCTTGGGCGTTTTGTGCGCCTGCCCCCGTTACTGTACACACTTGCGCGTGCACACACACACACACACGTGGACACATACAAATGCACTTCCAGGCACACAAACCTGGTGGACACTTGGTTGTATGTGACCCACAGTAGAGCGCTCTCTCTCCTCATCACACGAGTCTTTGTGCGACTGTACGCGACGGGATTATTAATCAAAATGGGAAAAACAGACTGAGGAGGAGGAGGAGGAGGAGGAGGAGAGCTAACCTGTGTTCGTGAGGGAACTCTCTCCCAACAAAGGAGCCTCCTCCTCCTCCTCCTGCCTGAGTGCTAACCTGGCCTTTTCTGCACTTTAGGTAAACACAAGCAGCAGACAGAGAGTGTCCTGAGCCAAGCCATCAGGAGCATCATATATATGTAAATCCAGCCCCTCCTGTCAGTTTAGGACCATAAAAAGGAGAAGAAGAAGAAGAACGAAGAATAATGGCTTGGTCAATTTTTGATTTACTTTCATTTTTTCCTGGTGCCAGGCCGCGGCTCTTTATTTCCCCCGTGCTTTTGTGTGAGAGAAGATTTATTTAATTTCTGATGAATAGGTGACTCCCTGAGAATTACCTTTCCCCGCCCGTGAAATCCACTGCAGTGTTTTATTTTCATGGGACTCCACAGTGTGCTGTGTGTATACTCAAAGGTGTGTACATGTGTGACAGTGTTGGACTTGGGCAGTAAAAGCTCTGCAGAGCAGAGATTGGCTTTTATATCCATCCACAGGAGACTATTTGCATCTTAAGGACTCTCATCTTCACACTGAGACATGAAGAGACAGTTTGAAGAGCTGTGACTGCTGGAGGAGGTTTTTCTTTTGTGTATTTTCTTTTCTTCAGAAGAAATTCCTCATGACAAGACATTTCCACCTCACCAGATTAACACGGTCATATTTTAGATGTATGCCGCACAAAGACGCACAAAGTATGCCGACTTTTTGCAGAAATTACAGGACATAAATCCACCTGTGTGCACTGCAGCTATAGCTATTTATAATGTCAGATGAAGAGGACGATTAAAGCGCCTGAAAGGGTTAAAAAGTAAGACATAAAAGATTATTTTAGGTTGTTTTTAAAAGGGAAAGTTTAGGGGAGAAATAAAGCAGACGTCATGAATAACAATGGGAACATGCAGCTGAGGTTATCTTTCCATAAAGATCTTTTAAGGTGCATCTAAACCATTAAAATATTCATCCAATAAGGTCAAAGTGTCTCATTATGCAGAGTTTGTTTTAAGGAGTATCATGTCCTAATGGGCCACTATCACATCACTAATTATAGGGGTGAGCACGGGGGAGTTTCAGTCTGGAGTCTGACCTGTAACCTTCAAAATTAAGTTAGTGGGTGCTACTTTTTACACAGCTGTGAAGTTATACCATCACAGAAACTGTCCTGTACTGTATTTTGAGGGTTTTTGTGTGTTTTTTCTCAGGCTGAAGGGATCCTCCGAGCGTGGGCCACCCCTGCTTTAAAGTCGGATTACGGCAGTGACCCTACGGTGACCCAGATGTGGAATTCAACCATGACGGAGGTAGAGTATCGCTAAAGTCCTGCACTTATTCATACTGCTTATTTTAAGATGTGCAAGATCTCTGCATGTCCGACATTCCCACTAACTTTGTCCGATTTCCATGATGAGGTTTCCGTAAGTTTGTGTAGCCATTGTTTCAGTTTCATGAATTTATCTTCTTGCTGCTCTGATGCAGATTTGAGTCAAAATGAAAATCCTCGATGGCCTTCAGGTGCAAACAGCATGAGGATCATTAGTCTTTCTGCTGATATAAATCAAATCTACAGCTGAAATAGATAATAAAGCCGTACGTTTTTTGATTGTAAGTGTATGATTTAATGAGCTCTTGAATACACCGCTGAGTCGTCTCTTTCACTGACCTGAACAAAACAATATAAAATGCCCGCAGCTTAATCTTCGACTTGATATTTAACAAAAGCGATAGCTGAATCTCTGTCATATTTCGTGGATAATCTGCGTCTGCTTTGTCTGTCCGCTCACCTCTGCTCACCTGAACATAATAGATTCAGTGGAGGTAACTCAGGGCGCTCTCTTATCTTAAATGACAAAGACTTTAATTTCACTGGGGTGAAAGGTTACTAATGGGATAGGTTCTCCAAAGTATGCATATTTTCACACCTACTCCTCATTTTATGAAGCTCTTTTGCTCTTTTCAGGTAAACTCAGTCATCTAAACACCTTTAAAAACGGCGTCTTAACTGTGAACGGCTAAATCTCTGATCTACAGGGTCTCACTGTGTATGTCTGAACTGTGTTTTCCTCCCTCTCCCAGCTGGAGTGTTGCGGTTTCACCAACTACACAGACTTTTTGGACTCCAAGTTTGAAAAGGAGAACGGAGGAAGACTGCCGCCCAGCTGCTGCACCTCCAACAGCACCTCCTGCAGCTCGCAGGAGGCGGAGCGCAGCGCCGTGAAGGTGAGATGATGACTTACCAGAAAAAAGATGGTGTGTTTGGCTGCCAGTAAGTGACAGAAACCAGATTGATGGGGATGGGGGTGAGGAGAGTCTCAGGACACCTTCAGACTGTCTTTCAAACTTAATGTCATCTTTTACTACCTGGCCAATGTGACCTGGTACTGTGAGTACATCTAATAATAAGAAGCATTGAGGTAAAGGTAAATAATGTCTCAACCCCAAACTCAAATTGGAAAAATTTTTAGAGACAGCCTGTCCTTGAACTTCATGAAAAGAGCTTTTGAAAGATTTTACTAGTTATTACATTAAGTCGGCTGGTGACAGAAAGTTGCATTAATTCATAAAGCTTTGGGGCTTGTGGAATCACATTCTCTTGTCTTTCAGATTTTTTCTTCTGTTATTAAATCTGTTTTCTAAGTAATGTGAGTAACATGCAAGATTAAGCGTTAGTGGTCTTCTAGGTACGTGTTTTCTGTTTGGACTGGGTGAAACATTTTTTATTTGTTTGCAGCATTTTAGCCAAAGACGAATTTCCCTAAGAGGTCAATAATATTTCAAATTGCTTCGAATTGTATGGAACTATATCGTATTGCATCATATTGTACCAAATTCTATCATATCATATTACATTACATTTTATCATATCCCATTGTATCATATCCCATTGTGTCATATCTCATCATATCATATCTCATGGTATCATATCTCATCGTAACGTATCATATCATTTTGTATCGAATTCTATCGTATTGTATCACATTATATCATGGCATTGTATCGTAACGTGTCGTATCGCAGCGTATCATATCACATTGCATCGTATTGAATTGTATCGTAAACTACCATGCTGTATTAAATCGTATCACGTTTATCATATCTATTTGTATCAGTTTGTATCGTATCATATTACATTGTATCATATCTTATAGTAATGGTTTGTTAGTTATGGTAACATAACACATTGTATTGTATCAAATCATATCGCATAGTATTGTAATTATTGTAACGTAATGTATCATACCAAGTCATATCATATCGTATCATATTGTTACATATCACCGCATATTGAACTGAATTGTATCATATCGTGATGTAAATGAACATATATCAAACTGTTGATAGATATGGTGATGTATCATAACGTATTATCTCATAACATCTCATGTCATAACGTATCATATAACATATCTTATTGAATTATATATAGCTCACACATCATCCTAATTGTTGCTGATAGTTCTAGTTAAAGGAAATGGGACTGTTCAGTCGTAAACCCATGACTTTAATGAACTTTAAATGTCTATTTCATTCAAACAAACAGAATCAATATTTTTTAGCATTTGTAAATCTCATTGGTAAAGAATAGTTTATTATAATTGGACAAACTCTCCCTGTCCCCCTCTCCCTCTCTCTCTCTCTCTAAGGGCTGTTTTGAGAATATCCTGGAGATCCTCAAAGAGCACGCCAACATCGTGGGAGGCATCGCAGCAGGAATAGGAATCTTGGAGGTAAACTGACTGAAAACAAAAGAGAAAATTTTGGCAGGAAAAGTGTTTCAGACAGAGAGCTGAAATATCCCCCCATGGATCAGTGAAGTTTATGTCACGGTTAGTGTCAGCAGTAGTCCAAAATTATCATCGGCTTTACTCTGCAGAGTGGAATTGGCAAAACAAACATGCCAAGAAACATCCATTCAGAAGAAAAAGGGGTGTTTATAAGATTTAGATGTTTAAAGTGCTGATTAAAAAGGGACATGGGAGATGACAGAGGGTTCAAACTTCTTTACCGATCTTGTCTTTTTTGTTTTCAATATCTGATTGACCAGCCAGTCTGGTTTTACCAGTATGAGGGTTGTTTTTTCTCCTGTCCTCAGCTTGCTGCCATGATCGTGTCGATGTACCTGTACTGCCACCTGGACAACAGAATCAGCTGAGGCCAGACAGAGGCATTAACTGGACTACTGGGACTTTGAAACCTGCATCACTTCCTAAATACCATTCACTGTATAAATGTCTAGATTAAGTGTTCAGTCATAATTGTATTTTATATAAAGTGAAAAAGTAATGTAAAAACCTAAAGCACTTTTAGAGCAGAATATATTTCATTTTTTCCAAATAAATGGCATCTAATGGCATTCACTGAATTCACTACAGAAGTATTTCAAGGATATCAAGACAAGTATTTTGATCAGCTCAGACTCTCTGAAGTTTAGCAGAGGTTTTTGAATATTTCTGCACATTTCTTCTTGGTTCACTCCAATTTTCCGAGCAGCAGTGGGTAAACTCTTTATTCAAACATGCTCTGATAAAGCCAGTGTACACTACTCAACGCCGGCTCAACAGATGTCAAAGAAAGATGTAAGACAACGAACAGATAGGTAGGCAGATATTATTCCGAATAGATGGAGACCAAAGCTGAGATAAATGCAAGACACTAGCAAGGATGCAAATGCACGAACTGAGATGCAGGATGACCAAAGATGGGTTAACAAAGCCAAAATAAAGACCAAATAGTACCTGAAATCATTTTAAACCAAGCAGAAACATCTTGGAGGCTCAAAAAGAATCCACTAAGGGATGCAAAATAACCCCAAAATAATTGGAACATAGCCCATTATAATATGCAAGACAATGCAAAACCAGAAACTGATTTTCATTGATACCAAGTAACAAAGAGATGGAAAATGGCCATATATGATGCAAATGAACATCAAAATATACACACCAAAAATGAGCAGAAAGGAAAGCTAAATTAAGGGGAAGTTATATAAAAATGATTGGAAAGAGATGCCGAAAGAGCAGAAAGGAACGAAACATCAGTGGAAAGGGATGCAAAATGAGCACAACTGGGTCTAAATTGAGCATGGTTAGCTAAAGAATGAGCAGATAGGGAAGCAAAATGATCACAAATGGGTCAAAAGTTAGCATGATTAGCTAAATAATGAGCAAATAGGGAAGCAAAATGAACACAACCTGGTCAAAACTGAGCATGATGAAGTATGAGTAGATAGGGAAGCAAAATGAGCATGACCGGGTCAAAACAGAGCTTATTTAGCTAAAGAATGAGAGGATAGGGATGCAAAATGAGCAAAAATGAATGGGATACAGGGGAAACGTGAGAAATGAGAAGACAAGAGTAAAAAATAAGAGGAAAAGGATGCAAAATAAGCAGGACTGGGTGAAAATGGGGGAATTCAGTATGAGCAGAGAGAAATGCAAAAGTGATGTAGGATGACCACAGCTGGGTGAAAAATGAGAGGGAAAAGATACAAAAATGAGCAGAGGGATGCAAAATGAATTTTAGTTTTGCAATTCATAACAAAGGTATGTAAAATAGTTTGATTGTGATGGCAAGTGACTGAAAACTGTTTCAAATTTACAAGAAAGTTATTCTAAATGACCAAAAATAAAAACAGAGGTACAGATCTTTAGAAAAACAAATGTTCTGGAGAATAAAGTAAAATAAAATAATATTAAATGAGAAGAAAAGGGATGCAAAATGACCACAGAGTCACAACAGATGGTCACAAAGCAATGGAAAATTGTAAAAGACAGGAACAATGAGAGGCTAAAAACCAACATTTGTGGTCTAACGCTTTCATCAGTGTCGTCCACATAAAGCCTTCAACTTTACAGACAGGATTAGTATTTCACAGTCAGCAGCGGGGCTAGGGAAATCCTTTGTTTTTATACTATTCAAAAGAGTTCCATCTCTTTCTCACGACGTAACATGCTTTTGTGCCACGAGTAAATATTGACCATTATGAGGCCTGACAATAGACGGGAGGTGGAGCGTCATTCAGCGCCTGAATTAAAGCTTTCAGCACCAACCTTGGAGGAAGAGTCATGCTTATAAAACTCAATCAAATGTGAGAATTGAGAGAAAATAAGGAAGGGAGACGAAATGCAAAGTGGATGATCTTAAATTATTATTTTTTTTTCAGTTTAAAAGAAAACAAAATCTGCAGAAATGTGGCAGAAATGTTGGTTTTCGGTGAGAGGGGTCAGAGATTTGAGTAAACATCAGTCTGAAAGGAGCACTTGGTCATATTTCCCGTTTCAAATTCAGAGAAATGTCAATGCACAGTGTTCCTCTCAGGTAGTTAATCCTCAGAGGGGTCTCATTTTTATATTTAATGAAACATTTTGACTTAATAATCTTTGTCATACCATATATTCTCCTGTGGGTGTACACTAATGACTGTGACGGCGGTACGGCTCATTGAAATGGAGAGACGGGAAGCGAGGAGGCAAGCTCAATCGTTCTTCCATCCAATTATACACCTGCAGGTATTTAGAGTTAAATCTGTCATCATCTCAGTGCTGCTGAGCTCCATGTTTAACAATAACCCCCAGCACTCTCCCTCTCCGTCTTACATACACACACAAAAATCAATATTCCATCTACATCTCAGCCATCAGCCTCACGGCCCGCCTCATCAGAATGCTCAATAGGTCAAAAATGACATTTAGAAAGGCAGCAAACACACACACACACACACACACACACACACACACTGATACAAACCAGTGACTTCTGACTGACAGGCACAAATGACCGGGTTTGGAGCTGGAGCCGCTGATGACGGACAAGTTAGTGAGAGTGTGTGGTCAATGAAACAATTGCCTTTTGTGGAAGAAATGCCAAGTGCCCTTATTGGCACTGTCAGTTAGTGCACATACGATAACACACGCACACACACACACACACACAGGAACACACACTTGGTCAGAAAATCCATCTTAATCAGACCTGAAGTGAATATTTTCCAGCAGACAACAACAAAAACAGACTGAGTTTAGTTTCAGTTTATCAGACTGCTGAAGGTCGACGACTGTCTCAGATTTAAAAAAACACATTTTCAACTCTCACACTTTACAGACATGGTTGACAATTGGAGAGATTGTTAATTATTATGAACCTCGTTTCTATGGCGATCATGGTCCTATAGTGCGATCTCCACAAAGTGGAGAGAAAAAAGAACAGAACTAGGGCCCCGTTGGGGCACTGGCGGGCCCGAGCCGTGTCGCCCCCCCCCCCCCCAAACGCGCTGCCTCCCCGTCCCATTCGCCTCCTCTGGCCATCGCCCTCTCTGGTAACGCCCATCACTGCAAAGACCCTTTTCCTTCATCTGCGTTTGCTGTTCTTCCTGCCAGTGCGTGTTGCTTTCACTTACACTTGCCACAGCCAGCCTCGTGAGTGCCTGGCCTGGTTTGACCTCTGCTCACCATGATTGTGTGACCTTGGTATCGGCTACTTGGGAAGTTCCACTGTCGTGGCAAAGCTTTGTTTGTGTGCTCTGCTCAACCACCTATTTTCTATGGATGTGTAAGTAAACCACTTTCTTTTCTTACACAATGACACACTCATACTTATCATTCACTGCTACTGATGTGCTCTGTTAGTAAGCATGCAGGAAACCTGATGAATGAAGAAATGCCCAGACTAGCCAACATCTTAATAAATTATGAGGTATGACATCACTTGAATGGTTTCATTGGACTATGCTTCCATTATTCTAATTCTGTAATAAAAAAGAAATTTTTGTTTTTTCTTCTAATAATTAACATATTTAACATAATTAACATTCAATATGCACTCATTACACACGTGCACACTCTTTGATGATCTGAGAAACAGAGCTTAAAGAACAGTAGGAGCAGCTGAACAAAGTGTATTTGTAGGAAAGCTGTAAGAGCTATTGAAACGCTGTTTCAAAGAGCGATATGTTTGAGCCATTGAGCGATGGGCAGGAAAAATTTGACTGTTTCTCCTGCCATGGGGGGGCGCTCTTTTGGGGAGAAAAAATTCCTTCACAAATGTGTTGGTGGCTGGACATTGCATCATCCTAGAAAACTTTGATGAGTGGCCAAAAGTACTTTGTCTGCTGTAAAATCAAATTGGATTAATATTTTTTCCAGATTTTTCTTTTGTACACCTATTATTTTACTTCTGCCCTGTTCAAAACTAGCAAATGTTTCATTAAAAATATATTTTTTTAACCCTTTAAGAGCCCATTTAAGACATAAAGTCACTAATATAGCTAACATTTGAGCCTTTTAACTTTTTCTGTAGCATCAGATTTAATAGACAACACCCTTTGGCGTCACCCAGTGGCCATAACGACTTTGTCTGCTGTTAATAGACAACTCCCTTTGACGCCACTCAGTGGCCAAAACGACTTTTAAGAATGTGTCAATTTTTGTGTCATTTTGACAAAGCGTACAGGCATGACACTCGATAGTGTGAATTTTCACTTTAGGGGGCGCTATGGAGCCATTTTGCATATTATTTTTTCGGCGACTTCAGAATATCGAATTTTTCACCAGGCCCGGTCGTCCTGCCAAATTTCATGAGTTTTCGCCAGTGGGAAGTGGGCCATTTTCCAGTTCAAAGGGGCAGAAAAAGAAGAAGAAAGAAGAATCCATCAGGAACAACAGGGCTCTAGCAGCTACGCTCGGGCCCTAACGAGAAACCAATGCTTTGTCTGTGAGATGAAGAGGAAGACAAAAAAGACAGAGCAGAGAGGAGAGAAAGAGAAGAAGAGGGAGATTAAGAGAAAGAGGAAGAGAGAGGGGTGCATGCGGCAAAAACAGAGAAGGACAGACTGAAGTCATTTAAGCTTTTCTTCCCCCTGAATAATCCCAGTTTTGTCCAAATTTAGTTGGAGGAGATTGTGGAACATCCAGTCCTTGACATCAGACAGAAAGTCATGTAACAGCACCAACTTTTCCTCTGACTGAGCGCCTCTGTCATTTTTATGTCCATGTGTCTCCCTGCAGGCCTCTTCATCTATCCATGTATTATTTCTTAGTGTTTGAAAAGGCTTGTGTAGGAGTTAAATGGGCCCATTTCTACCTTTCTAGGTGGTTACTACTTCATTCAAGGTGGCGCATAAAATTAAGAACACCTTTAGAGTGCTGAAAATGTGCTTTTGGTTACACTGAGGGAGGAAAATATATAATCCACAGGTGAAAAAAAAGGTGAAAAAGCACTCTCTTTTATCAAGAGTGAGATGTTTGGTTATTTAAAATACATGCATTTTGATTTCTTTTCAATATTTTAAAATGATTTGTATTGCAGTGACATTTCATTTCTATGTGCAGCCTTGCATATATTTAGCATAAACCAGATTGAGACTTGAGAAGTTGAAGTTTAAAGGAAGGCAGCTGGGAGCGTATTCTTATTATCTGTTTATAAAGATAATTAATATCCCACCCACTGTCAAATGACAGCCAATGAGAGACGGGATTGTATTAAAGCTGTCACTTGGCCTCTTTTGAAAGCTAGACCTCGACTTGGACTAGAACTGAAACCATAGAGTTGTTTGCTGGAGGATATCTGCACACTTGCCCGAGCAGGTATCTGTTCAGAGAAAATATTAATGCAATCGTGCAATTTGGATTGAATCTTGTGTTTGCATTTTGGACACATTGACCTTTTAAAAGGAAAACAATATTGCTTAAACATGCTAAAATGTTTGAAAGTGTTCAAAGCAACCATGGTGTAATGCTCAAAGAAGTTTATTTTTTGGGGTTAGAGGTCCAAGCCTGGTATTAGGAGGACTCTCCTGAATCGGCAAACTCAGTCTCCGTGGCATGTAGCAGGTTGTCTCGAGGGATAATGAATCTGTCCCTGTTGACCCCGGACACCACGCAGCACCTGACATCACTGCGGGAAATCTCCATGTCGGCAGCCTCAGTCCAAGTATTGTTTATGGCGTCGTAGTATTCAACGTTTAATGTGGTGGTGAAGTCGTTGAAGTCCCCAACAACAAAGAGGTAATCATCAAGCACTTCAATTCCAAAGTTGCTGCGAGGGTTTTGCATGGAGGGTATGTCATTCCAGGTGTTGGTATGGGGGTTGTAAGCCTCTGCAGTGCTCAGACGATCATTGCCATCAAAGCCACCAACCTAAAGCAGTAAAGTTGGAGAATCAGTGAAACTGGACTGAACCCGATTTCCCCACATTTCACAATTATATCCCAGAGTTTCTAAATCTGAAGAAAAACAACGGTAACACTTTACAATAACCATAACTTATAAATGGTAACAGGGTTTTTCCTGGCTCAAATTGAGGCAGAGGTGGCACCATCCTGACCATGCGCCACGACGTGCATGTATTTGTAAATTCAACCGATTCACTTTCTTTTACAGGCAACATACTTTAAGTTAAGAGTTCAAAAAAGAGTGTGACCATTATCATGTTAAAGCATTCATTTATTAAAACTATATACATACACAAATCAGCTGGCAACTTTAAATTGAAAGTACACTTCATCCACACATCTCGCAACCAGACAGAACATTTCAGCCTCCTCTTTTTCATTCTGTAGAACCTCCTCATGCACTCCTTGTAGTCCAAGGCCTCCTGGTCTGGTCCATCAACGGCCACCTTACAACAGACATCCAAGTGCCTCTCCTTCAGTCTGTTTGTCTTCACCTTAAACAAAACAATTCATCATGTATTAAGTATTTTTGTTTTTATTCTGATACAGACATGAAGAGTGATAGTGTTTTCAATCATATATATGTATACGCTGCAGTGTCCTCCCTAAAAAAAAAACGACAACCAATTATTTCTTAAACTATCTAAACTATGTTATTTTAGTTTTTGTAACTTTATTAGTTGAGTTTTTTTAGGTACTACCATCTTTAATATATTTCTCCTTCTCTTCTGCTGCTTTGTGAACGGCTGTCACCTCATGTCTCTTTAATGTGTCCAGCCTATAGTTGGTTGATGGCTGTCTCACTAAGGAGGCAGCAATTGCCTGCTGTGTTGGGGCACAGTGCTTTTGGCATAAATAGCAGTGCATGCCTTCCTCAGTATGCCTGAGCCAGGTAAATTGATTGAGCCACTGCTTGTCAAAGCCACTGGCTCTGTGTTTTTGAGAAGATCTGGAAAGAGGAATAAAAACCACGTACACGTCGGCTTTGCGTTGTTATGCTCCTAATTGGAAACTAATTAATTAATTACCCTCGCCTCGCCGACTCGTCCTGTCCTGCATTCTGACCCTCGCGATCACCAGTCCCTTGTGAAGTACTTTCAGACCTGACACAAATTTCCACGTTGTCACCAACATGAATTATAGCATTTTAACTGCCTGTTACGTTTTTTCTCTGCTGTGTTTCACCTGGACTCTTGACTTTCCTCCTCGCGAGGTCGCTTTTTAAAGTACTGTCTGATTTTGCCTGTCATAACTGCAACGCTAAAAAACGGAGTAAACTTTTTTTTTTTAAATAAACACGACATGCTTGGATGCAAAAAAGAGAAGCAGTATTTACCTGTTTGTACCATCCGCCAGGGAAAATCAGGACGCCGATAGCACCAACTAGCGGGAAAAAAACTTGAAAAAACATGATTCGATCCGTTTCTTCTTCGGTAGATGCTTCAGGTCTTTCCGGTGCACTGCTGTTGATATAGCGCCTCTATAGTGGTGCAACGCTGCAACTGCAGTTAAAATACGTTGCTGCTGCATCGGGACATCAATCGCTCAATCAACACAGCTGGAGCTTTACGCTGTGTTGAGCGAAATCAATCGCTCTGGCTGGGGGCGGCACAAAATTAGGTGGAGGCGGCCGCCACGCAATTTTGAACGCAGGAAAAACCCTGGGTAAATAGACCATTTATATAGTGAGCAGATAGTTTATTAATGTTTTATCATCATTTATAAATAGCATATAGACCATTAATAAATTGTAAATTTTACATTTTTTAAATCCTAACTCTAACCCTAACCCTGACTTTACAATAACCATCTAAGTAATGTTTATAGGTGGTTTAAAAACCACTTATTCATCATTTACAAAGTATTACAAACATCAGTTGCAACTTTACAATAACTGTCTAAGTCATATTTATATTTGTTTTATAAACAAAATATTTACCATTTACAAAGTGCTACTGACACACATTTTAATCTAGATGTTACACAACCAATATTTAAACCCTATGTAAACCTTAAATAAATAGTCTATCAATAAGTAATGAAAATTCTTAATCATAATTTCATTGCTTGTTAATGATAAAGTAACTATATAACTTACATTAATAAACTATCTATTTGCCATTTATAATTGGTCTATATGCTGTTTCTAAATGATGATAAAACATTAAAAGACTATCTATTTACCATTTATAAATTATGGTTATTGTAAAGTGTTACCAAAATAACTATTTAGTACTTATAAATGACAAAGCAGCTGGGAAAACCTATGTCAGTTTGTTGATTTTAACATCTAGTTTGTTTTATTGTTTTTGAACAAACTATCAGTGACTGAATGGACTTACAGCATAAATGTAGCCTGAGTATGCCACGACGCCAATCCCACCGCGCGGGTTGTTCATGGGGCTGATCACTGTCCACTGGTTAGTTTCTGGGCAGTAGTATTCACATGTTTGCAGGCAGTCCTGCCCATTGAAGCCTCCACATATGTAAACCTGGGTAGAACAGGATAGTTTTTCCTTTTTTAGATAACTTTGTTCCCACTATCAAGACACACACAAACCAAACTTAACGAGCACAACACAGATGAGACCTTGTCTTGTCCTAACCTGCATCACTGGTATCAGGCATTAATTATGAGAACAAATAAATCATCAGCTTTTTCCCCTGATGGTTTAGTTTGCATTTGTAGGTCATAGAGAGACACCAATATTAATTTCAGTCTGTTTTTATCACCAGCTGAAAAATCCTCACAGGGGGCTTTAAACACACATTTGAAAGGTCAAAAAACTAATCAGGGATTTTGACCTCATTCAGTTTCCTTACACCTGTCCTTCTTAAAGTGCTGCAAGTTTGACTGAATCAAATCTTTTTTTAAGTAGATACAGCAAATCAAATCATCAGTGCTCTTCTGTCTCACCCACCTTGTTATTCAGTGTCGTGCAGTCAGCGTCGCTCCTCCGCTCATTCATGGGTGGAATCAAACTCCACTGATTGGTCTCTGGCCTGTAACGCTCAGCAGTATTGAGTTGTGTATGACCATCAAACCCTCCTAAGGCATAGATCCACCCATCCAGCACAGTAACACTAACAAAGCCCCTTCGGCAGTACATCGGCGCTACTTCATGCCAGGTATATGTGCTCAAGTCCCACCGGCGAACGCTGTTGAAATGCTCCAACTGGTATAATCCACCGACACAGTAGACACTTCCATTGAGGTAGGCTATGCCATGAAAGGATCGAGGATGCTCTGAATTGTCTGTAAAATTGTGCCAGTGGTTGGCTCGGACATCGTACGCCTCGATTCCATTGGTCGGACCATCACCGCTCCAGCCCCCTATAGCCAACAGGATGGCGGGAGGCAGGCGAGGGCAGATATAGGGGTTAGAGAAATCAGGGGGTCCACTCTTAGTGATTTGTGCCAAGCCACGAAGCTCCTGCATGCAGTGAGCGTTGTTTCTCACTAGCTCATTGGGCATGACACAGCTGATGATGTACTCCACACTCGTCAAAGACAGACGGACCTACACAGACAAAATGAGAAATTGTCAACTGAAATGTGATTTCTAATAGATGAGGGATTGATCTCACATTACCTTGGATTTGGATGTTTGAGTGCACATGACTTAGGAACCTATATGTTTTCCATTTTATATGCAGCATGAAACACTTTCTAATACAGATGCAGGAGCAGATTTCATTTGTTCCACATCCATGGCTGCCACAGTGGCTGTGTTTGATAGTTGGTTTACGATATCTGACATTATTTCTGTGTCTGATCACCATGTCGACTTTGCACATTCTTAAAAAATTTACAGGACACAGGCGGGAGAGGAAGTATGCACATAAATGAGGGGGAGCAGTGTAGATATAAGGATGTGACAGTCAACACAGCAGGAGGAACAACAGTGACAGGACATGTTTCAGAGAGACTTGAATATCAAGTCTCCAAATCTGCACAATGTGTCGCTAACATCCCAGTCAAAACAGCTGGATAAGAGATCGGTTCAATTTATGTTTAAAAATACATTAACAGTGACTTCCTCTGTGACTTCTGCTATGTCATTTTTACATCCCTGAATCTGATAGTTGCATACAACCTGAGCTCTGCTGTGCCCTCTAACATATCCTGCTTTAACATGCTGAGTGCAATGCTAAGTGTCAATTAGTGCACAGTTAAGTTCATAATGCAGTCAGTTGTGTATGCAAAGCTAAAAAAAGCAAGTATATCTTCATAAAGGATGCCTGGAGAGAAACCAGGAAGAGATTTCTTTGAAAAAAAAAAAAAGAGCTGTGGGATAGTCTGCGAGTTGGCAGGTTTGGGACAGCCTCTAAAACTTCAAAGAAGAAACTTGAGATGTACCCAGAGTCTCAAAGGTGCTAACACCTTCTCCATGTTAGATAAGGTTGTGGCTGTCCTGACTTGATTCAGGAAATCTGAGGCCAGGAAATGATAGAGGCCGGGTAGAGCTGCCACAAACATAAAACACAAACCTGCAGATTTGTTTCGGGGCTAATTTAACTGCTGTAAAAATGCCCTAATACCTACTGGACTTTTAGGGTACAGTGTTTAGGCTTTAATGGTACCTAGCCATCAGATTCTGGATTTAAATGCTCCCTTGCTCACCCCGTCCATTGGTGAAGTGATGGTGGCTTTCAAGGACAAGAAGCCCTTGTGATGCATAATTATGATCCATCATTTGTTCAGTTTTTCCCTCAAAAACAAGTTCTTTTGCTCATAATTACAACCACCAAAATGCAATGGTAGTAGTTTTTTCATTCTGTGTGGTTATGGGAACCCCCCAAGGCCTACTTACCTTTGGCAAAAGTACACTGATGTGCTCTTCCCGTTCTCCCTGTCTGTGGTTAATCCAGTGAACAACAGCCTCAAACGTGGTCTTCTCATGTTTCACATTGAGTTCGTCTTTCTCCAGGAAGTCTGCAAGCTCCTGCAGAGACAGCTCCAGGAACTCCTCGTGGGAAGCTACCTCCTCAAAGTGATCAGTGATGTAGCGATAAGCCTTCTCCTCCAGTCCATAGCAGAGGATGATTTTGGTTAACTGCCAGATGCCGATGCAGTTCTCTGGAGAAAGCTCTTTTTCCAGGAAGCCACAGCAGGCTTTTACAATATCCATAATGTTGAACTGATCGGCAGCGACCAAAAGCTCCTGGACATTGTCACTGGTCACACACACTGAGCCAGTGTAGGCAAACTCAATAATGAGCTGCATCATGGCAGGAGAAAGGCCAGGTATGTCGAACACTCTTTGGTCAGAGGCAGACCAGTTTGTGAACAGGGCTCTGTGGGACATTTTAAAACAGATGAAACACACCCGACCAAATTACATGGAGGGTTTTCAAATGCATGACACTGCAGGGCAAATATCAATCTAAAATACATAAGTACTCTGAAGCCCACACTGAGTATCAGGATACAATGCAACCCTGTGTTTTTATGTACAACCTCTATACTACCCTTTATAGTTCACTTTATTTTGCAGTATGCATGTAAGAAATCAACTTACTTAACCATAACTTATGAAAAAGAAACAATGAATTAAATGCTCATTTTATGCATTACTCTTTGTACACCCTGACTTACAATATAAATGAAAAAAAAAACACAATTTTGACTAAAAATATATGCAGTTCTAGTTTTGCTTCCCAAAGTCTTTTCTAAACAGTTCATCAGCTGCCACAATTAATTTCAGGCATGGTCTTTTGTGTGTTAAATAATTAAAAGTGCTGTGCTTTTGAATTAGGTCACCAGCATGGAGTCAAATTCAGCTTTATGAGTAATATCATTGAAATTACTATTTTCAAACCGATCAACACACCCCAAAATTTTATTTTGTGTCAGCATCATAAAAGTTAACTTTTTTATTTCTACACAAAAACTTTTACCAAAGCAGACATGTGACTGTACTCAGACAGACAGGAAACGTGCATCATTGGTTCTCTTTTTAAGTTAATTTTGTATAGTTTTAAATATTCCTTTTCCAGGTGACATTTGAAATCAGAGAGTGAACTTACAGAAAGTAGTTACTACAACGACAGAGAAGAATTTTGTGGATATTAAACTCCACATGCTGAACTCTGAGGACTGCGTCACAAAGGGCCCCATCCAGATGAATTTCGTTAAATAGGGAGTAGGGCAGCATGTCTCTGTCGCTCATTTTGATGGTTTTGTCTAAGCCTCTATTCTCAGATGTTGACTGTTGGTAGGTCTTAAATGAGACTGATTGTTTGAGATGATGCTTTGAATTCATATGAATGATGCTAGGAATTCAAACAGTGACAATTCTCTTTGATGATGTCAGAGTTCCGTTTTTCTGTGTTTTGTTTTAAAAAGAGACAGAAGAGGGTTGGGGATGGCAGGTCCTCATAACACCTGTTGTTGCCACGGTGAGGGCTACAGCCTCTGTTTATGAGGCTGAACTAGAACCCCAAACACAGCCCCAGTGAAACCATAAATGACTCATTTTCAGGACACTGTAACATCACGCTAACTTATTGCAGGTAGAAATTTATTTGGACCCTTTAGCTGACTGAGGAAGTTGAGAACAACATTGTATCACACCTGTGTCCGTGAATAAATTGTTGCTGGCAGGACCCACAAAGTTAGTTTCAGGGCCCCTCAGTTCTTAAGGGAGAGTGGGGTAAGTTGAGCCACCTTCTGTTGCTTGGAAATGGTGAAAGAAATTGATCATGTGACCAAATATTTAGGAGATGGGTATCAATTCATGGAGTCATTGAAGGTTAGAAGCACATGAGTGAAGGGGTTAGACATTTATTCCCAAAAAAACATTTTTTTTACTCTTGAACGTGAATGTAGTCTGTCATAAGTTTTATTAGAATTGTGTTCAGACCAAAATAGATCATTTTAAATTTGTTTTATTCATCAATTGTGGTATATATGAGCCACAACATCAGGTCAAAAACATAGCATAAAAGTCCACCATTTTAGCTTAGAGGACTAATCAGTTGACCTAAGTTGACCATAGTTGGTTCGCAGGGATGACCAACATCTTGAAATATATGCAGATAAACTAGTTAGAGACAAAACTATGATTGCCTGGATGTAGTGATCCGAACTATGAAAAATGGCTCATCTTACACCACTCTCCCCTACTAGTTGCTGGGTTATAAGATAAGTCAGGATAGGGGGAAATTTGATATTATGAAAGAAGACCCTGCTTTTTGACAGTTAGAAAAAGAAAACATTCATTTAAACCCGATGCCATTTTGTCGGATGGACATTTTTTAAAGTACATGTAACCACCATTACAAATAAAGCACCACTACTTTGGTGACTCTAAAACTGGCGAAGCCCCTCTGAAAGATGTCAGCATCTGACAGCATACTCAGCAGGTAGCCCAAGATCTAATTAGCTTGTTAGCCTTTTGTTTCTCTGAGTAAAGATCTCATCCAAGAGAAATCTGAGCCAAGTTTACAACATTTTGCTGTAATAATAGCAAAGTGAACGGTAGGAGAGAGCGTTATTTTGATGAAAGGCTGCTAAATACAGACACTTCTGTTACACAGTATCTGCGGAGCCGTTTGTAATAAATAAACAAAGAGGCGGTGGATGAAAATGAATGTAATCAAACAGATTTCATAAAGCTACTTGAACCTATTTACAGGGGTCACTCAGATGGTTTTCAAATCATGGGCTGAATAATTCATCTGGAAGGAAAAACAACTGAATGAGATGTCAGAACAATTTAATGCCGGCCTGAGCTGAGAACTCAAGAGGGAGAAAAAGTTTTCACACCCCTGAAGCAACAACAAAGAAATCAAAATTTACAGAAGAAGGCCAGTACAGTTATTTATTAACGACTTATGAAAGGATTTTCCACTTTTTAATACATCATTTACTTCTGCCTATGAATCCAGATACAATAAGATACTAGGGCCCCGTTGGGGCGTCTTTCTCCAGGAAGTCTGCAAGCTCCTGCAGAAACAGCTCCAGGAACTCCTCGTGGGAAACTACCTCCTGAGAGTGATCATGTAACCACCATTACAAATAAAGCACCACTACTTTGGTGACTCTAAAACTGGCGAAGCCCCTCTGAAAGATGTCAGTTTTGGCGTCCCCGGCGGACAAAGCAGTCTTTGTTTAGCTTGTCCTCCTTATGCTTAACTAGATCTCATCTATTTTACTTTTGACAGTCAAATGTACAACATGTTGTCAATGATTTGTGTGAAATTTTAATAACTGAGCTGTTTCTTTAGCTGCTCAACCAACACCTCCCCCCCGTACTAGTTTATGGCATTAAAAATTGCAATACAAAACTTGTTAATCTTGTCCCTGATTGTCCTGTTTGCGTTTGTACGTCATAAAAGGCATCAATATAAATTTCAGTCTAAGCTTGAAGTAGATTTATGTTTTATTATCCACTATTATGACAATTTAAACACTATTTTTAACATCAACATAAAAAAAATAGTTTCAATCCTTTGAGTTTCAAAAGAAGCCCAGCCAAACACCGCTTCCACACTTTTTTCCATTTACAAGAGATCTCAAGAAAAATCATCAGCAGAAGGTAAAATATACTCACACGTGCTGAAATGGATTTATATTTGGACGCCGCAGAGACATTTATGTTCTCCTGGAAACAGAGCAAACACGTATCCCTGGCCTAAATGTCTGCTCTTGCTTCCTTGTATCAAACGACTGCTTTCCTCAGGGGCAAACTCATGCATCAGAAAAATGCAAAATAGCCCTTTAACCGTACATTTTACAGATACGTGCGCATTGACTTTTTCGTAGATCTTATTGAGATACACGTGATTGTCAAATTTTGTGTCAATATGACAAAGCGTATAGGCGTGACACTCAACAATGTGTATTTTCACCTTACGGGAGAAGAAAAAATGGACTTTTTTCTCCTGCCATGGGGGGGCGCTCTTTTAGGGAGTAAAAATTCCTTCACAAATGTGTTGTTGGCTGGACATTGCATCATCCTAGAGAACGTGGAGGCCAGTGAGGACAAAAATAAAAAGTTAAAAGACTTTTAAGAATGTGGATTTTTGGGTCATCTTTGGCGCCCCCTAGAACGTAAACCGTGGGGTGCAGCGTCATGATTTGTACAACTTTGAATGGCCATGGGGTGTAGATTGGCCTGAACAAATGTGGTGCCGGTGGAACGAAAGCCTTCGGAGGAGTTAGCGAAATTCCAATGTGTGCGGATCGGCAAAAAATGCGAAATAGCCCTTTAACCGTACATTTGGCAGATACGCCCGCACAGACTTTTTTGTAGATCTTATTGAGATACATGTGTGTGTCAATTTTTGTGTCATTTTGACAAAGCGTACAGGCGTGACACTCGATAGTGTGAATTTTCACCTTAGGGGGCGCTATGGAGCCATTTTGCATATTATTTTTTCGGCGACTTCAGAATATCGAATATTTCACCAGGCCCGTTCAAAGGGGCAGAAAAAGAAGAAGAAAGAAGAATCCATCAGGAACAATAGGGCTCTCCCAGCTGCTTAGCAGCTACGCTCGGGCCCTAAAAAATACGATCACCCTATCAGGTGCAGGGCTGCAAAAACACTGACCAACAGGAGCCATCCGTCCCAGACAGCTCCTATTGGTCAATCTCCTGCTCCGCCTCTTCATCCAATCACCTCGCTGTATTCGACACACCCCTCTCCCGTAGTTCCGACTCGTCCCCTCACAATCTCCCGGAGCTCTGAGCGGCTAAAAGTAGTGTAGCAGCTTAGCTACAGGAGCTGTGATGGAGAAGAACGCAAAAAAAACCCACTTCTGCTCGCCCCACCGCCAAAAGTAGCAAAAGAACGCAAGCCTACAAAAGAAAGGGCGGAGTCGAAGAGGACATGTGACCAAGCGAGGAATCGAACTCGAATAAACATCGGGTCATCGTTGGAGTTTTAGTTGAACAGGTCATTTTTATCTCCTTTTATCGTGGCTCATGTTACATAAATAACTCTTATTAGTCTCTGCGACGTCAACACGGTAGCTGTCCAGGCAGCTGCGGACGGTGCTCGCTAGCAGAGCTGGCGTTTACCGCCGCTAGTCACTAACAATCCAACATGGTGAATCCTACTTGAAGCTAGCGTAGGATATTCTGCCGGCCGGCTTCTTGCTCTGTCAGAGGGGGTGTGTCGTGGTGGAGCACAGAGGGGAGAGGTTTTTGTGTGTGTGTGTGGGGGGGGTGGGATGTTTTTTTCAACTGTTTCTCAGATCGTCAACCATGACTTTAAATCATCATGAAGAACATTCAAATTAAAAGAGTAGCTTCTAACACTCATGATAAAAGTGTGAAACCATCTCAAACTGCGCGGTAATGTGAAGAAGCTCAATGCTCTGTTATCTAATTCAAAATACTTAAAAGTTTTATATCAAAATTGAAGAGCGGCTCATGCAGGACTCACTGGATGCTGCAGGACTCTTGAAGATGCACACAGAAAGAAAACACCTCTCATCACCAATAAACTAAACTAAAAGATTCAAGACATGACAGAATCCAAACTGGACTTTGCTGGTACCCCTGGTAGAGTCTGTATCCCTCCTGGTTTATTATATCGGACTATGAGAGTCTCCGCTCAGAGGGCAGGAAGCCACATTTGTCCTTGGTGTACCACAGCGGCTGCAGGGATCCAGCCCGCCCCAAGGATTTGCATACATTTCCCTTCCTTTCACCGTTGCTTTGCCTTTGGCTCTCCTGGGAAATCTGCGGCGAGCACGAGGCGGTGTGCGAGAACAGAAAACTAAGCTAAGAATAACAACAGCTCTAAAGTTTATTCCATGAATAATACGCAGCAACAATAAATCCTTATTATTTCAACACAGAGTACAGAATGAACTCAAAAGAAAGAGAAAGCAGCAGCACAGTAGAAAACTTCTTTATTCATTTCCATGTTAAAAGATAAAGAAACTCATATATACTGGATGTCAGACTGCGTGTCCGTAGATCCTCATCGCCAAACTCTCTCACAGCATCAAATTAAATTAACCGCATTACTGAGGAGATAAAGCCAAGCTCACAGCAAACTTAAAAAGAACCTCTCATAAAGTGGGCGGACTCTTCGATGACGAGTAAACGGTTCAGACACATGAATAAAACAAACAAACAGGAAGTACCGAAGCGCATTCACTCTGTCGGTTTAGTGACGGACAGATGAGATCACTCAAAAAGAAGGTAAAGGTGGAGGAGACGCCTCTTTATCATGATATGATAAAAATCATCTGATAAATATTTCTGCTCAACTTTAGTTTTAAATTCAACAAATCTATGTGGAAAAAGCACCAAGACGCTTCAGCCTGCAAATACTGACACGTGTGTCCTCACTCCTCAGCTCCGTGTCAAACTAACACCGTTGATTCATCTGCAAGAAGAAATCTTTACCAAACCTTTGTAGTGTTGTTACTCGATCCTAAACTTGTGCGTTTTCTTTATAAACTCCTGACTCTGTGTGTTGTTGTGTTGTGCTGACCTCCAGATCAAAGACTTTACCATAAAAATGAACACAACCTCACTTTCAATTCTACGAACAAAACAAACACCCCCTTGAAGGAGCTGGATATGCTCTCTGTCATCTCCAAGAACTGAATCAAACCGTAATCTTAAAATAATTCTCTCAGAACTACAGCAGCAGCTTTCTTCAGTGTTACAGTCTGTGTCAAACGTGATCTATCTTGGAGGATTAGTTCGGTTGAATTGGCCGGACCGGATGACAAATTAAGGACGAGACAAATCCCAGAATAAACACGATTCCTCACGTAATCCCCTCCCTCCATAAAGAGTCAGTAATACTGTTATTTTCGGATGATTGCAGCAGTTATTTTATCGTCAAAAATACACAGGAACCTTTTTAAACTCCTGCTCATCTTTTTCAGTTCATCACAGCCAACCTGCAGACCAAAGAGACCCCGTTCGACTGAGTTTTCTCCCCCCGTGAAACTCGACAATGACTGTAAGCGAGTTGGTTGCTGAGAGGCCAAAACTCCACATGCTGAGGAAACCGAAGGAGGTGTGAAGGATTTAAAAAATGTGTTGTTTTTTTTTATTTAGGAGGATGTAAAGTGAGGTCTATGCCAGGGGGCGCTCAAAGCTGCAGCTCCTCAAGTGTCTGTTTAAAACCAGACGGAAACCAGAAACACGCTGTGAAAGAAACTTAAAATTAAAACTTTTTAGAGCCAAAAGAATTAAACTGTTTTAGTCTGAAAAGTTTATTTGTCGAACTGAGTGAATGTTTAATTAGAGCTGAAGATACTGAGGAGTGGACTTCTGCAGCATGAGGGTGAATATACTATCAATGTTAGCGAACTCCGCCTCTACTCCACCTCTCTGCCTCATGATTGGTCGATTTAAAGTCTGAATTTGGCCAGTATTCTGCTTCCAGACACGACGTCCACGATTTATACAGTTGTAGTTAAAGATCGGCCTCATGATTTGTTGATTTTTAAAGGGGGCGGGGCTAAGCATGTTAAACGAGACTGATGACCTTTTTAATTTACTGTCTTTTTCCTTGAAATCTTGTGTTTTTATTTTCCTGACCCTCTTTCAAAAACTTTCATGTTTTTAAACAAAATCAGTGGATTTCTAAATAAAGCCGAACCTTAAATCTAGAGTAATTATCTCTGAATCCACTCATGTTTCCTCGTTTTTGTCCTTCTCAGCCACCGTCGAGTTTCTCTCTTTATACTCTGACCTGAGTCCACCGGTCCTAAAAACCCACAGGGCTCTTTATCCGCTCTCTCTAACCCTAACTCTGAAAAATACAGCCACTCTCTAAATTTTTCATCAAAAAAATAGATATAGACATGTGCCGTATATACATCATTTCTTTGTAAACGTTAGGCTCTTTAAAATAAGCGCTGATTCTCCATAAAAGTTGATCTTCAGAGATGAAACACTGACCTCATGTTTGACTGAGAGATGTGAAATAAATAGAGATAAGTTAAAACATTTGTACACGATGGACAAATCATTCAGTAGTTTAAAAAAACAAAAACAGGATGAGCTCCGAGATGAAGTCTGGTGACTGGGTTTGGGTCGTTTGTACCGTTCAAGTTCAGCAGATCATGTGTCGGTCCTGTTGGACTAAAAGTGGTCAACCGTCCTGAAGCGGCGGGACGGATTTAGTAGTGCAGTTTGTCGAGTGACTTCCTCTCTGTAAGGTATCAAAAGGTGAAAGTCAGAGTCCAGTTCCCGGGTATCCTCAAGTCCACTGAGCTGTGATTGTGGATCCCAGGCTGGATTATTAGTGTTGTTGTTGTTGTTGTTGGATTGAGTTAAGGCCTGGAGCGTCTGAAGTCTGAGTCCAACATCAGAGTTACATCTGCTCCACCGGGGCGCCTTCTTCTTTGGGCGGGGGCTCTAAGTGAAGGGGGGTGACCGAGGCTGGTTTCTTCACACTGGGCATTAACAGGGGAGGGGGTGGGGGGTGGGCAAGAGAGGGTGGGAGGACGGGTAAATGATAAAGGATAAAGGATAAGAAAAGGACAGAGTGATTGTTTGAGGTGTTGAACTCTCGGGTTAAAACTTTTTAAAGTGTTTCTTTGTTCTCAGATAAAATCAGCTCAGATTTAAGTTTATAATCTGAATCAAAGTCAGCTCAGTATTTATGTTGATTTTTGATTTTTAGTGCTGTAACCAAAGCTGAGCTGAAAACAGGAGACTCAAGGATCCCCTGTTGGGTCATATTAAAGAGCTGCTTTTGTAAATTTCTGCAGGATCTCCCCTTGTATTATTTGCTCTCTCTCGTGTCGATGCCTGAGGAAAACCTCATCACACCGTTTGTTAGTCTGAGAGCACCGCACACACATCTGCAGCCCAACAATTCAAGTTTAAGTTCTGACAGAAGTGTCTAACTCTGTCATGTTCAAAACTAAAGACTGGTGATCGCCACACTGCTACAGCCGGACTCTTTTATCACCTCAGTCGAGTCTGGACTAAAACCAGTCAGTGCAGCAGGACTTTGAAACTCTTAAGACCACTTTTAAGTAGAGAAGAGGAGGTTTTTGTTGGGGATGCCCCCTTAAAGTAGACCCTCGCATCAAGACAAATCAGAGTTTTACTCACGAGTACGGAGAGATCGGCACGGCCACCACCAGGACGTGATTCCTTTTCCTGAAAAGCCGCCACAGGCCTCTGTGATAGCCCCGAACATCCAGATCCCACACATGGAGGCACTAACAGGAGACAGAAGGAAGGTTCTGATTGGCTGGCTCTCTCAAACTCATGAAAAATCCTCCAACAAATACTCAAGACTTCGGCTCTTCTTTGAGCTCCTCCTCTGGCTGCCTACCTTGGCGAGCTCCGTCCACGTGGACGTGTCGGTCTCCGTCTCCATCTTAATGAACATGACGTAGGTCTTCCCCTCCGAGTCCGGCAGGAAGGAGTCCTCACACGGGTTCTTGGAGTGGTCCAGAACCTCTGCTTCTCTGGGATCACACACACAAACATCGAATTTCTAACATCTGAGTAAAATTTCTTTTCTTCTGATTTTAGAGTTTCACTCACTTGAGCAGGTTTTGGATCTCCACTTCATAAGCGTCTTTCTTTAAGCTGAGAAAACGAGCATGTCACAGTTTTAAACACACGTTACTTTTGATTTTGTTGAATATCTTTGGACAGAAATCAAACATCTTTACCTGTCTACATTCTTCAGCTGTACATTAGGAACAGTGTTGAACTTGTGTTTCTTGAAATAAACCTCCTGTGAGACAGAGACGTGACGTCGAGTAAAGTACGAAAACAGGGATTTTTAACTTTGCATTATGGAGGAGAATGTCTGAGAACAGTGTTTCAGATCTTACGTGGAAATATCCGTTCATGTTGAGGCCGATGATGCCGAAGTGGTACGAGCGGGACACGTCTGGGATGATGCACTCTCTGCCTTTCCTCTGCTCGGGCATTCGCATCCACATGTCCCAGTCCCACAGCTGCAAGACCAACACAACACAACACAACACAACACCCGCTTTACTGACGTGTTTTGACTGATGTTTGTTGATATGAGGAAAAACTAAAGAAATCTGCAAGTTCTGTTTCTACAGGATGAACTCTGCCAGCGTCAAACACTTTGTCTGAAATGCTGCAAAACAAAAAATCATTTCAGGAGAACTTTCATTTGATCCAACACCTCAGCTTACAGCACCAGGTCATGCTGCCACATTTATATATAATCTCATGAAAACTGAGAATCCCTCCTTCAGAAATGACGAGGGACTGCGATGTTGGACTGGGAGCTTGACAGTGAATTTGGACAAAGTTCAGGAGGATTGTAAAACCACAAGCATCAGCCTATCCGCACCTTCTCGGGCGTCGGCCACTTGGGCTCCAGCTCGTCCTTGTACAGGCTCTTCTTCAGCACCCAGCCCAGGCCGGGCATGCTCTCCACTCTGTAGAGCAGGGCCGGGTCTTCTGCTGTGTGCTCATAGCCCTGGACAACAACAGAGGTCAATCAGACATGCGAATCCTCAGACATCCTTCAGAGGTAACAGCTTAGGACTTCTATACGCTCTTACATCTATCTCTATATGCACGGTTACATGCACAAACGGACGTGGGATGAATGTGGGACAAAGAGCAGGTGCAGTGTTCGCTCACCTGGTCGTTCCAGGCTGATATACAGTACAGGCTGTCATCCTGGTCCAACAGGTGGATGGTTTGACTCAAAAAACTGAAAGAAAATCAGCAAAAAAACAGTCAGATCCACCTTCAGAGGAGCAAACGCTTCATTATAAACCAATTACATAGTTTAGACGACTGCAGAAAAGATAAATGGTGAGCAATGAGGGAATTATGAGGGTCTGTTTCACGCTGATCTTGAGAAGTCAGATACCGCCTCTCTCACAGGAATATTTCTACACTGTTGATATTCAGTCCTCCGTGTGAAGAAGTTAACGTCAGGAAAATAACAGCTCTGTTAGGAGGAAAAACTTTGGCTCTCATGTCAGGGAGTGAACCGACTTCTAAACCGACAGAGAGGACCGCTTTGAGGGTTTTTGAGCGGTTTGAAGTCACCTGGCAGGTCAGATCAGGGGGAGAGAGAGAGAGAGCTGGACGTTTCATGGCAGCAAACACACAGTGTAAAGTCAAGTCTGTCAAACAAAGAGGATCACTGTGATCTGTTAATGTGGATTTACTGCCATCTAGTGGTGATTTCTGCAGCTGCTGACACTTTTATACCCAGACCTGGTGAATATAACACACCTTTGATTCCACCTACGAACCTGCAGCTCATTACTGGTGCTGCGGTTGACTTTGCTCTCATAGTTACCACTTAGTAATTCAGGTAGATGTTTTTGCATACCTGAAGAAGTCGATGGATATGTCCAGGTCTTCTTCGAGGACGATGGCGAAGTTTGCCTCCTGATGAGAGTTCCAATAATCGATCAATTAAAAGACCAATGAATCGTGATAGAATCATATTTTTCAACTGAGAGGCAAACCAAAAGACGACCAGAGCACTCACCGGGTGAAGATTGAAAGTTGCAGTCAGACTGGCCTTGTAATGCTGCGGCACAAAGCAGTAATGTCACTTTAATGACAATTTACTCAAGAAAGGGTTCAACTACCAGTTCTTAGTGTACTTCAGTACCTCATATAAAGTGCACTTTAAGAAATGAGTATGAAACAGAAATCAATGAGAGCTTTGAAGTGACCGTTAAAAGCTGAAACAGAGATTTATATTTGAAACTATCTCCCATATAAACACTGCGTTTATTCGTTGTTTGTGTTTACCTGGGACACTCGTGCATTCTTGATGCTGATCGGTGTGTGCTGGACTCCCTTCAGTCCGAACAGCTCGACCACATCCATCGGCTCCTGGATTAAAAAACCCGAACAGACAGACGTGAATACTTAAAACTGACGAGGCTCTGCTGTGATTCGAAGTTTTAACAGAGAAGTGAATCATCCCAGTTTGTACCTCGTAATATCCGTCGATGAAGACTGTTATCATCTGAGGGTTGACACCATGTGCTGAGAGAAGTGACCTCAACATCCTGGACAAAAAAAAGAGTGCTTAATTGGTGTTGCAAAAATCTGAGAGACTTGGAGCAGTTTGCAAAAGAAAAATGGTCCAAAAGTCCATCTTAGAGGTGTTAGAAGCTTATTAAAGGTTAAAGGAGACGACTGGTTTCGGTTATTTTTCTCAAGAGCGTGTCCCCAAATATTTAGCTGAGGGTGCCAACAATTTTGTCCTGCCCATTTTTTGAGTTTCCTGTCAAATTATGTCAATTTTGGCTTTTTTCTTTCAGTGCACATTAAGGAAATGAACACATGCACACCAAAAACAAACACGACTGTATAATGTCCCAGTCAAATAAACTGATAAAATTATAAATAAATGAAGAAGAAGTCACATGAGTTTAAAATCTCTTCCTCCTTCTCACCTGTAGAGATAGTTGGGTCTGTTTCCCGCTATGACGGCGACTGGGACGTTGAAGACGTTGTTGTTTATTAGCTGCAGAAGAAAAATACACCATGGTTAAAACACTAGTTTGTAAATCAAGTCTGAGATCTGAGGTTCCCCAAGACTCCACCCTGGGGGCCCCCCAACATCTACATCTACATCTGCTCATAGGCTCAAATGATAGAAAACAACAAATGTAGTTACCATAACGACCCAGATGATACACAGTTAAACATAACAATGTCAGAGGGTGACCGATGCCACGTAAATAAACTCGCCTTGCCCTGATTGAGTGACTCTTTACTCTGTCAGCTGTCTCCTTTAATTACAGGCATGTCAAGAGAAAAAAACCTCCAGCTGTGAGGTTCAGGTTCTTACAGGGTCTGGGTTGAACTCGATGGGCGCCGGGTCTTTGCAGCTGCAGATGCTACCGTACCCTTCAACTTTGCTGCAGAAGAGCTTCCTCCTTCTGTTGAGCTCCGTGTCGGCCCAGTGGCACTCCGCCTCTGCAGGGAGGAGGATCACATTTAAGGTACGAGGCAGTGTTTCACTTTTTTAAGATGAGGATCTTTAGATTTGATCATTTTTGTCTCCAGACGTGTTGGTGCACGTTTACCCTCAGAGGCAGTGAGCTGGACCTCAGTCTTCAGCAGCACCGGGTCCCCCCATGTGGACAGAGCTGGAGACTTTGCATGCTTCTCCCCGTACACCTGACCTGAAACCCAAAACACACAATGTGAGCTTGAATGTGCAAGTTATTAGGAGCTCAAACATCTCAAACAGAAACCAGACCACTTCTCATGCCAAAATCCCAGACGTCTCAGGACAGATTCAGCATTAATATGCAGACTCCATAAAAACTGAATCAGTCCGTTACAACACAGTGGACACAGAGAGTTTCAGGATGGATCAATTTTGCTCCTCTACCTCCTTTCTTCACCACGAGAGTCCACATGTCCCTCCAGCTGAGGTTGAGGGACACCTGGCTGCCCAGACTCTTGAGCAGGTTCTTCGCAGCATCCTTCAGGTGGAAGGTCCCCTCATCCTAGACGTTGAATACATGCTCTGATCAGAAGCGTTTAGGTATGACGTGTGAATTTGACGTCCGATTCGTCGCAGAATCAGTCACTGACCTTTATGGTGAAGATGAGGACTCGACCCCGGGTCACCATGTTGAGGAAGAGGATCATTGCTTCATCCTCATGGGGAGAGTAGGTGTCAAATATTCTCTTGGCCATCACGTGACCCTGAGACAAGCGACAGAAAGAGCTTCAACTTCATCTTCCACCACATCTACTGAAGAGTCTCTGCTTCTGCAAACATCATTCTTTAAATTCATTAATATTTTTTCCAGCAAAGGGAAAGAATCAAAGATATCAAAAAGCTTAAAAACAGAAAAAATCATGTCTGTAAACATTAGATCAAAAACACAGCTCACAGTCGCCTGATTGAGAACAATCACATGGATGCCTCTGCCTTGCTCTCGCATGTCGTCCTCCAAGACCTGCAGGACACAGACCAACAAAAACACTTGGATTAACTCGTGTGGTCCACTTCAGTGCTGCTGAATCCCTCACTGATATTAAAGGAAACTAAACCCACGGTGGTGCCGTCCACTGCCACGTAGACCTTGGAGCGGCTGGAGTACACCTCAATGTCCAGGACTTTACGCCCATTAGCAGGTCTGCGTGGTGTCTCCATGTTGGGTATTGTATCCTCTGAAATCGAGTATGACATCAGGATTAGATCCTTTGGTACAGACAAACCAATGATCAACCTTTTCACGTGAACAGCTTCTGGGACCAACAGGACTCTCTTTTGAACATGTCAGTTTCAAGATGCGAACCTGGCCTTCACAACGACGTAAACAGAGAGAGCAGAGGAAGGTCTCACCATATTCTTGAGCTGCTGCATCTTCATTAGCCACTCTTCTTGTGTCCAAGATGAGTTTAATGTTGACTATGACTGTTATCAGCAGAAACAGCACAGCACCAGCCTGTGGAAGAAAAAAAACACAAAGTGCTCCACTATCAAGGCTGCACAGAAATGGATTGAAGGTAAAGGTGTTTAAGATCTTAAAGGTAAAGTTCTTATTGATAAAGGTGTGACATGTGTTAATTGTATTAAAGGTAAAGTTCTTATTGATAAAGGTGTTAAATGTATTCAAGGAAAAGTTGTGTAGATCTTTAAGGTAATGGTTTTATTGTTAACTGTTTTAAAGGTAATGTTCTTATTGATAAAAGGTGTTAACTGTATTAAAGGTAATGGTCTAATTGATAAAGGTGTTAAATTTATCAAAGGTAAAGGTGTTTAAGATCTTAAAGGTAATGTTCTTATTTAAAAAAGGTGTTAAATGTACTAAAGGTAATGGTTTTATTGTTAACTGTATTAAAGGTAAAGTTCTTATTGATAAAGGTGTTAAATGTATTAAAGGTAAAACTGTTTAAGATCTTAAAGGTAATGGTTTTAATTGTTTTATTGTTAACTGTCTTAAAGGTAAAGTTGTGGTGCTGCTTCAGTCCCACAGACCGACCCCAGACTCCCGCCTCTGTCCCTCCGTTACCTGACAAAACCGCCGGATCGTCCTCTTATTGGTCAGTTTGTATTTCCAGGTGAGGTACAGACTCCTCTGCTGACGGGGGACGAAAGGTTTGGCTCGGGGGTTCGGGGTCCACGTCTCCATCCCGGACACAGGGCTCGGACCCTCCGCCTGCCTTCCTCCAGCTCCTCCACAGCTCCACAACAGCACCGACACACGCCCTGTTACTGTCACATCCTCACCTACACACACACATACAACAGAAACACACAAACACAGGTCCGAGAGAAGGTTAGCTTAGAAGCTAACTCAGCTAACCGACTCTGTATAAGTTTAACAAACCAAAGACTTTTCTCTGATCAAATATAAACTCAAACACTCACGGAGTTTTCCAGAAACTTCTCATTGTCATAAACTACGAGGCGACGAGAGACACCCAACAAAGCTGCAGGTTCTACTGCTACATGCTACATACACCGTGTTTATGTCGCAGATTGAATACGTCAGTGAGCGCTTCCTTCTTCCTCGTTTTATTGGTGGCTTGCAACCAACTAAAGGAGCACTACCGCCACCTACTGGGTTGGAATGTAGCACAGGAAATTGAGGCTGTGTGGGAGAAGCGCGCTTAAGGGCGAGAAATAAGAAAGCTGACAAAACTACAGCAGAGGATCAGGACAACATCGAGTAGTTTTTCTTTTAAGATTTAGAGATTAAAGTTGTAAATTTAGGAGAATAAAGTCATAAAGTAAATAAAGTCATAAAGCTGCTTTTGTGGAGGGGGAAATGACTGAAGCTGGTCACCTGCAGGGTAATCTGTGGATGTATCAGCGGGTCATTCAGAGAGATTTTGTGGTTTCTGAAGAAACAATCAAACTGATGATGATCAACATTTGTGATCCAGAGGGAGTCGAGCTCCGACGAGCACCACGTCTCTGACACCGGCGGTAACCTACACCTGCAGAGACACCAACACCTTATTATGGCCAGGCCCGGATTAAACCTTCTGTGGCCCCTGAGGCTAAGCAAACCTAATGGCCCCCCTATGTCCCGCGCGCGCAAAAAATTGGCAGTTTTTATTGGTCATTTTGTGGAAATTACTGCACTTATGGGTGGTTATTCAATGGTTCCACTAGCCACCACCTCTAGCCAAACCACTGGGTTAATACAACTGTGTGTCTGAACTCAATTCAACAAGAGGTAGTGAAAAAGTCTTCAAGGAAAGCACAGAGGCTGGTGTACAGTTCACTTTTTTACTGTAGAAAACCTCAGGCATTTTAAATTATAAGTATATAGCAAGCATTATAAATAAAAGTGCAAGGCGTGATATGAAGGCCTGTTATGGTTATACAATTTGTTTTTTAAAGGATTGCTACACTGAGATTTTTATTATTTTTATATTTGTTCTACATTTGTCTGCGTTTGTGTTTTGATCTTTATTTTCATATTCTGTAGGGACAGATAAATGTCAGAGGTTTTGACACTGTGATACTTAAATAAATGTTTTATACTATATTTTGAATTAATTCAGTCCTTTTGTGCATTTATTTTTGTCTTGTTACATTTTTTCCATTATTCCAATTTTGGGGAGCGTGGTAGCAATTTGACTGACTTTCAGCCATTTAGGGCCATGATGTGCTGTTTATATTTTATTGCTTGTATTACACAGTAGGTTGTGTCATTTTTATGTATGAAACATAAGCTTTTAGCTAAATATACTGTATATATTTCATTGTGCTGGGTGCAAATCACTTGAGTTGAGACGTTTTCTTCAAGAAATTTGCTACATTTCATAATCTGAATTCACTTATGCGTATACTAAGGCACCAATAACTGTTTCAGATGTTAGGTAGATGTATTTATGACATTTGAGAAAGATTTTGTTTTGCCAGAATCAACATAGCAGTTTCTACAAGCAAAAACAGCAGTACCATATAATCGTTTTTTGTGTTACTCACATATATGTACATTTCTGGCTGTTCTTTTGTCTCACCCTGTAGAGAAAGCCACTTTCTAATACTAGTTCTGTAAGTTTCCCAACGTGTCCTCGTAAAGTCGAGAACGTCTTCACTCTGGACAGATGATAGATGCATATAGCATCGTTTCGTTCCTTTTTGATGCACTTTTGAAGGCTGTTTTCTTTTGTTCCTTTTCTTTTCTTCCTCCTCGCTTGTCTCGCTGGTAGACGCGCTCGTCGCCATGTTTGTGTATTTCTGATACTATGGCAACGAGACTCGGCTCCTATTGGTCCACGTGACAAAAATCGCTTCACCCCTCTGCATATTCGATTGCGCGTGTGCAAGTATCACTGCGCCGCAGAAAGGAAATAGTTCGACACCGAAACACTGATTACTAAAAATCGACAGGATGGCATGAGTAGATATTTTTTTTTTAGTACTAACTATCAATAGAGCTATTTTATGAATCACAGTTTATGTTGCCCCACTGAAGTGGAACGAGATTCACTTTCTAGGCACTTTTTCCTCTGTCCCAATACAGCCTAATCCTCCTCACACCGGGCGCAGCTCATCAGCGTCATAGCGGCTTCTGCTCGGGCTGAGTGGCCCCCCATAGCCAAACGCCCTGAGGCTTCAGCCTCACTATGCCTCATGGTTAATCCGGCTCTGATTATGGCATATGGATTCATATCATAAACTAAAGCTCAATGTCATTCACGGATATTTACGGCTGCATTGACAGATATATCCTCAGCATATTCATTTCTGCCTCCACAAAAGCAGCGATTTCCTTCAAGTACACCAGTTTTTTTCCCCGTGGAAAAGACGTATTTCTCATATATTCTTTTTTTTTTTAAGTCTTTATACTTATGACAAGCAGAGTGTAGACCTGGACTTTAGCCTTTGACTCAGTCCTTCCCACGCCCCTCACAATGAAACTGTCATAAAAAAGATTCAACGTCTCAGTTTTCCAGGTTGTTACCTTTAAATCACAGCAGCTAATTCAGGAAACAGAGACAAACAAGGCTCAACAAGGCTTGGACACAGGATTAACACACATAACATGACAGATCAGATTTGATTGCTTCTAAATGTCTAAATATTGTAGAGTTCAGGTAACAGTTTTCTGCATGGAGAGTAGTTTTTATCTGTGAAAAGTTTCTGTTTTAAAGACTCTGACAGGGATTACATAGTGAAGGAAGCTGTTGACACTTTTATTAATGACTCATAAACACAAAGTTTAGGTTTCAGATTTGGTATTTGACCATTTTTAAAAAGAAAAGAGAGAAAATCTAGACCCATGATGAACTGTGCATATCTATGAAGTCATGTTTTTATTGAATTATGATAATACAGACACGTGGCTGCAGGTTTAGACCACCGAGTCCAAACCCAGCACGCCACATGACATCGTTTACAGCACCTGCTGAGGTTAAACATTACAGATTTTATGTTACAGAGTCCAAAGCAGCCAAGAGTGCAAAGATGAGGACCCGGAGATTCGTTTTTTAAAAGTGCAGGTAACAGGTGGATCATGAGGTGAGTATCTGCTTCTTCATTTTACATTTGTTACGAGTTATATCCTAACTCTCATGGGTTAACCTTCATGTCTTTCCTTCTGCTCTTATTCCTCCTTTCGTGCTCCTTGTATTTCCCACCTTTTCTTATACTTTGGTCCTTCTTCTGTCCGTCCCTGCTCTCTTTATTTTTGTGGTCAGGCAGGTTTTCTAGACAATACTTTAACTCTTCCTATTCTGGCATCTCTGAGTCGCCTTTTACCCTGCGGTGATGATATATGTTTGCCTCCAGTTCTACTTCTTTTTCACTCTTAATTTTCTGTGACTTCAGCCTCAAAAGGGTCTGTACCGCCCATCAGGCCACATTTGATTAAAATCAGATGTGCACAAACGTGCTGCGTTATCAAATACAGTTTCTGAACCATGTTTCATCTCCAGCCGACTGTTTTTAAACCACATAAAAAAAGAAAGATACTGGTGTTCAGTCGGCTGTGTGCTGCACAGAGAAGTTTGGCTCACTAGCTTTGACCTGCTCAGAGTCATAAGTCTTCTTTTCCTTGTGATTGAAACCATGTTGTGGACTTTTTATTGCCACATTATGATAAAAATGGTGCTTCACATGTTCTACTGTCTTCTCCATCAGTGCTGCATTTGGTCAGCCAACCCTGGAGGCCAAACTGCACGCCCTGCAGTGCCATTTCACCTGGGACCTGAACCCCAGCAGACCTAAACTCTTCAGCCTCAGGGACAAGCTGGAGGACATCGGTACAGAGGAGGGTTACAGCTGGCTGGGTCATATTTACAACCTGCAGGGATACGTCCACTTCCAGCTGGGGTTCACTGCTGATGCTCAGCGATTCTTCAGCAGAGCTGCAGAGGCCTTTCGCCAAATAAGAAACACCGTGTCAGACGAGGGGGCGTGGTTGGTGGTGAACCATGGGAACCTGGCTTGGCTGCACTACCTCAACGGAGAACAAGCAGAGAGCGTCTCCTACCTTTCTAAAGTTTACGACTTGCTGAGAACGTACCCATCTCCATCCCAGGAGGAACTCCATCCAGAAATCTGTGCAGAGAAAGCCTGGACCCTGATGAAGTTTGACACGGCTGAGAAGCTGCAGGCTGCAGATTATTTCCAGAGAGCCCTCAGGATGCAGCCAGGCACAGTGGAGTGGCACACCAGCCACGTCTTAGCGTTGGTGAATGCTTTTAGAAACAGCAACAACGAGCTGGGGGCCGACATCGTGGAGAAAATGAAAATCGCTAAACATCACAACCCAGAGAACTTGTACCTCGCTGCTCTGCACTGTGAGGCACGCGCTAAGAGAGGTATCAAGATCGAAGTTGAAGCGCGAGAGCTGGCCAGGAGGGTTTTAAGGAAGCCGGTCAGCAGCTACAGCGGGATCAAACCTTTACTGCGGCTGTACAGGATGCACTTATCCATGGATGAGGCCATAGACTTAGCAGAGGAGGCCATGGAAAGACATCCAGGTGAACGCTACCTGAAGAGGTGTGCCGTGGTCTGCTATGAGATGAGGATCTTCTCAGACAGGGACAATCCCTTAGAGCGCAGCATGATTGACAGAGCAATGGTTCTCTGCAAGGAAGTGATTTCCCTGTACCCCCAGTCCTCGCTAAAGAGGAAGATATCTCTTGCAAACATGTATGCAGAGACGAAAAACCAAGCTGAGGCTGATCAAATATTCAACGAGCTGCTAGAGAGCAGTCTTGACGCCGAAGGAGCACAGATGCTTTACAACTACTATGCAAAGTATGTTCATTCCCTTCGAAAGGAGAGCTACAAGTCGATCGAATATCACATGAGAGCCGCAGAAATACCATTTCCTTCTCACTATCGGGAGAACAGCATCAGAACTCTGCAGAGGATCAGAGACAGAAACAGAAACCGGATGTGTGGAGAAATAACAGAGTTTCTGGCTCAGCTGACAGACTAACAATGTTTCACCAAGAGATCTGGTTTGGTTCGGTACAGCCTGGTACCCTGGTCAGGGTGTGTTGGCTGCTATTCAGACTGCTGGTGTGAGCAGGGCCTCCTGCTTCAGGCTTGAACCTGTCTGTGTCTGTGTCATGAACTTTAAACCCTCATGTCCCATTAGAGTCTCTAATACAGTCTTCTCTGGGAGTTCCTGAGCCCCATCATGCCATATGTTCCTCTGGATCGCTGCTACAGACGTCCTGCTGCTGTCGGACTAAAATACACATATTGTTCCTTTACTTTTAAAACTATAACCATAGATCTGTATTCATTATTCTGCATCTACTTCTATCCCTCTGTCCGATCCTTACACAGCAGCAGCAGCAGATGACCTTCTAACATGAGTCTGGTTCTGCAGGAGTTTTCCACCTGTATGATGATGGTCTTGTTTGCTCTAGTAGGTCATTAAAAGACATCAGTCTGTTTACCCACCAGCTAAAAATGCTCTTAATGAAGAAAAAAACATACATGGATTGTTTTATGCAGTTGCCCCTTTATTATAAATGCTATAATCTCCATGAAGAACAAGCACAAAGAAACACAAAGACGTATTTTTGAGCTACTCCAGACGACAAAATGACAAACACATGACACCAAAGTTGAGAATTATGCTGAGATTTTATTTTCAATTCATTTCCTCTCAGAGCTCATGTCACACACATGTATATTTCTATATTTTAAGTCATGTTTTGGGTCTTTCATGCGTCTGTAATGGGGATGAGGGTTATAAAAAGGTAAACAAAGGGAGACAGTCATTCAAATGTTATAGAGGTTTTAATAATGGTAAAAAAGAGAAGTTAAAAAAAGCTAAATGTATTTAAAATCAGACTCAGTGATAATTTCTTATTTTTGTTGTCCTTGAAAAAGCTGTGTATGTAAAGGATAATACCTAAATGGGTCACTAGAGGGCGTACGGTCCCTGTGAGGACCATAATAGCTGTCAAAAGCTACCTGCTGCTGCAGGCCGGATCAGAGGAATATAAGATATTTAATGATAATTTTTTTTAAATGTCATATTTTAAAATTACAACTTTTTTTTAATGTTTCTAAACTTTTGTCAGGATTCTTCAAAGCTCTTGTTGCAGAAATAGACTTTGTAAAAATGTCTTGCTTGTCTCACCTACTAAAGAATAATGATACAAACACAGTTCACATCAAACAGCATTTTTTTCTTTTTAAGCTGAAATACACAAATAATAAAACACAACACAGGCTGTTTCACTCTCCTGTAGATGGTACCTGTGTTTTTAAGGTTAGCATTCATATCAGTGACATGCTAGATTTAGCTTCAGTTGGCAGAGAGAGCAACGAGACCGAGCAGCACAGGAACAACACTCAGTCTGAAGGTCGGAGCTGAATTACACAGGCTGGTCCCACAACATTGAGGTGCACTTAGTATTTGAACAGGCATAGAGAAAAGACTTCTCTCCCCTTCAATGTTGCCTTCACACAGGTTTGCAGATACACAGCCGAGCACTGGGCCAGTCTTGCCTTGCATTGACACTGTAGATGTGAAAAAAAAAAAAGATTTGAAAAGACTGCAGCAGATTCTTTGAATGTTTTTCAGAGCACATTATAGAGGCTTACTGATTGATTTGAAGCAGCGGTTCTGAATCCCAACACACTGAACTATGGTGTCACAGACAGTGTCCTGTGGACCTGAGCAGGTGAAACACTGCAGGCCATTTCGTGTCTGCACATCAGACACTGAAACAGAAGAACACAAGTTTCTCTACTGGACAGGACTGCAAGTTTCATCCGTGTAAGTACACATAAATGTGAAATTCAAAACTCTGGTTACAAAGAAAGGTTACAGGTGAGAGCATCAACACAGATGGGGAAAAGAAGAGGATCAGTAATTAGCAGGGAACGATTTAGAAAGAGTGGTTTAGCAAGGAGATGAGTCAAAATACTCACCCTTGACATTTCTGTTGTTGCAGCCGTCTGTATTGCAGCAGTAACCAGAGGTAGCCACTCTTGATGAACCATAAGTGAATGAAATTTGTCGCTCAATTGCAGAGCATAGGGAGGGCGCTGTACAATTTCCTACTTTTATGTGCATAGAGGGCAACGTCATCATATCCGAGTCTGAACACAAATAATGACAGGATTAAAACTATGGTAGAAGAGGTTATCTGAAACAGACTCAGTAAACGACTCAAGGACACATTAACCCTCCTGCACCTCTAACCTGCTGCAATTCCTGCACACTGCTCATCAGGAGAAGCACAGGACGTTGGGTCCTCCCAGCTCGGTTCCCAAGATTTGTGGTAACACTTCAGAGCTTCAGCTGTAGAGACGGAGATGAATTAAGTTATGATTGTTTTAGGCGATGTGAGGAGTTTTCACATCATGTTGATTGTGGTGACCCTTTTGGATGATAGTTTGACAGACATGCCGGTTTAATAAAAATGTTGTGGTGTGTGCTGTGGCGTCACAATCAGTGTCTGAATAAAGTCAATATGATCCAGATTGAACTCAACTAAACAGAAATTTTTTATGTTTAACCAGAAAAGTTCTGGATGTAGTTTCTCTAAATCTGCCTTCTTTTGTAAAATGATCTATCCTGTCATTAAAACTACAGATCCTTAGATTATACCCCTTTAAATATTTTAATCACTCAATTTTTGTTCTTCTCTGCTCTACTGTTTCTACTCACATGAGCTTATCTGGACTGTACAGCAGAAGACCAGTAGGATGTGTTTCAGGTGAAAAAAGACGTTTAATATCTGAAAACTTTCATAAAACTAATTTCAGGTTTTTATTCAATGTCTTAATAAAGTGGAAAGAGTGACGTTACCAGAGCTGAGGAGAATCCAGATGAGATGGACAGACAGAGTCAGCTTCATCATGATGAGTCTGTGAGCAGATTCCTCCTTTAGACTGTGAAACTTCATCTTGTATGAGACCCAAAGAGTAAAAAAGATATACCTCCCACTGTGGACTGAGACTCAAACCCACAATGACGTTAGTAACCAACACCCAAAGAGGGGACAAAAGAAGGAAATAACTCTGTACGAAAGAAAGAAACTCTGACTTCTCTGTTCTCAGTCTGAAAACCAAAATCACTTAGAAATCATCAGAATACATGATTTATCATTACAGCATTACACCTGCTCTTTAGAAATACAAATACTATTGGAGGGACAGTAGGAATGGGGATGAATAAATAAGAATAAATAAGAAATTGCTGTTTACAAAGCGCAGCATGTTAAAGTATAAGATATATACAAGCCTAAAGAGTAGGAAGTGTGTACAGAAGCAGTTTGTATGTAGGATATTAGACAGAGTAAGATACAGTTCAACTGAACATAGTACAGTGTTGCTAGAAAATTTGTATTATTAATTTAGCACTCTTAGATTATTGAAGTTTTACAAACAGATGGTACAGTTGAATATTCTTATATGTAGAGGAGAAGTTCACAGAATGAGAATAAGTTCAGAGTTATAAAGTTATTGTTAGGGTGATTTTCTTTAGTCATGCTATTCTTTAGGAGGGTGGGGGTAGAGCTGTAGAAGTGATGTGTGAACCACATGTGCTCCACTTTATAACCCACATCCTGGACCACTTAGTTGTACTTAATCTACATTATTTTCCATGAGAACAAACAGACAAACACAGAAGTCTTACTAAAGCTCCTGGCAGCAAGTTTTTATCCTTTTGTGAAACTGTTATTAATGCCTCTTTATGATCTACATCACCTGGCCAATGTTGGAACCAGCTGTAGATGATTTCTGTCTCCACACTCTGAACATGGGCGGTGTCTTCTACACGAATTCTACAAGATGCACGACACAAAGCTGACCTGACCTGATTTATGTTTTATTCATTTATTTATTGAAGTGGCTGCAAGCACAAAAAACAAAAACAAAAAACATTGAAACATCCAACCTCTGAACATTTACAGACAGAAAACAGCCGAGCAGAGTAATCAGTGAAGTTCACATAAGTACAGAATCATATGTGACTCATAGATGGTGCGGTCAGGGAGCGCAGAGACTTTTTCTCAAAGTGAGGAGAAGAATATGTGTAGTTTGCAAAATGTGATGGAAATCCACACTTCTTATTGTGTCTCATCAACACAAGTTGAAGTCATACAAGAGAGGAAAAAAAAAACAAACACAACGGTGACACTCAAGGTGGTTTCCAGGACATCCTGAAATAATGCCTCGGTTTATGTGGTTAACAACACGAGAACTGTCACTGAGCAGAGTTATAACAAAGAAAAGGACCAAAAAATGCAGACAAAACTTTTTAATTGTCATATTTTAAAATTACAACTTTTTTTTTTAATGTTTTTAAACTTTTGTCAGGATTCTTCAAAGCTCTTGTTGCAGAAATAGACTTTGTAAAAATGTCTTGCTTGTCTCACCTACTAAAGAATAATGATACAAACACAGTTCACATCAAACAGCATTTTTTTTCTTTTTAAGCTGAAAAACATAAATAATAAAACACAACACAGGCTGTTTCACTCTCCTGTAGATGATACCTGTGTTCTTAGGCTTTGCATTCATATCAGTGACATGCTAGATTTTGCTTTAATTGGCAGAGAGAGCAACGAGACTGAGCAGCACAGGAACAACACTCAGTCTGAAGGTCGGAGCTGAATTACACAGGCTGGTCCCACAACATTGAGGTGCACTTGGTAATTGAGAAGGTAGAGAGTGAGGACTTTTCTCCAGTTCAGTGTGGCCTTCACACAGGTTTGCAGATGCACAGCCGAGCATTGGGCCAGTCTTGCCTTCCACTGACACTGCAGATGTGAGGAAAACAAACAATGTTAGGAGACTGCAGCAGATTCTTTGAATGTTTTTCAGAGCGCATTAAAGAGGCTTACAGACTGTTTTGAAGCAGCGGTCCTCAATCCCAACACACTGAACTATGGTGTCACAGACAGTGTCCTGTGGACCTGAACAGGTGAAACACTGCAGGCCACTTCGTGTCTGCACATCAGGCACTGAAACAGAAGAACACAAGTTTACCCGAGGAGTTGGAAATCTCACCTGGACAGTCCTGCAAGTTTTATCCGTGTACGTACTGTGGTGGAGCACAGGAACAACACTCAGTCTGAAGGTCGGAGCTGAATTACACAGGCTGGTCCCACAACATTGAGGTGCACTTAGTATTTGAACAGGCATAGAGAAAAGACTTTTCTCCCCTTCAATGTTGCCTTCACACAGGTTTGCAGATGCACAGCCGAGCACTGGGCCAGTCTTGCCTTGCAATGACACTGTAGATGTGACAAAACAAACAATGTTAGAAGACTGCAGCAGATTCTTTGAATGTTTTTCAGAGCACATTAGAGAGGCTTACAGTTTCCTTTGAAGCAGCGGTCCTGAATCCCAACACACTGAACTATGGTGTCACAGACAGTGTCCAGTGGATTTGAACAGGTGAAACACTGCAGGCCATTTCGTGTCTGCACATCAGGCACTGAAACAGAAGGACACAAGTTTCTCTTCTGGAGAGTACTGCAAGTTTCATCCGTGTAAGTAAATGTGAAATTCAAAACTCTGGTTACAAAGAAAGGTTACAGGTGAGAGCATCAACACAGATGGGGAAAAGAAGAGGATCAGTAATTAGCAGGGAACATTTCAGAAAGAGTGGTTTAGCAAGGAGATGAGCCAAAATACTCACCCTTGACATTTCTGTTGTTGCAGCCGTCTTTATTGCAGCAGTAACCAGTGAGAGCCACTCTTGATGAACCATAAGTGAATGAAATTTGTCACTCAATTGCAGAGCATAAGGAGGGCGCCACACATTTTCCTACTTTTACGTGCATAGGGGGTATAAACATCATCTCCGAGTCTGAACACAAATAATGACAGGATTAAAACTATGGTAGAAGAGGTTATATGAAACAGACTCAGTAAACGACTCAAGGACACATTAACCCTCCTGCACCTCTAACCTGCTGCAATTCCTGCACACTGCTCATCAGGAGAAGCACAGGACGTTGGGTCCTCCCAGCTCGGTTCCCAAGATTTGTGGTAACACTTCAGAGCTTCAGCTGTAGAGACAGAGATGAATTAAGTCATGATTGTTTTAGGCGATGTGAGAAGTTTTCACATCATGTTGATTGTGGTGACCCTTTTGGATGATAGTTTGACAGACATGCCGGTTTAATAATAATGCTGTGGTGTGTGCTGTGGCGTCACAATCAGTTTCTGAATAAAGTCAATATGATCAAGATTGAACTCAACTAAACAGAATTTTTTTATTTCTAACCAGCAAAGTTCTGGATGTAGTTTCTCTAAATCTGCCTTCCTTTTTGAAATGATCTATCCTGTCATTAAAACTACAGATCCTTAGATTAGACCCCTTTAAATATTTTAATCACTCAATTTTTGTTCTTCTCTGCTCTACTGTTTCTACTCACATGAGCTTATCTGGACTGTACAGCAGAAGAACGATAGGATGTGTTTCAGGTGAAAAAAGACGTTTAATATCTGAAAACTTCTTTTAAACTAATTTCAGGTTTTCATTCAATGTCTAAATAAAGTGGAAAGAGTGACGTTACCAGAGCTGAGGAGAATCCAGATGAGATGGACGGACAGAGTCAGCTTCATCATGATGAGTCTGTGAGCAGATTTCTCCTTTAGACTGTGAAACTTCATCTTGTATGAGACCCAAAGAGACAAAGATATACCTCCCACTGTGGACTGAGACTCAAACCCACAATGACGTTAGTCACCAACACCCAAAGAGGGCACAAAAGAAGGAAATAACTCTGTCAAGAAGAAACTCTGACTTCTCTGTTCTCAGTCTAAAAACCAAAATCACTTAGAAATCATCAGAATACATGATTTATCGTTACAGCATTACACCTGCTCTTTAAAAATACAAATACTATTGGAGGGACAGTAGGAATGGGGATGAATAAATAAGAATAAATAAGAAATTGCTGTTTACGAAGTGCAGCATGTTAAAGTATAAGATATATACAAGCCTAAAGAGTAGGAAGTGTGTACAGAAGCAGTTTGTATGTAGGATATTACACAGAGTAAGATACAGTTTAACTGAACATAGTACAGTGTTGCTAGAAAATTTGTATTATTAATTTAGCACTCTTAGATTATTGAAGTTTTACAAACAGATGGTACAGTTGAATATTCTTATATGTAGAGGAGAAGTTCACAGAATGAGAATAAGTTCAGAGTTATAAAGTTATTGTTAGGGTGATTTTCTTTAGTCATATTATTCTTTAGGAGGGTGGTGGTAGAGCTGTAGAAGTGATGTGTGAACCACATGTGTTCCACCTTATAACCCACATCCTGGACCACTTAGTTGTTCTTAATGTACATTATTTTCCATGAGAACAAACAGACAAACACAGAAGTCTTACTAAAGCTCCTGGCAGCAAGTTTTTATCCTTTTGTGAAACTGTTATTAATGCCTCTTTATGATCTACATCACCTGGCCAATGTTGGAACCAGCTGTAGATGATTTCTGTCTCCACACTCTGAACATGGACGGTGTCTTCTACATGAATTCTGCAAGATGCACAACACAAAGCTGACCTGACCTGATTTATGTTTTAATTTTTATTCACTTATTTATTTTAATTCATGAAGCACATTCATACTGTTTGGACTTCAACAGTTTTCACTTTCATCCAACTTCCACTTTTTCTTCACCCCTTTCACCAATTTTACATTTAAACCTTCTTCCATTTTTTATTAGCAGTTTTGCATTCCTCTTTTAGCATTCAGCATACGCATTTTTTGCAAGGAAATGCAATTTCTCTAGTTAATTTTGCACTCTTAGATTATTGAAGTTTTACAAACAGATTGTACAATTGAATATACTTATATGTAGAATAAGAATAAGAAGAATTTTATTGATCCCCTGAGGGGAAATTCAATTGTCTGTTGTCTCACATAATATGTCTCCAAAAAAGTTATCATATTTACACAAGAGTCAAAAAGTCTGATGGCTGTTGGTACAAATGATCTTTTGAATCTTTCTGTCCTGCAGCGAAGAGAGAGGAGCCGTCCACCACCATTGGCCCTTTGGTCCATCAAGGTGTTGTGAAGTGGGTGATCCATGTTCTTGAGAATAGTCTCCACCTTCCTCAGTGTAGATCTCTCCACCACATCCACCACTGAGTCCAGCTTGAGTCCAACCACAGAGGCAGCCTTTTTCACCAGTTTGTTAAGACGTCTTGCATGTTTGTGTTTGATACTTCCTCCCCAGCAGACTGCAGCGTAGAACAGAACACTGTAGACACCACAGACTGATAAAACATCTGCAGCATCTTACTACAGATGTCTATCGATCGGAGTCTTCTCAGGCAAAAGAGGTGGCTCTGCCCCTTTCTGTGGATGAAGTCTATATTCTTAGACCAGTCCAACTTATTATCCAGATGTACACCTAGGTATTTATATGATGTCACCACTTCGATGTCCACTCCACAGGCGTTCCCTGGCTGAAGAAGAGGTTTGGACCTACAGAAGTCTATGACCATCTCCTTTGTCTTTGAGGGGTTGAGGAGGAGGCAGTTTTGTGACTCCAGTCACTGAAGGCTCTCATTAGATCTCTGAATTCAGCTTCTTGTCCATTTCTGATACATGCCACGATAGTGGTGTCATCTGAGTATTTCTGGATGTGGCAGGTCTCAGTGCTGTATTTGAAGTCTGACGTATACAGTGTGAACAGGAATGGAGCCAGCACTGTCCCTTGTGGAGCCCCTGTACTGCTCATTAATGTCCCAGAAACACAGCTCCCCAGCCTGACAAACTGTGGCCTTCCTGTCAGGTAATCTACGATCCAGGAAACACAGGAGGGATCCACTCCCATCTCTGTGAGCTTGTCTTTGAGTATGGTGGGTTGGATAGTGTTGAATGCACTTGAAAAGTCGAAGAACATGATACTCACATAAACCCCAGGTTCCTCCAGAGGACAGCATCATCCACTCCAATGCGTTCTTGGTATGCAAACTGCAGGGAATCCAGTTTGTCTCTAACCTCAGACATCAGAAGGCGTAGAATCAGCCGCTCCGCGGTTTTCATGATGTGTGAAGTGAGGGTCACTGGTCTGCCGCTATTGAGTTCAGCACGACATTTGGTTTTTTGTACTGGCACAATGCAGGATGTTTTCCACAGAGTAGGTACCCGCCCCAGCTGTAGAGTCAGGTTGAAGATCTTGTGGAGAGGTTGACACAGTTCTGCAGAACAGTCTCTAAGCAGCCTTGGACACACACCATCTGGACCAGCTGCCTTCCCAGGACAAAGTCTTCCAAGCTCCATCCTCACCCCTGTTTCGTGACAGACAAGGACTGGTGTTCTAGTAGGGAGGCAGTTGAAGTGGTTGAGACATTTGAACAAGATGGAAGAGGAAAGGGAGAAGTTATAGTGGAGATTTGTTGCGGAGAGGAAGGTGGAGTAGCAGTGGAAGTGGGAGTGACAGCAGTGTCAAATCTGTTGAAGATTAGGTTGAGTTCATCAGCTCTTTCCACATCACCCACCACTGGCTGTCTTTCCTTTTTATTGCTGTGTCCAGAGATGGTACTGATTCCTCTCCACACTTCATGGACGTTGCTGTGTTGTAGATTCTTCTCTATCTTCTTTTGTACTCCAGCTTTGCCATCTTCAGTCTCCTCTTCAACTCTTGTTGCACTTGTTTGAGCCGTTCTTTGTCACCACCTTTTTAAAAGCTTTCTTTTTCTGGTTAAGGATTGCTCTTATGTCTCTTGTGATCCAGGGTTTGTTGTTGGCAGAGACGGGAATTGTGGAGTCACTGTGGTGAGACGCCTCCTCATGTTTTATTTTGGCTGGACTTCCTGTGTTTCCTTGTTTGCCTGGTCTGGCTTCACTCTTTTCCAGAGCTTCCTCCCCTCCCCCGGCGCTGAGGCTGAGTGAGACTACACACCTGCTCCACATCTCCAATCAAGGCACTTTAAGAAGCCTGCAGCCCTCAGCCTCAGGGCCTGAGTATTGTCTACCCTTCCTAGCGGTAAAGACGCGTCTCCTGGCCAACCTTGTTTGTATCCCTATCAGAATTTTGCTCCTCGTGACTCTTTTCATGTTCTTTAACTCCCACTTTGCTCCTAGTGACTCTTTTCATGTTCTTTAACTCCGGTCTCCTCTGGTTTTCTCCTGCAGTGTCTCCAGCCCACACGACAGCCAGCCAACCAGCCCTCCGGACTTCCTCGTTTGCCTTTACAACCTTTTGTTAGACATTAAAATTCAATTTAAGTTGATCTCAGTCTCAGTGTCTGCATCTGGGTCCTCACTACGAACATGCCATACAACAGTCACCAAGTCATCTCCATGCCATGTATTTGTTCTGCTCTGTCACTGAACCAGTTGCTTCCGATGAGCAGCCAGGAAGGTGAGCTCATTAGTGAAGGTACCTGGTTCAGTAACTGAGCAGAACAAATACATGGCATGGAGATGACTTGGTGACTCCACATTTTCCCATCTCTGGTTGTTGGGGAGTCAGCGAACAGTCTTTGTGGGTATAACTGTGTCTCTACAGAAGTTGACATAATCAGTAAAGCAGTCAACCAGTTTATCAATGTTCATACTGTCCACATCTGTTTCCAGCAGCACATCCCACTCTGTTTAAAACAGTCCCTTAGAGCTTCACTGGCTTGAGACGTCCATCTTCTGATTTTGACTTTGGTCAGAGGCTGCCTCAGCACACAAGGTCTGTAACAGGTTTGCAGATAGACCAAGTTATGATCTGACTTGCCCAGTGGTGATAAGACTGTGGCTCTGTAGGCTTATTTGACGTTGGCGTACAGCAGATCCATGGTTGAAGTCTCCCGATATCATTATTAGTGCCTCAGGGTGTTGAGTCTGTAGCCTGGCAACACTATTTTGCAAAGCATCACACAGAATTTCTTCAGTTGATTTGGGTGGAATGTAAACAACTACTGTTATATGACTAAATTCTCTTGGAACATAATATGGCCGAAGAGCAACTGCCAACAGTTCAATATCTGGACAACACAACTTCTCCTTGACAGTTATGTGTGAAGGGTTACACCATCTCTGGTTGACAAATAAAGCCAAACCTCCTCCTTTCTTCTTGCCACTAGCTCGAGCATCTCAGTCTGACCTTATGAGCGTGAAGCCAGGTAGATCCACACTGGAGTCCGAGTTGTTTTGATTCAACCAGGTTTCAGTAAAACACAGGAGACTGCACTCACGGTATGCTTTCAAAGTCTTCACCAATATCTCCAGCTCATCGCTTTTGTTGGGCAGAGAGTTGACGTTTTCCATGATGATTGATGGAAGAAAGGGTTTATATCGCCACCTCCTAGCATTCAGCTTTGCCTTCACCCTTGCACCAGCACGGCAACCATGATAACACCTCTTGATGTCCTCTGGAATTGTATGTTGTTGTCCAGATTTGCTTTTCCTCAATGAAAGGAGCTCTTCTCTTGAGTAAACTCTTCGTCCAGCAGAAGTATCCATCAGCAGCCAACAAAATTACAAAAAATATGAAAAAAATCTAGCAAAAATTACAGATAATGCAGAGAGACCAGACTTGCAGCAACCTCTCGGTTCAAGAGCATCATTTGAATCAGAGGAGAAGTTTACCAAATGAGATTATGTACGGAGTTATAGAGTTATTGTTAGGGTGATTTTCTTTAGCCTTTAGTCATGTCATCCTCTAGGGTCGTGGAGCTGTGTCACTCAAATACCTCAGATACTTTGGTGCTAGATTTCTGGAGCCATGGGCCTCCGACAACCATCCTCAACAAGGACCTTGTACCCATGTTTAACATCACTCAGGCTCCCAAAATATGTTGTGCTTTATTATTACCCTACATGGACTCTCCTTCAGGTCAACAAGATGCAAGTAGAATGTTTGGAAACGTGGACGACTAAATATACTTGAACAGTCTCAGACCAATCTTCATGAAGCTGTAACCCAGATCTGCAACCAGTAAAGCTTGTCAAAATGATCATTCGTGTGGACCTTCCATTCCTTAAAGTGTGAACATGGGCTAGGCATCCTTACAGTTTGATGGCCACAGGTGAGAATGACTTCCTGTGATGCTCTGTGGTACATTTAGGGGGAATGAGTCTTTTCCCAGACTTGGTACCGTGTTTGACCAGCGCATTATGAAGTAGGTGGAGAATGCTGTCCGAGGTTACTTCTAACTTTTACAACATCCTCGACCAGCAGCTCTACCCCCCACTCCCCCACCCCCTCCGACACACACACACACACACACACACCACCACCACCACCACCACCACCACCACCAGGGGGGTGGGGGTAGAGCTGTAGAAGTTATATTGAAACCTGTGGTAGCCCCCGGCCTCATTTCGTAAAACCACTTTCTCGAAAACTACAGCATGTGCTCTACTTTATAACCCACATCCTGGACCACTTAGTTGTACTTAATCTACATAACTTTCCATCAGAACAAACAGACAAACACAGAAGTCTTACTAAAGCTCCCGGCAGTACGTTTTTATCCTTTTGTGAAACTGTTATTAATGCCTCTTTATGATCTACATCACCTGGCCAATGTTGGAACCAGCTGTAGATGATTTCTGTCTCCACACTCTGAACATGGGCGGTGTCTTCTATTCTACAAGATGCACAACAGAAAGCTGACCTGACCTGATTTATGTTTTATTCATTTATTTATTGAAGCGGCTGCAAGCACAAAAAACAAATAACAAAAAACATTGAAATATCCAACCTGTGACCATTAACAGTCAGAAAACAGCCGAGCAGAGTAATCAGTGAAGTTCACGTAAGTACAGCATCACACGTGATCACAGAAAAAAAGCTTCAGCACACCCTGACCGCACTGAAACTTTTTTTCTCAAAGTGAGGAGAAGAATATGTGTAGTTTGCAAAATGTGATGGAAATCCACACTTCTTATTGTGTCTCATCAACACAAGTTGAAGTCATACAAGAGAGGAAAAAAAAACAAAGACAACAGTGACACTCTGGTTCACTTCAGGACATCCTGAAATAATGCCTCGGTTTATGTGGTTAACAACACGAGAACTGTCACTGAGCAGAGTTATAACAAAGAAAAGGACCAAAAAACGCAGACTTTACTGAAAAACCAAGAACCAGGGACTATAAACGCACAAGGAAATGAGCAACAGATGAGACAGTCAAGTCTGTAAAGTATTATTCCTTAATTACAGTCTGGAAAGGATAATACCTACACAGGCCACTAGAGGGCGTATGGTCCCTGTGAGGACCATAATAGCTGTCAGAGGCACCTGCTGCTGCAGGCCGGATCAGAGGAACAACGTTAGATTCAAAAATAAGATTTAGGACAATCACCATTTTTTAAATGTCATATTTTAAAATTACAACTTTTTTTTAATGTTTCTAAACTTTTGTCAGGATTCTTCAAAGCTCTTGTTGCAGAAATAGACTTTGTAAAAATGTCTTGCTTGTCTCACCTACTAAATAATAATGATACAAACACAGTTCACATCAAAGAGCATTTTTTTCTCTTCTTAAGCTAAAATACACAAATAATAAAACATAACCCAGGCTGTTTCACTCTCCTGTAGATGATACCTGTGTTCTTAAGGTTAGCATTCATATCAGTGACATGCTAGATTTAGCTTTAGTTGGCAGAGAGAGCAACGAGACTGAGCAGCACAGGAACAACACTCAGTTTGAAGGTCGGAGCTGAATTACACAGGCTGGTCCCACAACATTGAGGTGCACTTGGTAATTGAGAAGGTAGAGAGAGAAGACTGTTCTCCAGTTCAGTGTGGCCTTCACACATGTTTGCAGATGCACAGCCGAGCATTGGGCCAGTCTTGCCTTCCACTGACACTGTAGATGAGAAGAAAACAAACAATGTTAGGAGACTGCAGCAGATTCTTTGAATGTTTTTCAGAGCGCATTAAAGAGGCTTACAGACTGTCTTGAAGCAGCGGTCCTGAATCCCAACACATTTAACTATGGTGTCACAGACGGTGTCCTGTGGACCTGAACAGGTGAAACACTGCAGGCCATTTTGTGTCTGCACATCAGGCACTGAAACAGAAGGACACAAGTTTACCCGAGGAGTTGGAAATCTCACGTGGACAGTCCTGCAAGTTTTATCCATGTAAGTAAAGGTGAAATTCAAAAGTCTGGGTGTAAAGAAAGGTTACGGGCGATGGAGAAAAGAAGAGGATCAGTAATTAGCAGGGAACATTTTAGAAAGAGTGGTTTAGTAAGGAGATGAGCCAAAATACTCACCATTGACATCTCTGTTGTTGCAGCCGTCTGTATTGCAGCAGTAACCAGAGTTAGCCACTCTAATTAAACCATGAGTGAATGAAATTTGTCGCTCAATTGCAGAGCATAGGGAGGGCGCCGTACAGTTTCTCTCTTTGATGTGCTTAGATGACATTATCCCCTCTATGACTGAACTCAAATAATGAGAGGATTAAAACTATGGTAGAAGAGGTTATCTGAAACAGAGTCAGTAAACGACTCAACGACATATTAACCCTCCTGCACCTCTAACCTGTTGTCATTGCTGAACACCGCTGATAAGGAGAAGCACAGGACATTGGGACTCTCCAGCTCGGTTCCCAAGATTCAAAGACTTCCTGCCGACACTTCAGAGCTTCAGCTGTAGAGACGGAGATAATTGAACTTGTGATTATTTTGAGTTTTCAAATCGTGTTGATTGTGGTAACCCTTTTAGATGATAGTTTGACAGACATGCCGGTTTAATAATAATGTTGTGGTGTGTGCTGTGGCGTCACAATCAGTGTCTGAATAAAGTCAATATGATCAAGATTGAACTCAACTAAACAGAAATTTCCAATCTTTTTTTAACCAGCAAAGTTCTGGATGTAGTTTCTCTAAATCTGCCTTCTTTTGTAAAATGATCTATCCTGTCATTAAAACTACATTAAACTACATTAAAACTTTTTCTTCTTCTCTTCTCTGAACATCCGCACTGTACAGCAGAAGACCGGTAGGACGTGTTTCAGGTAAAAAAAGACGTTTAATATCTGAAAACTTCTTTTAAACTAATTTCAGGTTTTCATTTAATGTCTTAATAAAGTGGAAAGAGTGACGTTACCAGAGCTGAGGAGAATCCAGATGAGATGGACGGACAGAGTCAGCTTCATCATGATGAGTCTGTGAGCAGATTCCTCCTTCAGACTGTGAAACTTCAACTTATATAGGACCCAAAAAGACAAAGATATACCTCCCACTGTGGACTGAGACTCAAACCCACAATGACGTTTGCAACCAACAGCCAAAGAGGGCACAAAAAAGGAAATAACTCTGTGAGAAAGAAACTCTGACTTCTCTGTTCTCAGTCTGAAAACCAAAATCACTTATAAATCATCAGAATACATGATTTATCATTACAGCATTACACCTGCTCTTTAAATGACAGCAAGATAAATATTTTCACAACTTTTTCCACCTTTAATGTGACGTATAACCTGTACAATGCAATTGAAAAACAAACTGAAACCTTTAAGAGGAAAAATATAAAATAAAAAAACAAAAATAACCTGGTTGCGTAAATATGCACACCCTTAAACTACTACTTTGTTGCAGCACCTTTGGCTTTTATTAAAGCACTCAATCTTTTTTGGGCAGGAGTCTATCAGCGTGGCATATATGAACTTAGGGGGACTGCCGTTTTCAGCAGATCAAATGTAAGGACAGACACAAAAGCAAGATGCTTGTCGACCAGAGGAGTATGGTTGTGGAATTGCCTTAAAGAAGATTTAAAAATGTGTCCAACAGTCTCAAAATTTAAGAAAATGTTTAAACGCAAAGTAATGGACAAGTATAAATCGCTATAACAGTACAGTACAGTACAGCACCTAACAAATAAACAAAAATCCTAAACCGTATCCTATATCTCTAAATACCTCCCGTTCCCTCTTCTGTTTCCCTTGTTGATGTTCTGTAGCATGTTGTTAGCAGATGTCTTACAGCACAACATGAAACCATGTATCATACTATCCTTTTGTTCTTTATCTTTGTTTCTTTTGTTTTTTTCTTTTTTTCTTTGTCTTTCCTTTTGTCTTTCATTTAAATGGGGTAGGCATTATAAGCTTTTAGCTTCAGCCTCTACCCTTTCGGCCTAACAGTTTGACTACTCAAACAAATGTAATTGAAAAGTCACTGAATGGAATATACCTTGTTTCAAAGCCGAAATAAACTATGACTAACTAACTAACTAACTAACTAACTAACTAACTAACTAACTAACTAACATCTTGATGTGGAAATATTTGCCAACTCTTCTTTGCAAAATCACTCCAAATCTGACAGATTGCGAGGGCATCTCCTGTGCACAGCCCTCTTCAGATCACCCCACAAATGTTCAATGGGATTCAGGTCTGGACTCTGGCTGGGCCATTCCAAAGTCTCAGTCTTATTCCGGTGAAGCCGTTCTTTTGTCTCTAAGGCACCAGTTCCAGCTGAAGAAAAGCAGCCCAGAAGCATGATGCTGCCACGACCATGCTTCACTGTGGGTATGGTGTTCTTTCGGTGATGAGCAGTGTTGTTTTTGTGCCAAATATACCTTTTGCAATGATGCCCAAAAAGTTAAACTTTGGTTTCATCAGACCATAACATATTTTCCCACATGTGTTTGGGAGATTTCAGATGTCTTTTTGCAGAATTAAGAAGGACTTTGATGATTTTCTTTGTAAGATAAGGCTTCCGTCTTGTCATCCTACCCCACAGCTCAGACATATGAAGACAGCAGGAGATTGTTGTCACATGTACTACACAGCCAGTACTCACCAGAAATTCCTGCAGCTCCTTCAGTGTTGCTGTCGACCTCTTGGTAGCCTCCCTGACCAGTTTTCTTCTTGTCTTATCAATTTTTGACGGACGTCCTTTTCTTGGTAGTGTCACCGTTGTGCCATATTTTCTCCACTTGATGATGACAGTCTTCACTGAGTTTCATGGTATATTTAATTCCTTGGAAATTCTTTTGTAGCCTCACCTGACTGATATCTTTGAATAATGAGATCCCTCTGATGCTTTGGAAGTTCTCTGAGGACCATGGCTTGTGCTGGAAGATGTGTCTACAAAACTGTCAGGAAAAGCTACTAGGACAGCTGAACTTTATTTGGGGTGGATCAGAGGCTCTTTAATAAGTGACAGGTGTGTGCTGACTCCAATTTAACCTGAGTTTGAATGTTATTGGTTAAATCTGAACACAGCCACGTCCCCCGTTAATAAAGGGTGTACACACTTATGCAACCACATGATCTCAGTTGTTTGGTTTTACTTCACCTCCCTGAAAGATTTCTTTTTGTTTCTCAATTGTGTTGTACAGGTTATAGGTCACATTAAAGGTGGAAGAAGTTGTGAAATTATTTATCTTGATTTAATTTTTTTACATGACAAAAACCTGACAGTTGAACAGGGGTGGGTAGACTTTTTATATCCACTGTATACTTGAACAGTCTCAGACCAATCTTGATGAAGGTGTAACCCAGATCTGCAACCAGTAAAGCTTGTCAAAATGATCATTCGTGTGGACCTTCCATTCTTTAAAGTGTGAACATGGCTAGGCATCCTTGCAGTCTGATGGCCACAGGTGAGAATGACTTCCTGTGATGCTCTGTGGTACATTTAGGGGGAATGAGTCTTTTCCCGGACTTGGTACCATGTTTGACCAGCAGGATGACAGGAACATTCTCCACTCTGTCACCACCGGCAGCTCTGGGGGTAGAGCTTGAGAAGTGCTGTGTGAACCTTTACATTGAAACTTGTGGTAGCCCTTGGCCTTATTTCATAAAACCACTTTCTCGAAAACTACAGCATGTGCTCTACTTTATAACCCACATCCTGGACCACTTAGTTGTACTTACTCTACATAACTTTCCATCAGAACAAACAGACGAACACAGAAGTCTTACTAAAGCTCCTGGCAGCAAGTTTTTATCCTTTTGTGAAACTGTTATTAATGCCTCTTTATGATCTACATCACCTGGCCAATGTTGGAACCAGCTGTAGATGATTTCTGTCTCCACACTCTGAACATGGGCGGTGTCTTCTATTCTACAAGATGCACAACACAAAGCTGACCTGACCTGATTTATGTTTTATTCATTTATTTATTGAAGTGGCTGCAAGCACAAAAAAAAAAAACAACAACATTGAAACATCCAACCTCTGACCATTTACAGTCAGAAAACAGCCGAGCAGAGTAAGTACAGCATCACATGTGATCACAGAAAAAAAGCTTCAGCACACCCTGACCGCACTGAAACTTTTTTTCTCAAAGTGAGGAGAAGAATATGTGTAGTTTGCAAAATGTGATGGAAATCCACACTTCTTATTGTGTCTCATCAGCACAAGTTGAAGTCATTCAAGAGAGAAAAAAAAACAAACACAACGGTGACACTCAAGGTGGTTCACTTCAGGACATCCTGAAATAATGCCTCGGTTTATGTGGTTAACAACACGAGAACTGTCACTGAGCAGAGTTATAACAAAGAAAAGGACCAAAAAACGCAGACTTTACTGAAAAACCAAGAACCAGGGACTATAAACGCACAAGGAAATGAGCAACAGATGAGACAGTCAAGTCTGTAAAGTATGATTCCTTAATTACAGTCTGGAAAGGATAATACCTACACAGGTCACTAGAGGGCGTATGGTCCCTGTGAGGACCATAATAGCTGTCAGAGGCACCTGCTGCTGCAGGCCGGATCAGAGGAACAACGTTAGATTCAAAAATAAGATTTAGAACAATCACCATTTTTTAAATTACATATTTTAAAATAACAGATTTTTACAAACTTTTGTCAGGATTCTTCAAAGCTCTTGTTGCGGAAATAGACTTTGTAAAAATGTCTTGTTTGTCTCACCTACTAAAGAATAATGATACAAACACAGTTCACATCAAACAGCATTTTTTTTCTCTTCTTAAGCTGAAATACACAAATAATAAAACACAACACAGGCTGTTTCACTCTCCTGTAGATGATACCTGTGTTCTTAAGGTTTGCATTCATATCTGTGATATGCTAGATTTAGCTTTAGTTGGCAGAGAGAGCAACGAGACCGAGCAGCACAGGAACAACACTCAGTCTGAAGGTCGCAGCTGAATTACACAGGCTGGTCCCACAACATCGAGGTGCACTTGGTAATTGAACTGGTATAGAGAAGAAACGTTTCTCCAGTTCAATTTGGCCTTCACACAGGTTTGCAGATGCACAGCCGAGCACTGAAAAAGTTCTGCCTTCCATTGACACTGTCGATGTGAAAAAAGAAGATGTTAGGAGACTGCAGCTGATTCTTTGAATGTTTTTCAGAGCGCATTATAGAGGCTTACTGATTGATTTGAAGCAGCGGTCCTGAATCCCAACACACTGAACTATGGTGTCACAGACAGTGCCCAGTGGACCTGAACAGGTCAAACACTGCAGGCCATTTCGTGTCTGCACATCAGGCACTGAAACAGAAGGACACAAGTTTCTCTTCTGGAGAGTACTGCAAGTTTTATCTGTGTAAGTACACATAAATGTGAAATTCAAAACTCTGGTTGCAAAGTAAGGTTACAGGTGAGAGCATCAACACAGATGGAGAAAAGAAGAGGATCAGCAATTAGCAGGGAACGTTTCAGAAAGAGTGGTTTAGCAAGGAGATGAGCCAAAATACTTACAAGTGACATTTCTGTTGTTGCAGCCGTCTGTATTGCAGCAGTAACCAGTGAGAGCCACTCTTAATGAACCAAAAGTGTATGAAATTTGTCGCTCAATTGCAGAGCATAGGGAGGGCGGCGTACAGTTTCCTACTTTTACGTGCATAGGGGGTATCAACATCATCTCCGAGTCTGAACACAAATAATGACAGGATTAAAACTATGGTAGAAGAGGTTATCTGAAACAGACTCAGTAAACGACTCAAGGACACATTAACCCTCCTGCACATCTAACCTTCTGCAATTCCTGCACACAGCTCATCAGGAGAAGCACAGGACGTTGGGTCCTCCCAGCCCGATTCCCAAGATTTTTGGTAACACTTCAGAGCTTCAGCTGTAGAGACGGAGATGAATAAACTTGTGATTATTTTGAGTTTTCATATCATGTTGATTGTGGTGACCCTTTTGGATGATAGTTTGACAGACATGCCGGTTTAATAATAATGTTGTGGTGTGTGCTGTGGCGTCACAATCAGTGTCTGAATAAAGTCAATATGATCAAGATTGAACTCAACTAAACAGAATTTTTTTATTTTTAACCAGCAAAGTTCTGGATGTAGTTTCTCTAAATCTGCCTTCCTTTTTAAAATGATCTATCCTGTCATTAAAACTACAGATCCTTAGATTAGACCCCTTTAAATATTTTAATCACTCAATTTTTGTTCTTCTCTGCTCTACTGTTTCTACTCACATCAGCTTATCTGGACTGTACAGCAGAAGACCAGTAGGATGTGTTTCAGGAGAAAAAAGACGTGTTATATCTACAAAACTTCTTTTAAACTAATTTCAGGTTTTCATTCAATGTCTAAATAAAGTGGAAAGAGTGACGTTACCAGAGCTGAGGAGAATCCAGATGAGATGGACGGACAGAGTCAGCTTCATCATGATGAGTCTGTGAGCAGGTTCCTCCTTTAGACTGTGAAATTTCAACTTATATAGGAACCAAAGAGACAAAGATATACCTCCCACTGTGGACTGAGACTCAAACCCACAATGATGTTTGTAACCAACGGCCAAAGAGGGGACAAAAGAAGGAAATAACTCTGTAAAGAAGGAACTCTGACTTCTCTATTCTCACTAGGAAAATCAAAATTACTTAGAAATCATCAAAATACATAAATTCATCATTACAGCATTACACCTGCTCTTTAAAAATATAAATATTAATGGAGGGACAGTAGGAATGGGGATGAATAAATAAGAAATTGCTGTTTACAAAGTGCAGCATGTTAAGTATGAGATATTGCTATATTGCTAGATTTCTGGAGCCATGGGCCTCCGACAACCATCCTCAACAAGGACCTTGTACCCATGTTTAACATCACTCAGGCTCCCAAAATATGTTGTGCTTTATTATTACTCTACATGGACTCTCCTTCGGGTCAACAAGATGCAAGTAGAATGTTTGGAAACGTGGACGACTAAATATACTTGAACAGTCTCAGACCAATCTTCATGAAGCTGTAACCCAGATCTGCAACCAGTAGAGCTTGTCAAAATGATCATTCGTGTGGACCTTCCATTCTTTAAAGTGTGAACATGGGCTAGGCATCATTACAGTTTGATGGCCACAGGTGAGAATGACTTCCTGTGACGCTCTGAGGTACATTTAGGGGGAATGAGTCTATTCCCAGACTTGGTATTATTTATGAAGTGGGTAGAGAATGCTGTCTCTGAGGTTACATGTAGCGTTGACAACATACTCCACTCTCTAACCCCCCCCCACAAAAAACATTGAAACATCCAACCTCTGACCATTTACAGTCTCAAAGTGAGGAGAAGAATATGTGTAGTTTGCAAAATGTGATGGAAATTCACACTTCAAGGTGGTTTCCAGGACATCCTGAAATAATGCCTCGGTTTATGTGGTTAACAACACGAGAACTGTCACTGAGCAGAGTTTTAACAAAGAAAAGGACCAAAACCGCAGATTTAACCCCCCTTTTCTCTGCTTCGACAGCAAACCAGCAACCCACCGCCACCCCAGCTCCACCCTCGTGCCAGCTAATCGCTCCGCTGCACTTGAAGCGCTCCTGTTCCGGGGAGGTTCTGTTCATCGCTGCTCTACCCCCTGCCGTATAAACTAACAAACATTTTCTGTATTTCTCCCAAAAACAGTATGGAGAGCAGACAGCTGTGTCTAACCTTCACCCAAGGTTTTACAAAGATACATGTTCAGGTTACAAACATTTTCCCAGGAAGTTTGAACCACCCCGCCCACTCAACCCCCAAAGGCATCTTCCTCCCGGGTTAGGTGTGCAGGAGTTTTTGGCAGTTGTGGTTTTGTTCATCTGCATAGTGGTTGGAGTTGCTGGTTTGACGAGTCTGAAAGACCACATCACACAAGTTCCGTTTGAACAATCACAGTTTGTGATGAAACTGCACAACCAGTTTTCAGTCCTACACAGCGGGATCATTCAAGTCAGATTTATATTCTTTGTTTTTGATTATCTGGCTGCAGGAGGGCCACAGTGAAGTGCGGGTGTGTGGTGATGTACTTTTGTGTCGTACAGACCTGCATGTGAACACAAACCAGGCCCATAAAGATGATTCTGGATCTGAAAAAACAAACATGTTGAAACAGATGTCTTTATACTATTTTGGGTTTTCATTATTGTGCATATTTCTGTAACTAGTTTGTACTATTTCATCTGTTTTTGCTGTATGACATTATATCGTACACCAAGGGTACAGCATCCTAACCTGGTAGAAGATGTCACTGCATGACGGCACAGCCACACTAGCCCCAAATTTCCACCACATGCAGAACAGTGTCAATTTTCGCCATCAGCCAAATCCAACCGGAGGCATTTGTGAGGCGAATTTCGTGGCGAATTGCGGACAGCGGGAATTGCGAGGACTCACAAGAACCTATGAATTCACATGCAATCGCGCGATAACAAGTTGTCTCTATAAAGACAGCCACAAAACCATATAAGCAGTAGATTTTGTCCTGTGGAGATTGGGAATTAACCATGGGGAAGTGTAATATTTATCTTTACCTACGAAACAAACCACGTTTGTATGGTGTGAAATACGATCCGCCTGAAACACGTGATGTTTTATTTTGAAAAGTAGTTGGATGTTTTATTTTGTGTCTGTGCCCGACTTCCTTTCCAGCCTTTTTGGCTCATCTGTGTTGAATTTATGCGGCATGCTGTGGCATCCGAAAAAAATAGGACCCTGGCAATCGGCTACGAAGCCCTCTGAACCGCAGGGGGGGCGGAAAGAAGCCGGTGGAAATTGACACATTAACTTGAACGGAAACGATCCGCATGCGAGGGAAATTTGGGGTAAAGGTGCTTCTTCTTTATGGTGCTCATGTTCAGTAACCAGGTAACCAACAGAGGACTTAACTTTCCTCCTTTTGGTGACTATTTAAAAGATTGGGGAAAGAAAATTGAAGAGGAAAAAACTTGATTTCCTCTGAGTTTGTAAATGGACTAAAAATAACCTTTTGATTCAATTCCTAATGGCAAGATGGTGGTTGTATCTCTCCCATGTTATTGCTCCATGGTCTCTCTCAATAAGCTGAAAACTAGTGTGAAGCTTTTAAGGCTGTACTCAATATTTACTTTCTCCCTGTTTATCCCAGACCAACGGTTTAGGAGCTTTTGTATAATTCAAAGCTGTTCTAAGTCCCTCCTTAGTGTCTCTTTTCCTACTCTCCCTTAAGGCATGGCGGACCTGAAAGTAGTCCAGGTTTTAGCGTGGCAAAACAAATTGGTTAAGTGCTCACATGGGATTATCGCCTAATAGTGAAAATGGCTTTTAAACTTCTATTCACTACAGAGGACTCTATTCACGAAAGGGTCAACAGGTCTGTACTTGTAGGGGCAAAAAACAAGACCTACTTGGCACAGCGCAACCAGGGACTGAAACAATGCTATATATGTCGCATAAACCCAGTGAAGGGAGTGTAAAGAGGTGAGCGAGGGCGGCATGAGGAAACCAATTAACTTTGAGAACAGGTGTGTTTTAATGAGAGACATAACAATGAAATATTCTAATTATGTATGACGTAAACTTAGTTTGAACATTATTGATTAAATCTGCTCCCTGAACACAATCAGAGGATAATGAATATATATAATTGAGTGTATTTTACACACCGACCTGATGAATAATAAGCACATTAAAATGTGCTGTAGTTGAAATAGAGAATAGGGAGTGACTGTGGCGTCAGATAGACAATTATACAACAACAGTAATTATGCCACAGCAGGTTTGGACAGACACAATACATACTGTTTGCTTTCTATTTTTCTACATTGAGTTTAATAAAACATCTTAATTTCTGTCCATGTTTGTCTTTTGAACTGTTTTTTGTAGTTTACCTAGTTTCTCACCTGTGCTAATAGAGGTTTCTGTCCAGCGGGGGTTTGAAGAAGACGGTGAGCAGCTTGTTTTTGGTCTCCATAGTAATGGACTGCCACACCTACTGAATGAGGACCATTGTCAATGTCTATTTTAATCTTAATAATGGAGTAATTAAACCTCAATAATGTACTTTTTTTTTCCAACGCTGGGTTTGGTAACACATGCCAACGCCTTTTTAAGTGGATTGGCCCATTTATTGCGTACTTGTGTGTGTTTGTGTTTTGTCAGTCGATGATTATTTGGGTTCAAACTTCTCATTAAAACATATTTTGGGAGTTGTGAGATTTAGATGAAGTAAGTCTTATTTCTTTTTGCACTTTAAGTTAACTTTACATGGACTCGGAGCCAAGGCTGATAAATACTGCCTAAAAAGGAAGATAAAAAAAGATAAAACTCATCTTTTTAAGACTCTATCAGCACATATGAAACACTCGGACATGAGTCAAAAAGTACATGTTAAAAAAAGTAAAATTAAATACTCTATTAGCACATTTCAATCACCAGAGGTGGGGGCTCCCGTTTTTGACTTGCTTGATGAAATCAAGAAATGACTTTGACTCGCTTGGGACTTGATTGCTAAAGACTTGAGACTTGACTTGACTTGGGCCCAGTGACTTGAAAAGTCAAGTCAAGTCTTTTCAAGTCACTTAATACCTTACAGCAAGTCCAAACCGTTTAAAAAGTGTCGCATCAACTAATAGTCAGGAATTACGGCTGTTGGTAACACCGTGTTGTGTTGCCAAGTCTGCTTATTTCCCGCAAAAAAATCGCTTGTTTTTGGCTTGTTTCTGGAGGTCTGTTTCCTTATTTCTCTCACAAAACTTGGCAACACCGTCTCAAACTCTCAAACACAGCCTCCCTCACAATGACAACACCAGGAGGACTGAACATAAATCGCTCGCTAGTATTGCCCGCCTGTTTCCGGTGCTCAACCAAAACGCCACTCTGTAGCCACAAATAATGCTCAGAACAGCACCTAACTTCATCAACAGGACATATAGGGTCACAGACATAGTACTAGACACCAAACATCTTTTAAACTTTGACTCATTTCTTTAGCAAAGAGACTAAACACAACTCACCCACAGGTGCGACATTTGCCCTGCCTTTGCTTTACGGTGTACAGGTACGGCAACACCACTCAGACAAATCATACGCAGCACCACACCAACACGTTTTATCATCTGTGGGGTTCAAGTGGCGAGTAATGGGAACATTCATAGAAATTTGGTAATACAGATACTCAAAAATGCTCCTGTAGAGATGATTTAGGTGTCATCTACTGAAATTATCAGTGACGTCTCTTCTCGAGCCACAGAAGCGAAAAAGACCATCAGGTCCAGGACACCCTTTTCTAACCTGGACCTTAAAGTACTGGTAAAAGACAGTCAGGAGGAGCTTTGTTCTCAGAAATCATTCCTTGTGGTGAAGCTATCACTTTGTCCACAGGGGGCTGCATAACCGACCCAAAGGAAAAGTTCTAGATTCAAAGATGTTTCATTCTGCGATTTTATGTTGTTAAAGTAAGTTTGTGATTAATTTGAAACCAGAGATGTCCCGTGTCTCTTACACTGCTGGTTTCTGTCTGCCTCGTGCGCAGCGGAGAGTAATTAAAAAGTATTCTGACATAATTTTTGGTTATGTAATATGTTTTGGCCATAAATTACCAAGGAATGCGACAGCGAGCTGAACACCATGCACACATTACTCAATCTACTTGTTCTTCCTCGCCACATCCCAAAACCACACCCCCCTCCATGCATTACCAGAGGCATGTAGCGAACAATTAAACTGGTGAGTGAATGACTCCTCATGTTTTTGTGCTGAGCTCAATGACGGTGGTTAAAAATAGAAACATAATGGGACTAATAACATGTGTTCAGTCCAGCCCTGTCACTGTATTGTGAATCACGGACCTTCATGGACCTTTATTTGTGATCTCACTCAAGCCTGAAAACTCACCTTCTACAGGTCACAGTACGGAAACATGGACTGTCCATGAGACTGAAACTCAGTACTGGACTATTTGTCATGTGAGTTAGAGAAGCCCACCCACCCAGAGTGTCGAACCAAACCAAACCACAACCTTTCTATCCTGCAGCTCGCCTCCATTATTTGTGACAAAGTTGACCCCAGAAATCCAGGATAGGATCTTATCACAGGTAGATTTTCTGGCCACAAATTTCCAGCCTGGTGTTGTCAAACTGAAACTCAGCCCATACTCGTGTTTGCTGGCATTTCCTTCAGTTCCAGATATTTCAAACCAGTCTCCTCCCTTCACTGAGGGTGGGGCAGGTTCTGCTGCAGTGCATTCACACAAAACCAAATGTCAGCTTCTGCCTCGGAGAGGTCCAATGAATCTGCTACCGGCCAGGTCGATAAATACAGTTTAGCCGATCAAGTCTTCATCTGCCAGACAACAGCATGTGAAGCCATCAAAAAGTCATAGTATACTGGCTAATGTAATAATAAAAATCTTAATTTTCGAGAGTTTGATCCAGACCTGCTCTTCTGGAAAGCGTCTTGAGATAACTGTTGTGATTGATTGATATTTGGAGATGAAATCAGGACATTTCAGGTTCTGTAATATCAGGAAAAGCTCTCTGATAAAAGTGAGTTTTAGGAAGCGACTTAAATGAGTCCACAAAGTCAGCTGACCTTATATCCTTGGGCAGGTCATGGGTACATTGTCAAATGTGTACTTGAGTGTAACAGGGGATTTAAGTTTCACTGACATTTAACTGAAGGAAAAAGTGAACTCAGTGATCCAGGGTCAGCGGCTTTAACACGCAGGTACAGTTTTGTATCATCAGCGTAGAAATGAAACACCACGTCTTTGCATTAAAGGCCCGGGAGAATAAAATCGGACCCAAAACTGACCCCTGGGGCACACCATACTTATCAGAGGAATATGAAGACATGAAGTAGAACCTTCTGTTTGTGAGGTAAGACACAAACCGGTCCAGAATCATGCCTGAAATCCCCGTCCAGGGCCTCCTTAGTGGGTTTAAAAGAAAAGCTGCAGAGAGCAGACTAGGCCCAAGGGATTCAATTAACTAATGACCTCTTTTAAAAGTCCGGACAGGGTCAGAACTGACTACAAATACACTTCTGAGGGAAACGAACATCACTAAAAGAGGCACTGGGTGTAACAGAGGCTCTGATTGACTCCACCTTATCTTTAAAACACTTCACAGTCAGGGACACGTGGAGGGGCTGGAGTCAAACCGTGGGTCATGATTGTTGGCAGAAATCTGCTCCTGTATCCCTAACCATCCAGTTAAAACGGAACAATTAGTCCTTCATGAGGTTAAAATGCACTTGTCCTAGCGAGGCCTTCTTGGTGCAGAGACATGAAGGGTGGATAATAAGATCTACGGTATCAGAGTGTTCAGACTGAGGTGGGTGAAAACTGTTAAACAGCGTGTGCTCGGTTCATTAAAGATGCGTGTGCTGCTTGGGCGAGGCGTAACTGTATTAAAGACTGGAGAGTCAGTCGTTCACGCGTTTAAATGGGCAAAAATAATCGTAATAAAGGCAGATCGGAAAAAAAAGAGTCATGTAAACATGTCAGTTGAAAGATCCTCATCGTTCTCGGCTCAGTCGGAAAGAAATTGTATTTGGTTTATGCCGAGCGTTATTCTGAAACATGTCCATGTAAAAACTCAGCCTGACTGAGCATGTGTGCCCTACGTCAACGTGATGTTTTTCCGCCGTTAGTGGCGAGACGTAAACATGGCGGGATCCAAGAGTAATTGTTCTGTCTGACTTTCTCACTGGATACAGTCTCCTTATGTAACGCAGGATCAGTATGTGCTGCTGCGCTCTCAGAACCAGGTCCAGTCTGAGTTAAAGAAAATCCTGATTCAGATGAAGTGAGCCACTACCGTGTTTGTTGGTTTTGCTGACATTACAGGCGTAAATACATTTCTACTTCTTCTGTTGTTGTTTTAGCGAAATTAGACAACTCTGCACATTGTGGCCATTTAAGCAGTGGATTTGGATTTTCTAATCCCTCAAAATTTTAATTGAATAAATAAATTTTGCATTTGTAAACATGACTACAGTTAAAAAACTTCATCTGTTGTCAAAAACAACAAGATCCAGAAACTCTGAAGAGGGAATAGTCACACCCAGGTCCAGTGTTTGGCTTCTGTTATATGTTCGTCCACACACATGCTGCTTAAAGTTAAAAGAATTAAACAAGTATACTGTCCCTTTTTTACTCTTTTTAATATTTGACATTCTCTCTCTCTCTGTCAGTCTTTCAAAATAAGACCTTTCCTGTTTTCGTCCCCTCTGATGATACCTTCATGTGCCTCTGCTCTGTTCTTTCTCAGAGTCTTTAACAAAGATTTTAATTAATAAAAGGAATCTATTTAATGATGCTCTAATCAACAGTTTCAGGCTAAGAAAGCACACTAAAATACACTCATGCCTTTAAAGGGCAGTGCCCAAATTATCAGGTACATCACAATGACATCCAGTTTGAGTACAAATGGGAGTGTGTGGGTGTGATATCCCGCCCATTATAAGTGACAAAGGTTTGAGTGGAGCCATTGCTCCCTGCGTCATTAAAGCAAGGTGCAAATTAACTTTATTAACTCCCAATGAGAATGTAATTCTAACAATGTAACAAGTCTTGCGTTATGTCGCGGCTGATCCGACAACCAAAATAGCAAAATAAAGATCTGCACCAACGCAGAGAGGGACAGAGAGGGACAGAGAGGGAAATAAAAACAAAACAACCTTTGATTTAAAAAGACAGTCATAAAAGTGGGGAATGAGCCGCTCTGACCGAGCCTGAGGTGGTCTGTCTGTTTTAACTGGACGGACATTGCTCAACTGTAACACAACAGATTTATATAAAAGACCCCAAAATGTAGACGGGGGGTGTACACTCAAACTAGACAAAGCATGATGCACACGGATAAGGTATCTGGATCAGCTGCTATCATAATCCAGAGACCGCTCAAAGTTAATAGTGTGCCGTCGTAAAATAAGAGTTAGAAAATACAAACATAGGGCAGAGATGTTTAATAACAAGGCAATAAACTGAGATAATTCCCCTTATAAATGTGATTATACACATAGCCAATAAAATACAATATGAAAGTAGATTTGCTGTGATGAATTATGTTGAATTTTAATGTTAAAATCGGTGCACAAAACATTAACTTGCGTTTAAACGGTGATGATGACAATGAAATGAAACCAGTGGCACGTCAGGTGACCAAAACGGGACTGATTTCATGCACATTTCGTGAAAACAAGCGACAAATCACCCTCATCCTTACTGCTCTGTGCCGTTAGTTTGTACAGGAGGAAAGTTTCGTCTTTTTACGTCCTCCTTTGCCGATAAAGGTTTTGTTCAATACTGAGCTACCGAGCAACACAACCAGGTAAATCGACCTCACACAGGACGCTTCAGCCAGAAAATCCAATCCTCAACCTCCTTATCCAGGTGTGTTAGTCCGACTATGAGAAGTTCGATTTCAGTCAGAGTTGCGTGTTTGCATGCCAGTCAGGCAATTACATGTAAATATAAAGACGGATAACCTTTGAACGGCCAGCTGATGCAAGTGTCAGATTTTGTGTGACTAAAAGGAAAAAAACGTTGAGTTACGAAGCAAAAAAGGAAGCTGGGCACAACAAGAACACAACACTTTAGAGAGTCAGACATGAGTGCAAGTGAGGGGATGATGACCAGGATTTGGAGGCTGATGTTAAAGTGGTGAAAATTAAGGAGATTGGCTTTTTTGCCGATATCCGATATTGTCCAACATATGCAGGCTTTTTACACCAAGACTGTTAGGTAACAACATAACATATGGCTTATTACGGAATTAACACATTATGCCTAATTTTATTGTGACGTCCCACTGGATGCATGCATAAATGCAACATGGCTTCCCACCTGGGGTGGTCCTTGTTGTTCTTTTGTTTTTACTCAGTCGACTCCTTAAGCGACGACTGCGTGGTTTTCTTCAGCTGTTGCCTCTTTTCATAACCAACGCTTTGCAGTCATTCCACACCGCATATTTTTATTCATAGGTGACACACCACAGACATCTAATGTACCGAGTGGGCTTGTAAGCTACTGTTAGTTATCATGCCCACGAGTCTACCATGTTGTTGTTACACGTCATGAAGCGTGTGCATTCATGCAGGCTCAGGAATACTGAAGCTTACAGAACAGACATCAGTTTTTAAAAACCCGACACCGATAACTCTTGAAATTATAATTTTACGTCAATACTGTCCGATGATTTCGGAGGAACGATATTATCTAACATCCAGAGAGATGTTTTTGTAAAAGACTGAAACTTTCCAATCAACAGTTGGATCTGCTGCAGCTCTGTAGTGAATCTAACTTTACATGAAAATCAAGAAAACTCTTTACTTAAAGGGATATTCCGGCGTCAAATTAATTTGGGTCAAACAAACCGTAACACCAAGTTAGACCCCCCCTCCAGAGATGAATGTTGCCGACCGCTTGCTTCTCTAGTTATACCAACTTTAGTAACGACCGCAGGATAGCAATACAGAGAGCCACGCGTTCAACCAAAACGCCACTCTATAGCCACAAATAATGCTCAGAACAGCACCTAACTTCATCAACAGGACATATAGGGTCACACACATAGTACTAGACACCAAACATCTTTTTAACTTTGACTCATTTCTTTAGCAAAGAGACTAAACACAACTCACCTACTCTCTTCCAGCAGACGCTTGTTTGTAGAGAGACCTCAGGCCAGTCCATTACAGACTACAGCGGGGTGCCGCAGCTCAAGGAAGAACATTTATGATCATTTCTTTATCATTTCCTTGAAGTAATAATCATCGTACTAAAGTTACTAAAGTTGGTATAACTAGAGAACGGTGTGTTTGACCCTAACTTATTTTTACACTGGAATATCCCTCCAAGATCTTGTATAGACCTAAAATGTGACAGATGGGATGTCTAATTTGTTGTTTGTCTGAGATTTTCATGTTATAAAGTCATAAACTTTCATGTGGTTGCATTAATAATGAGGATATGAACAAAAGAATCTTGTTTATTCATCTTGTTGTGAGATTTTTCATATTTAATCATCCCTACCTGGTATTCTAGTATGTTTTAAAGGGCTTCCATAACAATTATGCTCTTAATCTTGACATGTATTTTTCTTTGTTTTATAACTTTCCCACCTCCAGTCCTGGCTTTACAAAGTCCCCGTATACCCACCTATTTGACGAAGTACTGTATGTAAGACTTGGAAAAGCCTAAATGTTCACAGAACATTAAGTCTACGAGAAAACTCAGAGGGTGGAGTAAACATGAAGGACTCAAAGGCAGACAGAAATAGGCGGGCTAGTTCATTCATTGTGTAATATACATGCGTAACACTCCTTACGCGCTCGGCAGGGAAGTCGTCAAACAGGTAGCGGCTGGCTGGCAGGTTGGTAATCAGGCAGGCATTTGCAGGATAACAAAAGGCCAGAGGGAAAACAATAGTGGAGCTGGAGGGCGTTTGGCAACTGGACTGAAGTGGCAAACAAACAAGAGGAACGTCTCGGTTAATCGAAGTGCAGCGGCCTCATATCTCAGGCTTTTATTTTGAAATTGAAAGCTTTTAGTATTACTTTGTTTTTCACAGCTTTTGCTTTCCTTTCATTCTTATTTGACTTAATTCACAAATCTTACCCCGATTGCCTTATCGCGCAACAACTGTTGCTCAACTTTCATGATTTACTGAAGGCTAACACCGTAAAAACGACCAAAGAGGCTCAAAGAACCGCCTCTGCCCCCATTGCTATGTTTATTTAAGCAGGATGTCAATGTCCATGTACATTTGGTTTAATTGCAAAGCCAAACCAAATCAGTCATCACAACTATATTTAAATGAGAGAATAAGAGATGTAATAAAATACGATAAAATCACCTAAGTGGGGCGCTGCTAAAGTAGGAGGCCAATCAAGCCCAGCCCTTTAAGGGATATTCTGGTGTAAAATTAATTTGGGTCAAACACACCGTGTTGGACACCCCCTCGAGAGATAAATGTTGCTGACCGCTTGCTTTTCCAGTTATACCAACTTTAGTAACGACCGCAGGATAGCAAAACACAGCGGTCTGAGGAGCCATAAACAAACCTCAACAAAAACACCACTCTATAGCCACAAATAATGCTCAGAACAGCACCTAACTTCATCAACAGGACATATAGGGTCACAGACATAGTACTAGACAACAAAGATCTTTTTAACTTTGACTCATTTCTTTAGAAAAGGGACTAAACACAACTCACCTACTCTCTTCCAGCAGCCGCTTGTTTGTAGAGAGACCTCAGGCCAGTCCATTACAGACTATAGTGGGGTGCCGCAGCTCAAGGAAGAACATTTATGATCATTTCTTCATGGAAATACAATCAGACCAAGACGCTAAGACAGAAGAACTACCGCGTCTGTAAAATGATTAATATAGTGATTATTACTTTAAGGAAATGATAAATATGTTTGGTGGCTAGTACTATGGCTGGGACCCTATATGTACTGTTGATGAAGCCAATCAACAATCAATCAATCTTGAGCCCCATCCAGTAAGATTAGACCCAGTCCCATCCCCTAATCTTCAACCACATGGGTGAAACACTTTACAGCATTTACCAAGAACTTCCTTAAACAGGCAGAAACCTGAAGCAGAACCAGACTGATGTTAGACAGTCATGTGCTGAGACTGAGCTGGGTTTAGAGAGGAGAGAGAGAGAAAGGGAGAGAGAGAGAGAGAGAGAGAGAGAGAGAGAGAGAGAGAGAGAGAGACTGATAGGGGGAGACGCAGGAATTAGGAAGAGCGGTAACCGATGACACACGAGCAGTCATCACAAAACTCTTTTACAGGCCCTTGATTTAAAATCACTGGGTTCTGCAGGAACCCAGACTTCACTGACGCTTCAGACCATAACAGAAAAGACGGACTTTAAAACAGACTCTTGAGGGGTGCACTGAAACAGATCAAAAACACATGCCAGTTTAGTCTTCACACCACATTCACACACTGATGGAAGAGGCTGCCGTAAATAAAGCCCTTTTTTTTTTATTTTGACTAGTCCCATTCATACACCACTGGGTGCAGCCAGCTCGGTCGGTTGGGGTCGAGGTTCTTGCTAAGGACACTTCAGCTTGTGGGCAGCAGGACCTTGGATCAAAACCCACTGTTTGATGTGATCGTCAACTCATTTAAATTACTCCTTTTATTCTGCTAAATATATATATTTTTTTATTAGACATACATCTGAGGACCAATGTTAAATTAGACTGTAATCAAAAATTGAGAAAGGTTAAAACTACAATAAAAATATATGTTTCTCTTTTTTAGATAGGGATATGTACAGAAAATACTCTCAACACTAAGAGTCCTCAGTATCTTAGATAATTTCTTTTGACGCATCATTCTGCACATAGAAACACTGCTCAAATTAAAAGGGTGTGGGAAGGTGTGGGAAGCGGTTTTTTCAGGTCACAAAAGAGATGAGTGGCGAAATGATTACTCTGTAAAATGCAAACACACCCAATCACAAATGGTGCTGTCATTTAATTGTGTGTTCTTATGTTCAGATGGGTATATAAAGTGCAGCAGCAGTAAAAAAGGTTTTGAATCACCATTCAGGATTACTGGTCTACACTACGTTCGTTCATCATGGTGAAACTTATCCTCTCGTTGACCCTCATCTGGGGACTCTGCAGCATGGGTAAATCTAATGATTCTTTCTCTGGTCTGATTTAAAACCTCAAAGAATTTTTGTATTTTGACAGAAGGAAGTTAAACCCGAGCTACATTTATTTTGTATCTACTTCATTAAAATTTACTTTAAATAGTCGTAATAAGCTTGAACACCTTTGAAAAATGAGACTAAGACAATTAGTTTCTAAAAGGGCGGATGAGAATGAAGAGCTCAGTGATGTGTGGTGATGTTGAGAGTGGATAAATGCGACCTTTAAGCCCGAGTTCATAAAAAGTGGTAAAGACTCTAGTTTATGGATTACAGTCGACTATTTTCTCTTGTTTGTTTAATGAATATTCTGTGTAGCATTTCATTACTCCGGCCTTTCTTTTCATTTAACTTCTCTGTTTATAAAATTAGAGCTAAAACATACGTGTGGCTCTCAGAATAAGTTGAAAAGCATCCATCAGAAACAGCTCATGTGGTCTTTATTCACTCAGTTTAGATTTAGTGCTCTGGTCCGATGTTTTGAAGTGTGAACATGACAGTCTCTTAAGTGAGCCAGTTAAGTACTTTGGGGTATGGGTTGAAAATGGTGCGCCGTAAGTGATGGGCAGGTGATGTATTGTAAAAGCTTGGGGGCTTTTTTCCAGCAAACTCAGCAAACACAGTAACATCTGGTGGCTTTTAAAACATATATAAGCCCTCCTGTTGACTGTCTGGCACACTGCTAAACCTGCTGATATTCAAGGCTTTGGTGTAATTCAGAGGAAATGCAAGTCTACCAAAACTGTACATTATGGAATGCAACTATCTCCATGTTTTTTGCACACATATTAGGTTTAATATTCCTTTTGTGGAATATCATGGACCTCAATAACCTGCATTGTCACAAAGCCTTATTATATAGTTCTATTTTCACGCTTAAAGCACCAGTGATTCTTCTTTGGTGTAGTTGTTTCAGTAAATGTTATGTCTTGGGTCTCTCAGGTTTATGACTGGATTAAGACTTGTGTGTTAACTTGTAATGTAACGGAGAAACAGTATTGTTTAAGGGTTAGAAAGGCTAGAATATGATCAAGTAAATTCGAAATGATATAAAATTTTAAAAAAATGTAACATTGCTTACAAATGAATTTCATTTGTTTTTAGCTGCAACTACAACCACGGGTGCTGCAAGTGCAAAGATAGCTGGGAGAACCACACCAATGGCCGTCACAACAACAATTTTAAAATCTTCCCAAAAAACAACAGCAGTTTCAACCGAATCCAAATCTACTGCTGCTCCAACAACAAGGACAGCTGCTCCAAAAACCACTACAACAGCGGCTCCAAAAACAACCACTACAACAGCGGCTCCAACAAAAACAACAACAACAGCTGCAACAACAACAGCTGCTCCAACCACAACAACTACAAAAACTGCTCCAACAACCACTTCTTCAACAGCTCCAACCACAAAAACTACAACAGCTGCTCCGACCACAACCAAGACAACAACAACAACAGCTGCTCCAACAACAACCACAACAACACCTGCTCCAACAACAACTAAAACCACAACAACAGCTGCTCCAACCACAACTACAGCAACTCCAACAACCACTACAACCTCTGCTCCAACAACCACCACAACAACAGCTTCTCCAACAACAACCACAACAACAGCTGCTCCAACGACAACCACGACAACATCTGCTCCAACAACAACTAAAACCACAACTACAGTTGCTCCAAGCACAACAACAGTAACTCCTACAACAACCACAACAACAGCTGCTCCAACAACAACAACGACAACAACAGCTGCTCCAACCACAACCACAACAACAACGGCTTCTCCAACAACAACCACAACCACTCCTGCTCCAACAACAACCACAACAACACCTACTCCAACAACAACAACAGCTGCTCCAACCACAACCACTCCTGCTCCAACAACAACCACAACAACACCTGCTCCAACAACCACAACAACACCTGTTCCAACAACAACAACAACCACTACAACAGCTGCTCCAACAACAACCACAACAACAGCTGCTCCAACAACAACCACGACAACATCTGCTACAACAACAACCACTACAACATCAGCTGCTCCAACAACAACCACAACCACTCCTGCTCCAACAACAACCACAACCACTCCTTCTCCAACAACAACAACAACAACACCTGCTCCAACAACAACAACAGCTGCTCCGACCACAACGACAACCACTCCTGCTCCAACTACAACAACAACACCTGCTCCAACAACAGCAAAAACAACAACAGCTGCTCCAACTACAACTACTGTTACTCCATCAACAACCACAACTTCTTCTCCAACAACAACCACAACCACAACCACTCCTACTCCAACAACAACCACAACCACTCCTGCTCCAACAACACCTGCTCCAACAACCACAACAACACCTGCTCCAACAACCACCACAACAACTTCTGCTCCAACAACAACCACAACCACTCCTGCTCCAACAACAACCACAACAACACCTACTCCAACAACAACAACCACTCCTGCTCCAACAACAACCAAAACAACACCTTCTCCAACAACCACAACAACACCTGTTCCAACAACAACAACAACAACAGCTGCTCCAACCACAACTACAGTTACTCCAACAACCACCACAACAACAGCTGCTCCAACAACAACCAACACCACTCCTGCTCCAACAACAACAACAACAGCTGCTCCAACAACAACAGCTGCTCCAACCACAACGACAGTAACTCCAACAACAACAACTTCTGCTCCAACAACAACCACAACCACTCCTGCTCCAACAACAACAACAACGACAACAACAGCTGCTCCAACAACAACCACAACCACTCCTGCTCCAACAACAACAACAACAACAACAACAACAGCTGCTCCAACAACCACAACCACTCCTGCTCCAACAACAACAACGACAACAACAGCTGCTCCAACAACAACCACAACCACTCCTGCTCCAACAACAACCACAACAACACCTGCTCCAACAACAACAACAGCTGCTCCAACCACAACGACAGTAACTCCAACAACAACCACAACAACTTCTGCTCCAACAACCACCACTACAACAGCTGCTCCAACAACAACCACAACCACTCCTGCTCCAACAACAACACCTGCTCCAACAACAACCACAACCACTCCTGCTCCAACAACAACAACAACAACGACAACAACAGCTACTCCAACAACCACAACCACTCCTGCTCCAACAACAACAACAACGACAACAACAGCTGCACCAACAACAACCACAACCACTCCTGCTCCAACAACAACCACAACAACACCTGCTCCAACAACAACAACAGCTGCTCCAACCACAACGACAGTAACTCCAACAACAACCACAACCACTCCTGCACCAACTACAACAACAACAGCTGCTCCAACAACAACCACAACCACTCCTGCTCCAACAACAACCACAACCACTCCTGCTCCAACAACAACAACAACGACAACAACAGCTGCTCCAACAACAACCACAACCACTCCTGCTCCAACAACAACAACAACGACAACAACAACAGCTGCTCCAACAACAACAACCACAACCACTCCTTCTCCAACAACAACCACAACAACACCTGCTCCAACAACAACAACACCTGCTCCAACAACAACCACAACCACTCCTGCTCCAACAACAACAACAACAACGACAACAACAGCTGCTCCAACAACCACAACCACTCCTGCTCCAACAACAACAACAACGACAACAACAGCTGCTCCAACAACAACCACAACCACTCCTGCTCCAACAACAACCACAACAACACCTGCTCCAACAACAACAACAGCTGCTCCAACCACAACGACAGTAACTCCAACAACAACCACAACAACTTCTGCTCCAACAACCACCACTACAACAGCTGCTCCAACAACAACCACAACCACTCCTGCTCCAACTACAACAACAACAACACCTGCTCCAACAACAACCACAACCACTCCTACTCCAACAACAACAACAACAACGACAACAACAGCTGCTCCAACAACCACAACCACTCCTGCTCCAACAACAACAACGACAACAACAGCTGCACCAACAACAACCACAACCACTCCTGCTCCAACAACAACCACAACAACACCTGCTCCAACAACAACAACAGCTGCTCCAACCACAACGACAGTAACTCCAACAACAACCACAACCACTCCTGCACCAACTACAACAACAACAGCTGCTCCAACCACAACCACAACAACAACGGCTTCTCCAACAACAACCACAACCACTCCTGCTCCAACAACAACCACAACAACACCTACTCCAACAACAACAACAACAGCTGCTCCAACCACAACCACTCCTGCTCCAACAACAACCACAACAACACCTGCTCCAACAACCACAACAACACCTGTTCCAACAACAACAACAACCACTACAACAGCTGCTCCAACAACCACAACCACTCCTGCTCCAACAACAACAACAACGACAACAACAGCTGCACCAACAACAACCACAACCACTCCTGCTCCAACAACAACCACAACAACACCTGCTCCAACAACAACAACAGCTGCTCCAACCACAACGACAGTAACTCCAACAACAACCACTCCTGCACCAACTACAACAACAACAGCTGCTCCAACCACAACCACAACAACAACGGCTTCTCCAACAACAACCACAACCACTCCTGCTCCAACAACAACCACAACAACACCTACTCCAACAACAACAACAGCTGCTCCAACCACAACCACTCCTGCTCCAACAACAACCACAACAACACCTGCTCCAACAACCACAACAACACCTGTTCCAACAACAACAACAACCACTACAACAGCTGCTCCAACAACAACCACAACAACAGCTGCTCCAACAACCACGACAACATCTGCAACAACAACAACCACTACAACATCAGCTGCTCCAACAACAACCACAACCACTCCTGCTCCAACAACAACAACAACGAAAACAACAGCTTCTCCAACAACAACCACAACCACTCCTTCTCCAACAACAACCACAACAACACCTGCTCCAACAACAACAACAGCTGCTCCGACCACAACGACAACCACTCCTGCTCCAACTACAACAACAACACCTGCTCCAACAACAGCAAAAACAACAACAGCTGCTCCAACTACAACTACTGTTACTCCATCAACAACCACAACTTCTTCTCCAACAACAACCACAACCACTCCTACTCCAACAACAACCACAACCACTCCTTCTCCAACAACAACCACAACAACACCTGCTCCAACAACCACAACAACACCTGCTCCAACAACCACCACAACAACTTCTGCTCCAACAACAACCACAACAACAACGGCTTCTCCAACAACAACCACAACCACTCCTGCTCCAACAACAACCACAACAACACCTACTCCAACAACAACAACAACAGCTGCTCCAACCACAACCACTCCTGCTCCAACAACAACCACAACAACACCTGCTCCAACAACCACAACAACACCTGTTCCAACAACAACAACAACCACTACAACAGCTGCTCCAACAACCACAACCACTCCTGCTCCAACAACAACAACAACGACAACAACAGCTGCACCAACAACAACCACAACAACACCTGTTCCAACAACAACAACAACCACTACAACAGCTGCTCCAACAACCACAACCACTCCTGCTCCAACAACAACAACAACGACAACAACAGCTGCACCAACAACAACCACAACCACTCCTGCTCCAACAACAACCACAACAACACCTGCTCCAACAACAACAACAGCTGCTCCAACCACAACGACAGTAACTCCAACAACAACCACTCCTGCACCAACTACAACAACAACAGCTGCTCCAACCACAACCACAACAACAACGGCTTCTCCAACAACAACCACAACCACTCCTGCTCCAACAACAACCACAACAACACCTACTCCAACAACAACAACAACAGCTGCTCCAACCACAACCACTCCTGCTCCAACAACAACCACAACAACACCTGCTCCAACAACCACAACAACACCTGTTCCAACAACAACAACAACCACTACAACAGCTGCTCCAACAACAACCACAACAACAGCTGCTCCAACAACCACAACAACACCTGCTCCAACAACCACCACAACAACTTCTGCTCCAACAACAACCACAACAACAACGGCTTCTCCAACAACAACCACAACCACAACAACACCTACTCCAACAACAACAACAACAGCTGCTCCAACAACAACCACAACAACACCTACTCCAACAACAACAACCACAACCACTCCTGCTCCAACAACAACCACAACAACACCTACTCCAACAACAACAACCACAACCACTCCTGCTCCAACAACAACCAAAACAACACCTTCTCCAACAACCACAACAACACCTGTTCCAACAACAACAACAACAACAACAACAACAACAACAGCTGCTCCAACCACAACTACAGTTACTCCAACAACCACCACAACAACAGCTGCTCCAACAACAACCAACACCACTCCTGCTCCAACACCAACAACAACAGCTGCTCCAACAACAACAGCTGCTCCAACCACAACGACAGTAACTCCAACAACAACAACTTCTGCTCCAACAACAACCACAACCACTCCTGCTCCAACAACAACCACAACCACTCCTGCTCCAACAACAACAACAACGACAACAACAGCTGCTCCAACAACAACCACAACCACTCCTGCTCCAACAACAACAACAACGACAACAACAGCTGCTCCAACAACAACCACAACCACTCCTTCTCCAACAACAACCACAACAACACCTGCTCCAACAACAACAACACCTGCTCCAACAACAACCACAACCACTCCTGCTCCAACAACAACAACAACAACGACAACAACAGCTGCTCCAACAACAACCACAACCACTCCTGCTCCAACAACAACCACAACAACACCTGCTCCAACAACAACAACAGCTGCTCCAACCACAACGACAGTAACTCCAACAACAACCACAACAACTTCTGCTCCAACAACCACCACTACAACAGCTGCTCCAACAACAACCACAACCACTCCTGCTCCAACTACAACAACAACAACACCTGCTCCAACAACAACCACAACCACTCCTGCTCCAACAACAACAACAACAACGACAACAACAGCTGCTCCAACAACCACAACCACTCCTGCTCCAACAACAACAACAACGACAACAACAGCTGCACCAACAACAACCACAACCACTCCTGCTCCAACAACAACCACAACAACACCTGCTCCAACAACAACAACAGCTGCTCCAACCACAACGACAGTAACTCCAACAACAACCACAACCACTCCTGCACCAACTACAACAACAACAGCTGCTCCAACAACAACCACAACCACTCCTGCTCCAACAACAACCACAACCACTCCTGCTCCAACAACAACAACAACGACAACAACAGCTGCTCCAACAACAACCACAACCACTCCTGCTCCAACAACAACAACAACGACAACAACAACAGCTGCTCCAACAACAACCACAACCACTCCTTCTCCAACAACAACCACAACAACACCTGCTCCAACAACAACAACACCTGCTCCAACAACAACCACAACCACTCCTGCTCCAACAACAACAACAACAACGACAACAACAGCTGCTCCAACAACCACAACCACTCCTGCTCCAACAACAACAACAGCTGCTCCAACAACAACCACAACCACTCCTGCTCCAACAACAACCACAACAACACCTGCTCCAACAACAACAACAGCTGCTCCAACCACAACGACAGTAACTCCAACAACAACCACAACAACTTCTGCTCCAACAACAACAACAACAGCTTCTCCAACAACAACCACAACCACTCCTGCTCCAACTACAACAACAACAACACCTGCTCCAACAACCACAACCACTCCTGCTCCAACAACAACAACAACAACGACAACAACAGCTGCTCCAACAACCACAACCACTCCTGCTCCAACAACAACAACAACGACAACAACAGCTGCACCAACAACAACCACAACCACTCCTGCTCCAACAACAACCACAACAACATCTGCTCCAACAACAACAACAGCTGCTCCAACCACAACGACAGTAACTCCAACAACAACCACAACCACTCCTGCACCAACTACAACAACAACAGCTGCTCCAACCACAACCACAACAACAACGGCTTCTCCAACAACAACCACAACCACTCCTGCTCCAACAACAACCACAACAACACCTACTCCAACAACAACAACAACAGCTGCTCCAACCACAACCACTCCTGCTCCAACAACAACCACAACAACACCTGCTCCAACAACCACAACAACACCTGCTCCAACAACAACAACAGCTGCTCCAACCACAACGACAGTTACTCCAACAACAACCACAACCACTCCTGCACCAACTACAACAACAACAGCTGCTCCAACAACAACCACAACCACTCCTGCTCCAACAACAACCACAACCACTCCTGCTCCAACAACAACAACAACGACAACAACAGCTGCTCCAACAACAACCACAACCACTCCTGCTCCAACAACAACCACAACAACACCTGCTCCAACAACAACAACAGCTGCTCCAACCACAACGACAGTAACTCCAACAACAACCACAACCACTCCTGCACCAACTACAACAACAACAGCTGCTCCAACAACAACCACAACCACTCCTGCTCCAACAACAACCACAACCACTCCTGCTCCAACAACAACAACAACAACAGCTGCTCCAACAACAACCACAACCACTCCTGCTCCAACAACAACAACAACGACAACAACAACAGCTGCTCCAACAACAACCACAACCACTCCTTCTCCAACAACAACCACAACAACACCTGCTCCAACAACAACAACAGCTTCTCCAACAACAACCACAACTACTCCTTCTCCAACAACAACAACTACAACAACAGCTGCTCCAACAACCACAACCACTCCTGCTCCAACAACAACAACAACGACAACAACAGCTTCTCCAACAACCACAACCACTCCTGCTCCAACAACAACCACAACAACACCTGCTCCAACAACAACAAAAGCTGCTCCAACCACAACGACAGTAACTCCAACAACAACCACAACAACTTCTGCTCCAACAACCACCACTACAACAGCTGCTCCAACAACAACCACATCCACTCCTGCTCCAACTACAACAACAACAACAACAACACCTGCTCCAACAACAACCACAACCACTCCTTCTCCAGCAACAACAACAACAACGACAACAACAGCTGCTCCAACAACCACAACCACTCCTGCTCCAACAACAACAACAACGACAACAACAGCTGCACCAACAACAACCACAACCACTCCTGCTCCAACAACAACCACAACAACACCTGCTCCAACAACAACAACAGCTGCTCCAACCACAACGACAGTAACTCCAACAACAACCACAACAACTCCTGCACCAACTACAACAACAACAGCTGCTCCAACCACAACCACAACAACAACGGCTTCTCCAACAACAACCACAACCACTCCTGCTCCAACAACAACCACAACAACACCTACTCCAACAACAACAACAACAGCTGCTCCAACCACAACCACTCCTGCTCCAACAACAACCACAACAACACCTGCTCCAACAACCACAACAACACCTGTTCCAACAACAACAACAACCACTACAACAGCTGCTCCAACAACAACCACAACAACAGCTGCTCCAACAACCACGACAACATCTGCTACAACAACAACCACTACAACATCAGCTGCTCCAACAACAACCACAACCACTCCTGCTCCAACAACAACCACAACCACTCCTGCTCCAACAACAACAACAACGACAACAACAGCTGCTCCAACAACAACCACAACCACTCCTTCTCCAACAACAACCACAACAACACCTGCTCCAACAACAACAACAGCTTCTCCGACCACAACGACAACCACTCCTGCTCCAACTACAACAACAACACCTGCTCCAACAACAGCAAAAACAACAACAGCTGCTCCAACTACAACTACTGTTACTCCATCAACAACCACAACTTCTTCTCCAACAACCACAACCACAACCACTCCTACTCCAACAACAACCACAACCACTCCTGCTCCAACAACAACCACAACAACACCTGCTCCAACAACCACAACAACACCTGCTCCAACAACCACCACAACAACTTCTGCTCCAACAACAACCACAACCACTCCTGCTCCAACAACCACAACAACACCTACTCCAACAACAACAACCACAACCACTCCTGCTCCAACAACAACCAAAACAACACCTTCTCCAACAACCACAACAACACCTGTTCCAACAACAACAACAACAACAACAACAGCTGCTCCAACCACAACTACAGTTACTCCAACAACCACCACAACAACAGCTGCTCCAACAACAACCAACACCACTCCTGCTCCAACAACAACAACAACAGCTGCTCCAACAACAACAGCTGCTCCAACCACAACGACAGTAACTCCAACAACAACAACTTCTGCTCCAACAACAACCACAACCACTCCTGCTCCAACAACAACAACAACGACAACAACAGCTGCTCCAACAACAACCACAACCACTCCTTCTCCAACAACAACCACAACAACACCTGCTCCAACAACAACAACACCTGCTCCAACAACAACCACAACCACTCCTGCTCCAACAACAACAACAACAACGACAACAACAGCTGCTCCAACAACCACAACCACTCCTGCTCCAACAACAACAACAACGACAACAACAGCTGCTCCAACAACAACCACAACCACTCCTGCTCCAACAACAACCACAACAACACCTGCTCCAACAACAACAACAGCTGCTCCAACCACAACGACAGTAACTCCAACAACAACCACAACAACTTCTGCTCCAACAACCACCACTACAACAGCTGCTCCAACAACAACCACAACCACTCCTGCTCCAACTACAACAACAACAACACCTGCTCCAACAACAACCACAACCACTCCTGCTCCAACAACAACAACAACAACGACAACAACAGCTGCTCCAACAACCACAACCACTCCTGCTCCAACAACAACAACAACGACAACAACAGCTGCACCAACAACAACCACAACCACTCCTGCTCCAACAACAACCACAACAACACCTGCTCCAACAACAACAACAGCTGCTCCAACCACAACGACAGTAACTCCAACAACAACCACAACCACTCCTGCACCAACTACAACAACAACAGCTGCTCCAACAACAACCACAACCACTCCTGCTCCAACAACAACCACAACCACTCCTTCTCCAACAACAACAACAACAACGACAACAACAGCTGCTCCAACAACAACCACAACCACTCCTGCTCCAACAACAACGACAACAACAGCTGCTCCAACAACAACCACAACAACTCCTTCTCCAACAACAACCACAACAACACCTGCTCCAACAACAACAACAGCTGCTCCAACAACAACCACAACCACTCCTGCTCCAACAACAACAACAACAACAACGACAACAACAGCTGCTCCAACAACCACAACCACTCCTTCTCCAACAACAACAACAACGACAACAACAGCTACTCCAACAACAACCACAACCACTCCTGCTCCAACAACAACCACAACAACACCTTCTCCAACAACAACAACAGCTGCTCCAACCACAACGACAGTAACTCCAACAACAACCACAACAACTTCTGCTCCAACAACCACCACTACAACAGCTGCTCCAACAACAACCACAACCACTCCTGCTCCAACTACAACAACAACAACACCTGCTCCAACAACAACCACAACCACTCCTGCTCCAACAACAACAACAACAACGACAACAACAGCTGCTCCAACAACCACAACCACTCCTGCTCCAACAACAACAACAACCACAACCACTCCTGCTCCAACAACAACCACAACCACTCCTGCTCCAACAACAACCACAACAACACCTGCTCCACTAACAACAACAACAGCTGCTCCAACCACAACGACAGTAACTCCAACAACAACCACAACCACTCCTGCACCAACTACAACAACAACAGCTGCTCCAACCACAACCACAACAACAACGGCTTCTCCAACAACAACCACAACCACTCCTGCTCCAACAACAACCACAACAACACCTACTCCAACGACAACAACAACAGCTGCTCCAACCACAACCACTCCTGCTCCAACAACAACCACAACAACACCTGCTCCAACAACCACAACAACACCTGCTCCAACAACAACAACAACCACTACAACAGCTGCTCCAACAACAACCACAACAACAGCTGCTCCAACAACAACCACGACAACATCTGCTACAACAACAACCACTACAACATCAGCTGCTCCAACAACAACCACAACCACTCCTGCTCCAACAACAACCACAACCACTCCTGCTCCAACAACAACAACAACGACAACAACAGCTGCTCCAACAACAACCACAACCACTCCTTCTCCAACAACAACCACAACAACACCTGCTCCAACAACAACAACAGCTGCTCCGACCACAACGACAACCACTCCTGCTCCAACTACAACAACAACACCTGCTCCAACAACAGCAAAAACAACAACAGCTGCTCCAACTACAACTACTGTTACTCCATCAACAACCACAACTTCTTCTCCAACAACAACCACAACCACAACCACTCCTACTCCAACAACAACCACAACCACTCCTGCTCCAACAACAACCACAACAACACCTGCTCCAACAACCACAACAACACCTGCTCCAACAACCACCACTACAACTTCTGCTCCAACAACAACCACAACCACTCCTGCTCCAACGACAACCACAACAACACCTACTCCAACAACAACAACCACAACCACTCCTGCTCCAACAACAACCAAAACAACACCTTCTCCAACAACCACAACAACACCTGTTCCAACAACAACAACAACAACAACAACAACAGCTGCTCCAACCACAACTACAGTTACTCCAACAACCACCACAACAACAGCTGCTCCAACAACAACCAACACCACTCCTGCTCCAACAACAACAACAACAGCTGCTCCAACAACAACAGCTGCTCCAACCACAACGACAGTAACTCCAACAACAACTTCTGCTCCAACAACAACCACAACCACTCCTGCTCCAACAACAACAACAACGACAACAACAGCTGCTCCAACAACAACAACAACGACAACAACAGCTGCTCCAACAACAACCACAACCACTCCTGCTCCAACAACAACAACAACAACGACAACAACAGCTGCACCAACAACAACCACAACCACTCCTTCTCCAACAACAACCACAACAACAACTTCTCCAACAACAACAACAACCACAACAACACCTGCTCCAACAACCACAACACCTGTACCAACAACAACAACAACAACAACAACAACAACAGCTGCTCCAACCACAACTACAGTCACTCCAACAACCACCACAACAACCTCTTCTCCAACAACAACAACAACAACGACAACAACACCTACTCCAACAACAACAACTACAACAGCGACTCCAACAACAACCACAACAACAACAGCTGCTCCAACCAAAACCAAGACTACAACTACTGCTGCACCAACTAAAGCAGCTACAACAACAACTACAGCTTCACAACTAAAAGATCAAACAACCACAATTACAACTACTACAATGGCTGCTCTAACAACAACCAAGACCACAGCTGCTCCAACAACAACCAAGACAACAGCTTCTCCAACAACAACGACAACCACTCCTTCTCCAATAACAACCGCAACAACACCTGCTCCAACAACAACAACAACCACAACAACAGATGCTCCAACCACAACTACAGTAACTCCAACAACAACCACAACAACTTCTGCTCCAACAACCACCACTACAACAGCTGCTCCAACAACAACCACAACCACTCCTGCTCCAACTACAACAACAACAGCTGCTCCAACAACAACCACAACCACTCCTTCTCCAACAACAACAACCACAACAACAGCTGCTCCAACAACAACCACAACCACTCCTGCTCCAACAACAACAACAACGACAACAACAGCTGCTCCAACAACCACAACCACTCCTGCTCCAACAACAACCACAACCACTCCTGCTCCAACAACAACCACAACCACTCCTTCTCCAACAACAACAACAACGACAACAACAGCTGCTCCAACAACAACAACCACAACCACTCCTGCTCCAACAACAACCACAACAACACCTGCTCCAACAACAACAACAGCTGCTCCAACCACAATGACAGTAACTCCAACAACAACCACAACAACTTCTGCTCCAACAACCACCACTACAACAGCTGCTCCAACAACAACCACAACCACTCCTGCTCCAACTACAACAACAACAACACCTTCTCCAACAACAACAACAGCTGCTCCAACCACAACGACAGTAACTCCAACAACAACCACAACAACTTCTGCTCCAACAACCACCACTACAACAGCTTCTCCAACAACAACCACAACCACTCCTGCTCCAACTACAACAACAACAACAGCACCTGCTCCAACAACAACAACAGCTGCTCCAACCACAACGACAGTAACTCCAACAACAACCACAACAACTTCTGCTCCAACAACCACCACTACAACAGCTGCTCCAACAACAACCACAACCACTCCTTCTCCAACTACAACAACAGCTGCTCCAACAACAACCACAACCACTCCTGCTCCAACAACAACAACAACAACAACAACAGCTTCTCCAACAACAACGACAACAACAGCTGCTCCAACAACAACCACAACCACTCCTTCTCCAACAACAACCACAACAACACCTGCTCCAACAACAACAACAGCTGCTCCAACCACAACGACAGTAACTCCAACAACAACCACAACAACTTCTGCTCCAACAACCACCACTACAACAGCTGCTCAAACAACAACCACAACCACTCCTGCACCAACTACAACAACAACAGCTGCTCCAACAACAACCACAACCACTCCTGCTCCAACAACAACCACAACCACTCCTTCTCCAACAACAACCACAACCACTCCTGCTCCAACAACAACAACAACAACGACAACAACAGCTGCTCCAACAACAACCACAACCACTCCTGCTCCGACAACAACAACAACGACAACAACAGCTGCTCCAACAACAACCACAACCACTCCTTCTCCAACAACAACCACAACAACACCTGCTCCAACAACAACAACAGCTGCTCCAACCACAACGACAGTAACTCCAACAACAACCACAACAACTTCTGCTCCAACAACCACCACTACAACAGCTGCTCCAACAACAACCACAACCACTCCTGCTCCAACTACAACAACACCTGCTCCAACAACAACAACAGCTGCTCCAACCACAACGACAGTAACTCCAACAACAACCACAACAACTTCTGCTCCAACAACCACCACTACAACAGCTGCTCCAACAACAACCACAACCACTCCTGCTCCAACTACAACAACAACAGCTGCTCCAACAACCACAACCACTCCTTCTCCAACAACAACAACAACAACAACAACAGCTGCTCCAACAACAACCACAACCACTCCTGCTCCAACAACAACCACAACCACTCCTGCTCCAACAACAACAACGACAACAACAGCTGCTCCAACAACAACCACAACCACTCCTGCTCCAACAACAACCACAACAACACCTGCTCCAACAACAACAGCTGCTCCAACCACAACGACAGTAACTCCAACAACAACCACAACAACTTCTGCTCCAACAACCACCACCACAACAGCTGCTCCAACAACAACCACAACCACTCCTGCTCCAACTACAACAACAACAACAACACCTGCTCCAACAACAACAACAGCTGCTCCAACCACAACGACAGTAACTCCAACAACAACCACAACAACTTCTGCTCCAACAACCACCACTACAACAGCTGCTCCAACAACAACCACAACCACTCCTGCTCCAACTACAACAACAGCTGCTCCAACAACAACCACAACCACTCCTACTCCAACAACAACAACAACAACGACAACAACAGCTGCTCCAACAACAACCACAACCACTCCTGCTCCAACAACAACCACAACCACTCGTGCTCCAACAACAACAACAACGACAACAACAGCTTCTCCAACAACCACCACTACCACTCCTGCTCCAACAACAACCACAACCACTCCTGCTCCAACAACAACAACAACGACAACAACAGCTGCTCCAACAACAACCACAACCACTCCTGCTCCAACTACAACAACAACAACACCTGCTACAACAACAACAACAGCTGCTCCAACCACAACGACAGTAACTCCAACAACAACCACAACAACTTCTGCTCCAACAACCACCACTACAACAGCTGCTCCAACAACAACCACAACCACTCCTGCTCCAACTACAACAACAACAGCTGCTCCAACCACGACAGTAACTCCAACAACAACCACAACAACTTCTGCTCCAACAACCACCACTACAACAGCTGCTCCAACAACAACCACAACCACTCCTGCTCCAACTACAACAACAACAGCTGCTCCAACAACAACCACAACCACTCCTGCTCCAACAACAACAACAACAACAACGACAACAAAAGCTGCTCCAACAACAACCACAACAACTTCTTCTCCAACAACAACCACAACAACACCTGCTCCAACAACAACAACAGCTGCTCCAACCACAACGACAGTAACTCCAACAACAACCACAACCACTCCTGCTCCAACAACAACCACAACCACTCCTTCTCCAACAACAACCACAACAACACCTGCTCCAACAACAACAACAACAGCTGCTCCAACCACAACTACAGTTACTCCAACAACCACCACAACAACTTCTGCTCCAACAACAACCACAACCACTCCTGCTCCAACAACAACCACAACACCTACTCCAACAACAACAACCACAACCACTCCTGCTCCAACAACAACCACAACCACTCCTGCTCCAACAACAACAACAACAGCTGCTCCAACAACAACCACAACCACTCCTGCTCCAACAACAACCACAACCACACCTGCTCCAACAACAACAACAGCTGCTCCAACCACGACAGTAACTCCAACAACAACCACAACCACTCCTGCTCCAACAACAACCACAACAACACCTACTCCAACAACAACAACCACAACCACTCCTGCTCCAACAACAACCACAACCACTCCTGCTCCAACAACCACAACAACGACAACAACTTCTGCTCCAACAACAACCACAACACCTGCTCCAACAACAACAACAGCTGCTCCAACCACAACGACAGTAACTCCAACAACAACCACAACCACTCCTGCTCCAACAACAACCACAACCACTCCTTCTCCAACAACAACCACAACAACACCTGCTCCAACAACAACTACAACAACAACAACAGCTGCTCCAACCACAACTACAGTTACTCCAACAACCACCACAACAACTTCTGCTCCAACAACAACCACAACCACTCCTGCTCCAACAACAACCACAACAACACCTACTCCAACAACAACAACCACAACCACTCCTGCTCCAACAACCACTCCTGCTCCAACAACAACAACCACAACAACAGCTGCTCCAACAACAACCACAACCACTCCTGCTCCAACAACAACCACAACCACACCTGCTCCAACAACAACAACAACAACAACAACAGCTGCTCCAACCACAACTACAGTTACTCCAACAACCACCACAACAACTTCTGCTCCAACAACAACCACAACCACTCCTGCTCCAACAACAACCACAACAACACCTACTCCAACAACAACAACCACAACGACTCCTGCTCCAACAACAACGACAACAACACCTACTCCAACAACAACAACTACAACAGCGACTCCAACAACAACCACAACAACAACAGCTGCTCCAACCAAAACCAAGACTACAACTACTGCTGCACCAACTAAAGCAGCTACAACAACAACTACAGCTTCACAACTAAAAGATCAAACAACCACAATTACAACTACTACAATGGCTGCTCTAACAACAACCAAGACAACAGCTGCTCCAACCACAACCAAAACCACAGCTGCTCCAACAACAACCAAGACAACAGCTTCTCCAACAACAACGACAACCACTCCTTCTCCAATAACTACAACAACAACAGCTTCTCCAACAACAACCACAACCACTCCTGCTCCAACAACAACAACAACAACAACAACTCCAACAACAACAACAACACCTCCTCCAACCACAACAACACCTGCTCCAACAACAACAACAGCTGCTCCAACCACAACGACAGTAACTCCAACAACAACCACAACCACTCCTGCTCCAACAACAACCACAACCACTCCTTCTCCAACAACAACCACAACAACACCTGCTCCAACAACAACAACAACAGCTGCTCCAACCACAACTACAGTTACTCCAACAACCACCACAACAACTTCTGCTCCAACAACAACCACAACCACTCCTGCTCCAACAACAACCACAACACCTACTCCAACAACAACAACCACAACCACTCCTGCTCCAACAACAACCACAACCACTCCTGCTCCAACAACAACAACAACAGCTGCTCCAACCACAACTACAGTTACTCCAACAACCACCACAACAACTTCTGCTCCAACAACAACCACAACCACTCCTGCTCCAACAACAACCACAACACCTACTCCAACAACAACAACCACAACCACTCCTGCTCCAACAACAACCACAACCACTCCTGCTCCAACAACAACAACAACAGCTGCTCCAACAACAACCACAACCACTCCTGCTCCAACAACAACCACAACCACACCTGCTCCAACAACAACAACAACTGCTCCAACCACGACAGTAACTCCAACAACAACCACAACCACTCCTTCTCCAACAACAACCACAACAACACCTACTCCAACAACAACAACCACAACCACTCCTGCTCCAACAACAACCACAACCACTCCTGCTCCAACAACAACAACAACGACAACAACTTCTGCTCCAACAACAACCACAACACCTGCTCCAACAACAACAACAGCTGCTCCAACCACAACGACAGTAACTCCAACAACAACCACAACCACTCCTGCTCCAACAACAACCACAACCACTCCTTCTCCAACAACAACCACAACAACACCTGCTCCAACAACAACTACAACAACAACAACAGCTGCTCCAACCACAACTACAGTTACTCCAACAACCACCACAACAACTTCTGCTCCAACAACAACCACAACCACTCCTGCTCCAACAACAACCACAACAACACCTACTCCAACAACAACAACCACAACCACTCCTGCTCCAACAACCACTCCTGCTCCAACAACAACAACCACAACAACAGCTGCTCCAACAACAACCACAACCACTCCTGCTCCAACAACAACCACAACCACACCTGCTCCAACAACAACAACAGCTGCTCCAACCACGACAGTAACTCCAACAACAACCACAACCACTCCTGCTCCAACAACAACCACAACCACTCCTGCTCCAACAACAACCACAACCACTTCTGCTCCAACAACAACAACAACGACAACAACTTCTGCTCCAACAACAACCACAACACCTTCTCCAACAACAACAACAGCTGCTCCAACCACAACGACAGTAACTCCAACAACAACCACAACCACTCCTGCTCCAACAACAACCACAACCACTCCTTCTCCAACAACAACCACAACACCTGCTCCAACAACAACAACAACAACAACAACAACAACAACAACAACAACAACAACAGCTGCTCCAACCACAACTACAGTTACTCCAACAACCACCACAACAACTTCTGCTCCAACAACAACCACAACCACTCCTGCTCCAACAACAACCACAACAACACCTACTCCAACAACAACAACCACAACGACTCCTGCTCCAACAACAACCACAACCACACCTGCTCCAACAACAACAACAGCTGCTCCAACCACAACAACACCTACCACAACAACACCTGCTCCAACAACAACAACAACAACAACAACAACAGCTGCTCCAACCACAACTACAGTTACTCCAACAACCACCACAACAACTTCTGCTCCAACAACAACCACAACCACTCCTGCTCCAACAACAACCACAACAACACCTACTCCAACAACAACAACCACAACGACTCCTGCTCCAACAACAACGACAACAACACCTACTCCAACAACAACAACTACAACAGCGACTCCAACAACAACCACAACAACAACAGCTGCTCCAACCAAAACCAAGACTACAACTACTGCTGCACCAACTAAAGCAGCTACAACAACAACTACAGCTTCACAACTAAAAGATCAAACAACCACAATTACAACTACTACAATGGCTGCTCTAACAACAACCAAGACAACAGCTGCTCCAACCACAACCAAAACCACAGCTGCTCCAACAACAACCAAGACAACAGCTTCTCCAACAACAACGACAACCACTCCTTCTCCAATAACAACCGCAACAACACCTGCTCCAACAACAACAACAACCACAACAACAGCTGCTCCAACCACAACTACAGTAACTCCAACAACAACCACAACAACTTCTGCTCCAACAACCACCACTACAACAGCTGCTCCAACCACAACCAAAACCACAGCTGCTCCAACAACAACCAAGACAACAGCTGCTCCAACAACAACCACAACCACTACTGCTCCAACAACAACAACAACAACCACAACAACAGCTGCTCCAACAACAACAACTACAACCACAACAACAGCTGCTCCAAGCACAACTACAACTACTGCTGCTCCAACCACAACCACAACAACAGGGGCTCCCACAACAACCAGTACAACAGCTGCTCCAACCACAACAACAGCTACTCCAACAACAACTGCAACTACTGCTGCTCCAACAACCACAACAACAGCTTCTCCAACAACAACTACAACAACTGTTGCTTCAACCACAACCATTACAACAGCTGCTCCAACAACAACCACAACAGCTGCTCCAGCAACAACAACCACTACAACAGCTGCCCCAACCACAACATCTTCTCCCACAACAACCACAACAACAGCTGCTCCAACCACAACTACAACCTCAACAACAGATGCTCCAACAACAACAACTATAACAGCGGCTCCAACAACTACCACTACAACAGCTGCTCCAACAACAACAACAAAAGAAACAACAGCTGTTCCAACAACAACCATAACAACTTCTCCAACAACAACCACTACAACAGCTGCTCTAACAACAACCACTACAACAGCTGCTCCAACCACAACTACTGCTTCTACATCAACATCTACCACAGCTTCAACCACAACTACAGCTACTCCAAGATTCACTACAGTTGCCCTAATCACAACTACAGCTTCCCCTACCGCAGTTGCTCCAACCACAACTACAGCTTCCCCTACCGCAGTTGTTCTAACCACAACTACAGCTTCCCCTACCGCAGTTGCTCCAACCACAACTACAGCTTCCCCTACTGCAGTTTCTCCAACAACAACCACAACAACAGGGGCTCCAACAACAACCACAACAACAGTTGCTCCAACAACAACTACAACAGCTTTTTCAATAGCCTGTCCCAACTCGTTAAATACAACAACTTCCACAATCTCAACTGGAACAGTTTCGTCCTTGTTAAAAAAATGCATGGCCCGCAAGTCATCAACCTCTAGTACAAGCTCACCTACTGGGGTATCTAGCCTGAGTAAAAAATGCCCTATTCCAATACCCTCAAATATTCCGAAGACCACAGCCTTTCTATTGACAACTGCTGTCCCAACTCAAACACCTCTTATCCAACTGATCGCAAACCCTCACCTGAGCGCCAAATGTACTGCTTTTAAATCTAAGACCATGACAACAACACCTACCACCCAGGCTTTCCAGCAAACATCTGGACTAATAACAAAATGCTTTGACACTCAGACAAGTCATATTTCAACAACAATCAGTACTTCTACAATAGTTTCCCTCCAGAAAACAAGATGTACTGCCACAAAGACTACCACCCTGGTGCCTACAACCCCATCTCTTACATCAACTACTGTCGTGATCTTCACCCCACCAAACACAACTACTGCAAAAGTAGCAGCAACGACACAAACACGCGCCCCAACAACAGTCACAGAACCATTTATAATCACAGAGCAAGAACGACAGTCAAACCTGGAGGTAGATGTAGTTCAAAATGATGCTTACAGTGTGAGTCAGGGTGTTATCCACCTGATGCTTGGACTTCTCATATTTGCTCTTATCTAGACAGAAAAAACAGGAATGATTCACCGATGAAGCGACCAAAAGGTTTAACAAAAAAACCTACTCATGGCAAAATTGTCCACTAACCTCACTTGGCGTTCACAGGGAATGCTATTTAGATATCCTATCCTATTCTTTTTAGACACAAAATTGTCATGTTTTAACTGAGTATATCAGAAGAAAAATGTTCAACTTCTTTTCTGTCATCACATATTGCTTCTATCAATTATTTAAAATCTAAACTTATACTTTTATTTATGTAATTGCTAATTACTACATTTGTTATATTATCTTTACTGTTTCATCACATGAATGTTAATGGCTTAACCTCATTTTAATTTATTCACTGCCTGTTTAATAAAGCTTTCCTTATGTTTGAGATATCATTTTGGACCCATGTGTGATTCTTTTTCTCAAAATGAAAATATGAAGAACAACTTGATCGTTTCCTGAGAGACTTTTTTTTCTTCCGGTAAAGATACATCTATTTACATTAGGGCTGTCAATCGATTAAAATATTTAATCGCGATTAATCGAATTGTGATCATAATTAATCATGATTAATCGCAAATTGATCGCATATTTTTGATCCATTCGAAATCGATCTTTTTCAAATTGTTATACTTTTATCAACATGAGAATCAACATGAGAACAGATTGTGGATTTTCGTGGTAATGGTGGTCCTACAAGGTAATTCATGTCCAGTCATTGGATGCGATCCGTATGATTTCACGCAGACCAACGTCCTGCACAATGCTAATCGGCCGACAAGCGGTAGCCACCCATTTAGCGATTTCTGTTTCAAGTTTGTGTTTAGTAGAGCTCTCCATCTGTTTACCTTGCACATTCAGCATTGTTGGCTTGAGGCTGGGGGTGGGTGGGGGTGGGTGGGGGGGGGGGGGGGGGGGGGGGGGGCTCTCTGCATCAGCTGTGTGCTTGGCCGACAAGTGATATTTGAGACTGGACGTACTCCGGTGGTAACTAAATTCAGCTCGACAGGAAACACAAATGACTTTTGTCCTGTCAAGAGAGCCATCTGGCAAGGCTTTGTAGCTGAACTTTCTGTTCAAAATCGTGTTCTTATCCATTATATCCTAGTTACTGCTCACAGGGATTTGTTTATGCCGCGGTATCAGTCAATGCACTACTTCCTGATTCGCGAAACTACGGAGTGCCCCGAGGCTCACATAGCCTGGACACCTCACCAACTGTTCCTCTACAACGGCAAGAATATCCACGCAGTGTGTGTATAGTTTGGTCAAGCCAGGCTAAGGCTTGCGTTAATCGTGCGTCAAAAAATTAGTGGCGATAAAAGTCACTCGAGTTAACGCGACAATAACGCGTTAACTTTGACAGCCTTAATTTACATACATCTATTTAATCATACTTATGAATATTACCATGCTATTCCTAACAGGTCTGCTCTGGTAAATGCTACCAATTCCTACACACTGTGCCTTTAACCCTTTAATGCCTTTTGTATCATATTTGATACATACTTTTATATACTTCTATCAAATCAATATGATCAACAAATTACTAACAAAAACACCTTAATACAGTCCGATATGTGTTAAAAATGTCCTTTTGTAGTTTATGAGTTTCCAAAAACATCTAATGTATCAAGCGAGATAAATAAATATATTTGGAAAATTTAAGGACATTTTGATTTTTTATTTTTTTTTCAGTAGTAAGTGAAATAAACATTTTAGCTCCAAAGAAGTTTGAATTTTCTGGCCATAATTCGTGGTGTCAGGCAGGGCCTACCTTCCTCAACACAGTGTCTCTGGTGGATGTTTGAAGATTAGAAATTAATTATTTATAAAGTCAGAACGAAAATCTTTAAAACACACTTCAGCTCTTGTTTCTCAGCTGACCGTGAAGTTGGGGGAGAAGCACAAGTCTTTTGCAACAGGAACAGCCTAGTTTGCAGACGTATCACAAACAAAATGGTAAGAAACATGCCAATTCATTTGGATTCAATTTACTGACTGACTTTACATTGCATAACTTAAATAAAAAGATATGCTTTGAATAAAAGGCATCACACTGTTATCCGGGTGTTATGTAACCTGTTATATTTGTCATAAAAATAGGCTGCTTATACAACATATAAACACAATTGGTTTGAAGCTGTTGTTACATTTATAATCATTATTATTGTGCTGTGATATTACAGTATATGAGAGTAAGCCACTGAATACACTGAAACTGTTTTGCGTTTTGGTCTGGGGGATGTGGTGGGGATGTAAATTTTGAAGGCTTTCCTTTTGTACTTCAAGCTTTGGAGCCTCAAACTTAGAAACACGACATCTAGTGGTTTTTAAATGTATAGCAGTTCTCCTCACACCTTACTTTCCACCTTAACCTGTTGATAATGTTTAATAAATAAATAAATAAAAGTCTGGCCTGCATGTGATGAAACAAAACCATCTGGAAGATTTAGTTTCAAAACATTGCTTTCAGGATTTTTGCTGTGCTGATACATTTTACCAATAAATATTACCAATAAATAATCTTGCAGCTGCTCTCCCTAATGCTGGTCTTAATAAACCAGAAATTAGAAATGAAAATTGTAACAAGAATTTTGACAAAATACATTTATTTGTCAATACTGCATCACGTCGAGTGGGTTTTAAATGTCGGTGCTGTTGTGTGTGAAAGATAGTTGGAGGTGCCAAGACTTGCCTTACGTTGCTTCTGATTGGTTTATATTGCGTGGTGCCTTCCGTGGTTGGTTGGCGTTCGAGTTACCTCGGAAGTCTGATGTCTGAGCTGAAAATGAAGTTGTGAAATGGCGCTTTGAAAAGTCCCGCAGCATGTGTTAGACGTCACCATCTACACATGGACCAATCAGGGGCTGCCTTTCACTGTTGTGCGGGGAACTGTGGAAACACAGTCACTGATTGGCCCAGTTATTTTCAGATTTTTAATACTCGCTCCCAATTGGACGAAGTCCAGACAGTTGTGGAAAGGAACGGCAAGTGATTCACGCAACTGGATGGCCCAGCCAGGCTAGGTCACATCTGCCGTCAGGGTGTTTTCCTATCTTATATAGTGAATTGTTCAGTCCTGTGTGCCTTATCCTCAGTTGAGTGATGACTGCTTCTTCCCTCTGGCTCCTGCCTCTCCTCCTTCCAAACCCAACCTTTTCCTGTATATTGTGAAGATGTCTTCCCGTTTCTTGGATGTCCAAGTATTCTTGCCACACTTTCTCCACCTTTCTTCATTATTGACTTACCCTCTGCCTTACATAACAGAATTTCTGTATCTACAGTTTGTGATTTGAGTGTTTGTTTGGCCAGAAAATCAACTCCTTCATTCCCTTCTATTCCTACATGGGTGACACGTATAATACAATAAGCATTGTGCTAGCATTTTAGCGAATGGATATTAATCAAAAAGATAATTAATGTACACAAATAAGTAAAACCTGTGATCAGGGGCCTATTCTATGAAGCAAGTTCAACCTAGTGAGGTAGCCTTGGAGCTACCTCGCAAAGTTGAACTTGCTCAACTTAGCGCGGTAGCCAGCGGTCTCGCTAAATGGTCTTACGACACTGGTTATCAACCTCAGAAGTGGATCCAGCTTTGCTATGAGCACGTGCACACATGTAAGGCGGAGCCCGCCGCATCTGACCAATCGCGAACATGGACCAGTCTGGAGCGTCAGAGCAGGCTGGGGGGGAGGACCGCGTACTTTGCAAATGAGGAGCAGGAGACAATCATGAGTAAGTATGAAGAATTCAAATCTATCATGAACCTCAAAAGCAACACCGTCGCCACTGCAAAAGCACGGAAGGAATGCTGGCAGAAAATTGCTGACAGTCTCAATGTGGAAGTATAGTGCGCAAAAAATCTTTGATGCCATTATCACCCTGAAACAGCACTGTTCAACATGCGCTTTTAACTAAGGTGACCAGACATGTCTAATTCATTTCCAAGATGAATCCATTCATTTGTTCATTCCTATCGTGTTTACATTTTTTGTGTGATATGTCGGCCATATGAGCCTTTCATAAAGGTGGTCATCCGGAAAAGTAAGTGGGTCCGTGCGGTCCCTGAAAACTCTTGTGCGCCGGAGTGCTCCTCGGACAATGTGAGCACTGAGGTCTAAAGGATCCTCAAGAACGGACAAGCCATTTTTCAAAGAGCTCATTGGTCAGTGGGCGGGGTTTTTATACTCAGCGAGTTCAATCTGGAACCTAACCTGCCCCGGAGCAGGTTAGCCGTTCAGCGTACGTTGCCATGGAGACTCGCCTCGCTAAGAAGTGAACCCGCGTCGTAGAACAGGAAACCCCGAATTTACCCTCGAAGTTACCTCGCTAAGCAGTAATCCTGCTTCGTAGAACAGGCCCCATAACTGTATGAGGAGTTTTAGGGGGGCCCCGAAAAACTCACACTGCCTAGTGTTGCCTAATGGTAAGACCAGAGCCAGCCCAAGGCACAAGCGAACTAAGCGCCTGCTTAGGGCCTCATGGCCAGTATCAAAAACAATCAAAAACAAACAAACAAAATTTAAATATTTTTTGCATGTATTAGTGATGCTTTCTGTATGATCAAAAATATTATTGTAAAAATAAAATAAAGTAAAAATATTTTAGTGCTGCTGCTGATGTAGGCCTATGACTCTAACTGCCAATGCGACTTTTACAGTTAACACAATGCTTTATCACTTGGAATGTAGTGAAAATCAACCCCAGGGCACTCTTGTAGCTGAATGTGTTACACTCTGAGATTAAAAGCCATATGTGGCACCCTGAACATCATTTATCAGTCACTCATTGGTGTTGTTTGTATGGTTGCATTGGTGTTATTGATGTTATTACCTAGGCCACCCCCTTAAATGTGTAAAGAAATGTCA